TCTTGCAGCCCCGCTTCATTATGGGCCCCCGGTAACCAACAGCCGCTGCTGCCTAGCAACCAAACTCCGGCTGCCACGTGATGCAAGGCCTCACTGTGTGGCGGCTGGTTGCTAGGCAGCAGCGACTGTTAGTCCTTAGAATGTTCTACAACATCTGGAGATCTACCCTTTAAGGTTTTAGGGAGAGCAGTGATAACAAGAACATCCTTGATGTCGGGCTGTAACATACACCATATGATAGCACTAATAGACAGAAGGTATCAGAGTTGCAGAAAAAAACCATTGTGTTTCAATCAAGTTGGGATGCGTCGATGTGGAGGTTTGGTTCAGACTAAATTTGTCCAAAAATTTGTGAAAAATTATTCAGAAAAATCAAAAGGGTGCAAACATGGGCCAATCCGTGTACTGCAAAATATAAGTATTGTGTATATATTTCGCAGTACACTGAAGTGTATTTTTGTGCTTCACAAATGAAGTCAGAAGAAGTAGCTATTGGAGGGTAAATGGGCAGGAGCAGTAAATCCCCGGTAACCAACCGCCGCTGCTGCCTAGCAACCAGCCGCCACACAGTGAGGCCTTGCAGTGAGGCCAATACAAAGTGCTATTTATACAAGTGGGAATTGGTATAATCATCTTCTAAATTTAAATCTAAGCCTTTTGCTATGGAATTGGTATTCATTGATGCTACTACGGATGCAGGCACTTTATGGGTAGACATTGGCACTGAAGATAATTTAAGAAAGCTTAGTTGTAAGAATGTATTTCATCTCCCATTTTCATGTTGATGACTTAATAAGTCTAATAGGATAGAGGAAAAATGTGTTTTCAAACTGCTAAATGGTATCCATGATTCGACTAGAAGAGGCACCAACTATGGCTTTTTAAATCTGGTAACAACCTATGTTTTCAAATGAAGTTTTTGATGGTTAGTAATCATACCAGTGTGTTCAACAAATCAGAATGCTTGGCTGTATAGGGAGAGGTATTAGCAGTAGAAAGAGAGAAGTGCTCATGCCATTGTACAGAACACTGGTGAGGCCTCACTTGAAGTACTGTAGGCAGTACTGGAGACCGTATCTCCAGAAGGATATTGATACTTTAGAGAGAGTTCAGAGAAGGACTACTAAACTGGTTCATGGATTGCAGGATAAAACTTACAAGGAAAGATTAAAGGAACTTAACATGTATAGCTTGGAGGAAAGACGAGACGGGGGATATGATAGAAATATTTAAAGAGACACTATAGTCACCCAGACCACTTCAGTTCAATGAAATGGTCTGGGTGCCAGGTCCCTCAGGTTTTAACCCTTCACATGTAAACATACATTTTACATTTGGGGTTAATCCAGCCTCTATTAGCTTTCTTCCGGACAGCCACTAGACTAGAGGCGCATCTGCAATGCTGTAGGCGAATTTCGCCTCCATCGCGCAGAGCGTCCATAGGAAAGCATTGAGAAATGCTTTCCTATGGACACTTTGAATGCGCTGACGTTGGATGGGGAGTAGAGGTCACCAGCGCCAAGGGAGCCCGGCGCTGGATTAAGGTAAGTAACCCATTCAGCGCCACGGGAGGGGGACCCTGAGGGTGGGGGAACCCTCAGGCCACTATTGTGTCAGGAACCCTCAGGCCACTATAGTGTCCTTTAAAGGATCACTATAGGGTCAGGAACACAAACATGTACAGGGAGTGCAGAATTATTAGGCAAATTGTATTTTTGAGGATTAATTTTATTATTGAACAACAACCATGTTCTCAATGAACCCAAAAAACTCATTAATATCAAAGCTGAATATTTTTGGAAGTAGTTTTTAGTTTTTTTTTAGTTTTAGCTATGTTAGGGGGATATCTGTGTGTGCAGGTGACTATTACTGTGCATAATTATTAGGCAACTTAACAAAAACAAATATATACCCATTTCAATTATTTATTATTACCAGTGAAACCAATATAATATCTCAACATTCACAAATATACATTTCTGACATTCAAAAACAAAACAAAAACAAATCAGTGACCAATATAGCCACCTTTCTTTGCAAGGGCACTCAAAAGCCTGCCATCCATGGATTCTGTCAGTGTTTTGATCTGTTCACCATCAACATTGAGTGCAGCAGCAACCACAGCCTCCCAGACACTGTTCAGAGAGGTGTACTGTTTTCCCTCCTTGTAAATCTCACATTTGATGATGGACCACAGGTTCTCAATGGGGTTCAGATCAGGTGAACAAGGAGGCCATGTCATTAGATTTCTTCTTTTATACCCTTTCTTGCCAGCCACGCTGTGGAGTACTTGGACGCGTGTGATGGAGCATTGTCCTGCATGAAAATCATGTTTTTCTTGAAGGATGCAGAGTTCTTCCTGTACCACTGCTTGAAGAAGGTGTCTTCCAGGAGCTGGCAGTAGGACTGGGAGTTGAGCTTGACTCCATCCTCAACCCGAAAAGGCCCCACAAGCTCATCTTGATGATACCAGCCCAAACCAGTACTCCACCTCCACCTTGCTGGCGTCTGAGTCGGACTGGAGCTCTCTGCCCTTTACCAATCCAGCCACGGGCCCATCCATCTGGCCCATCAAGACTCACTCTCATTTCATCAGTCCATAAACCTTAGAAAAATCAGTCTTGAGATATTTCTTGGCCCAGTCTTGACGTTTCAGCTTGTGTGTCTTGTTCAGTGGTGGTCGTCTTTCAGCCTTTCTTACCTTGGCCATGTCTCTGAGTATTGCACACCTTGTGCTTTGGGCACTCCAGTGATGTTGCAGCTCTGAAATATGGCCAAACTGGTGGCAAGTGGCATCGTGGCAGCTGCACGCTTGACTTTTCTCAGTTCATGGGCAGTTATTTTGCGCCTTGGTTTTTCCACACACTTCTTGCGACCCTGTTGACTATTTTGAATGTAACGCTTGATTGTTCGATGATCACGCTTCAGAAGCTTTGCAATTTTAAGAGTGCTGCATCCCTCTGCAAGATATCTCACTATTTTTGACTTTTCTGAGCCTGTCAAGTCCTTCTTTTGACCCATTTTGCCAAAGGAAAGGAAGTTGCCTAATAATTATGCACACCTGATATAGGGTGTTGATGTCATTAGACCACACCCCTTCTCATTACAGAGATGCACATCACCTAATATGCTTAATTGGTAGTAGGCTTTCGAGCCTATACAGCTTGGAGTAAGACAACATGCATAAAGAGGATGATGTGGTCAAAATACTCATTTGCCTAATAATTCTGCACTCCCTGTATTTTAAAACCACCATCTAGCCCCCCTGGGCCCCTCATGCCTCCATAAATATAGCAAAATCTTACTGTATTCAAGCCTGAAGCTGTAACTCTGCATGCTGTTTGTCTCAGAAAAACAAGCAGTCTGCTGACATCATAAGAAGTGGTAGCCTGATCCAATCACAATGCTTCCCCATAGGATTGGCTGAGACTGACAAAGAGGCAGATCAGGGGCAGAGCCAGCATGATTCAAACACAGATAGAAAAAATATACAGAAAATCTTTCACTATATCACAATGAATTACAATGTGTAATTTAAAAATAAAGTACCTGTGCCTTTAATTGCACTAGTTAGTGTGAGAAAAGTGCTTTGGTGAACTGAAAGTGCATATAGTAATGTGTTAATACTTGACTTCCCTTCTAGCTTAGGACTAACCCGAAGATCTCCTCAAATCTTCAATCAAGGTACATATAGTATATAGGGTGAGTCCAGCTAGGGGAGACAGAAATACAATATAGTGCAACACTGTGGAACCCAATAGGAAAATATGTATAGTGCCAATGGGTCACTCACACTTTGTAGTCAAAGTTTAGGCATTCAGCAATCTTATAGATGTATGTATTCTTGATTGTTGATATTATGGGTCTCGGTCATATGTAAAAAAAATAAAAAATAAATCAAATGTAACCAAGTAAAGTAACTGTAAACAAATGTGTAGTATAAAAAATTATTTACTTACACAGAAGTTAAAAAGAGCTGGCATCTGATAAAATATAACATGCATTTTAGGTAGCCATGACCCAGGAAGGATCTCTAACAGCTATCTGAGGAGTGGCCAGTGAAGTTATCACTAGGCTGTAATGTAAACACTGCATTTTCTCTGAAAAGACAGTGTTTACAGCAAAAAGCCTGAAGGGAATGATTCTACTCACCAGAACAAATTCAATAAGCTGTAGTTTTTCTGGTGACTATAGTGTCCCTTTAAATACATAAAGGGAATCAACACAGTAAAGGAGGAGACTATATTTAAAAGAAGAAAAACTACCACAACAAGAGGACAGAGTCTTAATTTACAGGGGCAAAGGTTTAAAAATAATATCAGGAAATATTACTTTACTGAGAGGGTAGTGGATGCATGGAATAGCCTTCCAGCTGAAGTGGTAGAGGTTAACACAGTAAAGGAGTTTAAGTATGCGTGGGATAGGCATAAGGCTATCCTAACTATAAGATAAGGCCAGGGACTAATGAAAGTATTTTGAAAATTGGGCAGACTATGTTTAAATTTACCTGCAAAATCAAAACATTTATTTGAAAGCAAACCTGTCAATTATAAATCACGCAGATGGCATTCATATTCAGATAGTTTTGAATAAAATCTGTATAAATGTGTATTGATTAAATGATACTTACATGAAGATCGCACCTTGCAGTTTTTCTCCCCTCAATGTATGGCGCCCTGGATTTGGTAGTTTGACATCCATTTTAGCACGGTTTGACAACTTACCTTTGTCCAACCAGCTGCCTGTGCCGCATCCATGAGTTAGTGGTTATGGTTCCAGGAGTGTTTCATTAAGGGATTAATCACTGTACACCAAATATATCTAGTTTCACAATGTTTGTAAAATACAGGGCACTTTGTTTCTCATAAATAAATCCAAGCTGTATATGAAAGTCATTTCATTTTCTTGGTTGAGATTTTTGTTGTTACTAATCTGACATTCTTGCTAACTACATTCACATGAATCACAACTCCCCATAGCACAGACTCTGCGATACTCATCCACATATTTAGCAAAATATTTTGTAAAATAAGACTCCTGATGGCATATGGCTCATACTTTTTAAATTTAATTTAAAACCAACATGACAGAGGACAGACACAGAACATAAAACATAATCTGGACTTTAATACATATATTGGTCCACCAAATGTTGTACATGGTGGTTTCTGTGGGTGAGTACCTTTGGAGTATTCCAGACACTGCAAACTGGTATCAGGTCATCTGTTTAATTTACTTATTAATAGAGTTTGGACAGAGTGTGATGCTTTGATTAGCATTTTCTGACTTTAATTGTGATGGTTGTGGTATAGGATGCAATACACCGTCAGAAAAGGTCTGAGGAAACATAGCTTGTAAAATTAATGCTTCCATTCCATAGCCGACTTGGTAAAATTATCAGACCAGAATAGCCAAATGGGAATAACTGCCAAAGTTTTACATATCAGTTGCTGACTCCCTATGGCACAAAGTTAAACAAATATATTCAGGATGGACAATTGTTTTTTGACATTTGTGAAAATGTGCAATTTGGAGAATGTGCATTTAAACAACATGTTAGCTAAACCATTGTGAATGTCTGAATATCTGCAGATTTAATACAAATAAATGCTTATAGATTAAAGCATGGGTCCTCATACTCCGGCCCCCCAGATGTTGCTGAACTATAACTCCCATGATTCTTTGAATTACATAGATAGCCAGAGAATCACGGGAGTTGTAGTTCAGCAACATCTGGGGAGCCGGAGTTTGAAGACCCATGGATTAAATTGTGGAAAAGTGGTATTTATTTATTAGGGGAGTTAAAGATGGTTACTATACCATTAGGTTTTGCTATAGTATAAAGATACATTACTTCTATTTTGAGCTTATGAAAACACATCTATACCAGAAATTCTTGGCTCTTTTCATAGTGTACACAGTCAGGGTTATTCATTATGCATTAAGGTGTGACAATTCACACTGAATTCAGGAGTGTTGCAATCCAAACAGCAAAATGAAGGCAACCAGTTCCATTAGAGTTGGAGCTTGGCTATTTTCGACTTAATTTTGCAGTTTCATTTAAATTTATTACAAATCGGAGATCAGAGAATAACACCTGTATTCCAAAATAGTTGAATTGCTAGGAGTGAAAGACTCCGAGCCCATTTCATTATTCCGGTCTAACATTTTCATTTCATTTTCAATTACAGACAATTCACATTTTAGAAAACCTAATAAAAATTAATATTATTGTATCAATATTGGGTCTATTGTTAAAACATTTGGTTAAACATTTTAGTATATGATTCGTAAAGAAAAAAAAAAAAGAAGAATACATTTCAAAAATGTTTTGATTTTTCTATTCTTAGAATGGAAACCTCTGTTTGGTAGAGATTGACGTCTCTCTTGTGCCTATCAGGGATGCATTCACATTACTAATAGGTTTCCATCTTGGATTGCCTCCGAGCTCTGCTGAACCCGTGTAATAGTGTTTGCCACTGATGTAGCACTGTTATCAAAGTAAAGAAAAATATGATACGCATTTGAAAGGGGTTATGCATCTCAGTAGAACCGCTAAAGGAGTAGTTTATTTTAAATCCTAAAAGAAACGTTGATTTAGATTTGTGTACATTTGCGTTGCCACTGTTATATGAAATACTGATGTTTTAAGACATGTTTTACAAATTCTCTTTATACAGTGATTTTTCACTCAAAGCGTCCCCGTGATTTATTTACTAAACAATGAACTTTGGTGAGCTGAAAAGCTTCAAATTGTCATCCAAAATGGCAGAGATAAATAAAAAAATGGCCTGTTTGCAATTCCATTTTGCTATTCACCAGTTAACGAAATGATTGCCAAATTGCCAATACTATATAAGTCAGGCAATCTGATGTACGTATTAATTTAAGATCACTCCCTGTTTTTTGCTAATATACACTCACATCATGAGAATGTGTAAGAATAGTCGTCCATATATACATATACAGAGACATATACTATTTATATTCACATACAAACACAAATGAAAGAAAATCGGAGGAGCTTGATAGGGCATTACAATATATATATAATATTTTGATTCAAATTCCATTTATAGCAGTATTAAATCTGTTGTACCTGGCAGGCAAGCAACATGACACTATACGGCATTGAAAGCAAACCTGCTACTTGTAGGGGTTGCATTTTAGGGACGCGAGGGTTTATGAGCTGTAAAGGTCTAAGGAGGTAGAGGAGAAAAGTCAATTTGAATTGTCTACGATTTTACAATAACCTGGTGTACATCATTCCACATTCCGTAATACTCGGAGATCAACATAATTGACAGACAGTTCCATAGAGTTCTAGGTGTCACTGTCTGATGGGCAAAAAGACAGAAATTGAGTCAGTGCACAGTCAAAGATAAGAATATATAACATGTGCAGCAACAAGTCCGGCACCTTCAATAACCATACAGCCATTGTATATTCCCTTTCTAGCTATGTCTTCTGGGATAAAGTGGGTCAGGAGGAAATTAGATAAGAGAAAGAATGATATCTACAAAGGATATAAGTTTAAGTGTTTCTGAAACGAAGACGATAGTTCCAGAAACCAAGTGTGCAATGAACCATAATCCACATTGCTAGGCGTTGGTCACTCTTAAATACGTCTTGGAAGGAAACATTTACAGTAAACTCTGTCTACAGACACACAATTAACACACGACATACACAACATACACATGAGATGTTTTGAATTATAAAAGACAATACCAACCCATGGTGGATCTTGGTACATAACCCTTATACACATAGGCAACTTGCAGTTCTCTAGATCTTGTTGAGAACCAACTCAAGTGGTGAGAATAAGCTGGGGAGCCACATTTTCTATTTGTACTAATTCAAGTTCTAATGCATTCAAGTTCTAATGCATTATAAGACCAGAATTAACAAAGAAAACAAAGTCTGTTGTTACACAGGCCTACAATCATTTACAGGTAACTCTGGTAGTATAGCAGGGCTGTGGATTACTCCGTATCATTGTATCTTTGGATGTAGAACCACGATCCAGGTGAAGTAATCTTCTACAATTAAGTCAGTTCATGTGTTCCTCTATACTCCACTTCTCCTCTTCATCTGTTTAGGCTTGCGGGCTTTTAGAATAGTATAGTTGGAATAAGAGGTGTGCCAACTGGATACAAATGGGACGTAAAACGCACGGAACAGCTTGGAGGATCTGAAACGTACAGCAAAACAATTTTATTCTGCCACTTTAAAAAAAAATAAATGAAAATTTGAGTGTACACATATTTAGAACAATAACAGCAACATTATTTTTTTATAATATATTTCAGATTTAAGAATCGTTTTTACTTTCTAACGACTGTTTTTTTAGCCACGTTCCACAAAAAGTCCCAGTAAGCCCCAAATCTATGTCTACTCTGGCACGCAGAAATGAAGTGGTGGGAATATTCTTCTTATTGTATTATCCTTCTAAGATTATCTTAATTTCTTTCTTCTCCCTGATCCCAGACGTTGGACTGCCATGCTATGACTGTAAGAAAATGATGAGAGTTGCAGCTGAGGGGCATTCTACACCCCAGCAACCGACTGTCGTTATTGCTTCTATTGTATGACCTACATATTTAACTCAGACTCAATCCCCTACAAGTCTTATATTAATCAGTTTTTAATGATCCCAAGGGAAATGTTGATACCTAGTACTTGATCCAATTGCATGTGCATCTGTCGGATTTGAAAAAAACGCAGATCACAAGAAAAAAAACGGAAAAAAAAAACCTCTCACTTTGTGAATATGGCCTACATATCATAACATTCTTAGCGAAGCATTTAATTCCACTGAGAACTTTAGAAGAAAACTTCCTTTTTGGCAATGTGAATACAATTATTCGATGAGATGAAGTGGTCTGGGTTCCTATAGTGTCCCTTTAAGGTATGTAATGAAATGGAGTATTAAAATCCATGTCTTGCGTCATTTTTAAATTAGCTATTAGACCTTCAGGTTGAAAGATGTCTTCATGAGTAATGATATGGAGACAACGTTAGTCTTATATAAGGTGATTGTACATATATTTGGTATGTGCCCTCCCCTCCTTTTTAGGCCACGCAATTGATAATAAAAATAAAAAGAAGGCCCCTAGGAAAATTTGGCCCATACTTGGTCAGATTTGTACTTGTGACAGTCCGTTTATATGAGATTCCAAGCTATAAATGTTAAGTTTTAAGTAAATGTTTGAAATTTCTGTTTATAGCTCAAATTCCTGGCTGTAGAAGTTTGCAAATGGTGACATTTGAGTCAGCGTTGACATCACTTGGGTGAATACATTTAATATATGCATTAGAGATCAGTGTGTGTTCAGTTTGCAAAGACTAATGCACATTTTCCAAAAAGTATAAAAGTACAAAAGTACAAGCTACGGACAAGAAAACTGATTAATCTAAAGTATATCCAAAACTACACACGAGATATTATGTACAGAATCCTAAAAATAGTATATATGTTTTTTGGTTTTTTTAATCATATTCAGATATGTCATGCATAATATGATTAAGTTCTGTTTTAAGAATATTAACTATGAATTGTTATAGTCATACAGCCAGCAAATGTACAGATATGTGTGTTAATGCGAGTAGAGCTTTTTGTGCAAAGAGTCTAATTCTCCTTAGTAGTTTCAAATCATTGGGGTTAATGTCGCCCTGCCTCTCCAAAAAATAACATATTAACTGCAAATTTTGCAAGAAAGGAGAACAGAAAAAACAATAGAAATATATATAATAATAAAGTATGTCAAGGGTTGAAAATTTAGAAACATTTCTGAGATAGCCATCTCTAAAAAGTAAACTGGTCACGGCTTCAAATGGTAACAAAAGTGGAATTTAATATGGTTTGGTTATAGGGTATAACAGGAAATGACTGAGAGTGTCGTTTTAAAGTATTTACGTAGTGCAATATTAACGGTAAAGAGTTGTATTATAGAATAAAACAGTCACGGACCATGACGACACACGATGAGCAACGTGTTATACGGTTACTCCAGTTCTGCTCATCATTTACAGGATACTTTGCGACTATTAAAGGAGACCGAATGACTGAATCTCAAGGGACTAATTACACGCAGTGAGTAAGAAATGAGTGTGTCATAGCCGGGAGCTGCAGTGATATTCTGAAATCTTAGCGCTCTCGCCTTATCTGTAATGAAATGGTTCCTGACAATGAAGTGTCTGCACTCTGTAATTAGGTGGCTCCTGTCTAATTCAATTACCATCTCTGTGTATCAGACACTCATCTGTGGCTGTGCAGAGTTTGACGTCAATGCAGTCCTGGGCAACCCCCCTCCCTCCTCCAGTATATAGTGGGCTGCAGCTGGAAATTTTGTAGCCAAATTCTTGCTATTAACCTTTTCCCAGCAGAGATTAGCTTGAAGATCTCTAGTTGACACAGCATTGTCAAAATATAGAGACATGCAGTACGTGGGGCTCAGGGAAACAAAACCACGTCTGCTTTAAATCCTTGGGCTATTGCCTGCACTAAACATGAGTCACTGAATATTACGTTGTTTTTGTTTTTTTTATTTGATGGTATTCGCAAAGATGTCAATGGGTTTATAAATTAAAAATAAAATGCATTTATATATAAAACTTTTCTGAGCATAGTAGTGATAGCACTATGGTTATTGAAATGATGATCTGTTATGATACTGTCCCTAGCTGCAGCATTGGCAAAGGTCGTTGAACTGTCTACCCATCAACACTTGCTCCGAGAATGAGTTAAAAGGATACACCCGGCACAAATACAACTTTAATGCATTTTATACGTTTTGGCCTCATTAACATGCTGTGTTCTTGTGCATGCTCAAATCTTATAGCTTTTGCGTAAACGAATAAAAATAAATGTTTTGCCGCATGCTGCACCACAAAGCTATGTGGTTTGGCATGCCACCTCACTCCAGAAATATACTTCCTTATCAAATGTATGTACACAGTTCGCCTACTGACAGTACTCAATCTGAACTACTGTATAAAGCAACCATCACTAGAAGCAGAGGACACTTGGGGGGGGGGGCATATAGTATGCATTTCTCTGACTATATGCATTAGGTTGTGAATTAAAAACAGCTCACTCAGTACTGTTGTGGCCGAGATAGTGTGCATACTTTTGATAAGGAAGTCTTTCTGGCATGAGGTGGCATAGCTAAAAAGGCTGGTTTAGGCTGCAGCATTCTGCAAAACAGTTGTTTTTTTCTGCGCCCCGTATTAATTAGGCAAAAATTAAATGCATTAAAGGGACACCATTGTCATCAGTGGCTCTGGTGTCTAGAGCATGTACCTGCAGGCATAGCACTGTAAACTGTGTGCACTGCTGCCCAATGCCACCTCTACTTGCCGTCACTTAGACAACCACTAGGGGTGACTTCCTGGGTTCGGTCCTGCAGTATAGGAAAATAGAAAGGCATTGGGAGGAAAGTGCACATGGGTGGCAAAACGCAGAGTTGCGCCAATCAGATGGACTTTTTGAAACAGTCAGATTGAAATAGTGGAGATGTACTATTTAAAGGGACACTGCAAGCACCCAGATCACTTCAGCTCCAATCACCCTTAACCCTGCACGTGTAAGTACTGTAGTTTTTATAAACTGCCATATTTATCTTGCTGGGTTAAGTCCTCCTATAGTGGCTGTCTGGGGGACTTCCGGCATGGCAAGTTTAAAGTCTGTTGGCATAATTTCACTGATAATGGTTTTTTTCTCTCTAACATTTTATTAAACACTGTCATGCAGCCACAACAACAACTCCATCCGGCCGACAAACTGCAATATGACTTACCTACTGGCTTTCTCTATAATTCTGTATTGTAGAATGGAGAAACAAGTAAAATCGCACATCATTACGGGATAAAAAGGATGGAAAATAACTGAAAAAGACATGATCAGGGCAGGTACATTAACCCTAAAAGTACTTATCTAAGCACTGCTCAGCATTGTGACTGAAAGGGTTAAGGAGAACACACGCACGCCATCAAATAAATAATAATGCCAACCAATTTGATGTTATATTAGTACAAAGCAAGTAAACAAAGTGTATTTTATTATCAGATACCAGATCTACATATTTTTCTGTGTTCAACTCTATGACATACATTTGTATAATAATGTAGATAATGAAAGAAACAGCAAATAATGTAGATAATTCATAATAAAAAAAAGAAGTATAAGAGGTACATTTATTTTGGTTTCTGACTTATTTTGCTTCAGAAAAGCATCTGAAAGAAGCAGTTTGCCTCCCACCCTTGGAAAATCAGCCGGATGGTGTACGTAAGCATGTGCGTCAAAAGGGATTAGAAAGTGTTTCTGCCTGCAGAGCACTGGGGCATCTTGCGGTGCTGCGGCAGAAGCCTACAAGGGAGCCCGAGTATGACAAGTGATTAATGAAGCATGGACCTACAACAGACGCATGTCTTATGTCTCACTGCTGGAGGGACACAGCTAAAACACGAGCAGGAGCCTATTCTAGTGACTTACACAGTAATATACACGGATGCATAAGTCACCGTAAAAGACCGTGACTATTTACTTACACGACATCTGATGATACATGTTAATAAGCGTATGCCCTCCCCACACACACACACACACACGCGAATAAATAAAAAATGTCATATTACAATTTACACAAATTACACCTTTGGGATTCTATTTTGAATGCTCTGCTGCTCTGAATAGTTCATGTATCATCATGACGTGATCGTTTAATCGTAATCTGGAGACTGTGATACCAAGCAAGGGTGGGAAAACAGCAGACCCCAAGCTGTAGGAATAAAACTTCAACATCAAACCTTGAGAAAAAAAACGACTTTTTTTCTTGCACAAACTATTTTTATCATTGCATCGGTTACGACAGATGTGGATAAAAGATAAGTTCTAAATTGTTCTACAACTGCCATATAGCTTTGCAAGCCTAATGGTAGGGAAATCATCATAGGAGCCATAGTTCTACCAGAGCTGGGGATCTTCGTTTTGGTAACAAAATATCTGTTTTAGGGTATCTATAGAAGTCAGGAAATGTCAGTCAGTCAGTTCACTAACAAACTGGCACATCAAGATAGGCAAGAGTAAGAGATGGATGGCTTTGTGCATTAAAGAACACTTGAAACAGTAACACGTGAATGTAATCAAAGCCCATACAAAGTATAAATATAAAAGGCTGATATTTCCAATTTTAAGACTTAAAAATCTGAGCCTCACTACACTATTCATATCAATAAGCAGTTCAAGTTGTTTATCTATTGTGGCCTTTATGATTGCCATAACATTAATTACAAATCTGACCCTCCATACACACAACACGGATAGGAAAGAGAATTGAATGTCTCTGTATGCGTACCCACACCCTCAGACCAAGCTTGATAATGACTCCACAAATTTACAGACCATAGCAAGCCAAAAACTTGGAACGGCAAACAGGGAAGGTGAAAAGGTACTAAGTAGGTCTAGAGCAGGGGTCAGCAACCTATGGCACATGTGCCATGCATGGCACTCGAAGTGCCTTTGAACGGCACTCTATGCTGCCAGAGCCAAACAGGCTCTGGCCTATCAAGAGTCCCAGTGGGCTGTGATTGCAGGTGATGAGGGGCAATTCTCAATGTACACATTGCAACACTTGTGAACAGGAATCCACACTGGAGCAGCCTGCAGCAGCTATCGCAGCTCCTGCCCGGACCCGAGGGAAGCCACCGACACTGCTAGATGTACACATCAAAGAGGAGTTAGGCGCTCACTAAATAAACTAAAGGTGGGCATCAGTGAACCAAGCAGGAATTCCCAATACCTGCTCACAGTAGTAAAACAGAAGAGACAAAAGTGGTAAACCGCGCCCAAACAGTGCAAATAATAATTAAAATATATACATACAGAGAGTCCTCTAATTAGGAATGTATAAAACCTTCAAGGCAAAAAAGTACAGAACAATAATAGTGCAATATGTCAAGTGAAATAAGAGTATATAAAAGCTTATAAAAGACTCACTCACACTTTGCAGAGCTACTCAGAGCTCTGCCGTATAGCGCCTAGACGGTATAATCCCCGTCTCAGGATATCAAGTGATGGTATAATGCGGTATCCAATCCTCCACAGTGGTATATGGAAAGATAAAAATAGAAATAAAATCCAATAGTGTAGTATATCTATTAAAAAGTGTGCAAATAAAGGAAAAGTATCCTACTTACAAATTTCAGAGCAAATATCTTGCTCTGGTATAGACAGCATGTGGTGGTATGATCCCCACCAAAGGATATAAGTCAGGATTCAAGATGTATCAGGAACAACAAATAAAGTAGTAAAAACTATAACTTTATTGTTACAAAATAAAAAATATGTAATAAAAGTAGTATCAGATCTCTTACTTAACGCGTTTCGCCCGGTCTGGGGCTTCTTCAGAAGTAATAAGATGTACACATGCCTCTTCCTTAAATACAAACTGCCTACTCACAAACATACACACAGTCGCCACAAACACAACACCACTGACAATCCATATACACGCACACATCCCCACAAGCAGCCTCTCTCACACAGCCCTTATTCATAGGTATTATACACAATACCACAAACAAAAAGCAATGCAACAAAGCCACTGCAGCACCCATAATTAACACAAGCACAATACAGCAACAGACACACCTCAATTTATAAAAAATAGGACCTCCACGCCGAAGGACTATAAGATCTTGTTTTGGCACAGTACTACTAAAAGGTTGCCTACCCCTGGTCTGGAGCATCTAATGATAAATGCACAACTTAATAACTTGAGAAGGATACACGTATCTTCACAAAATGTTGGTCATATTTGTGTGTGTATAATATATGAATATTTACAAAAGCGTTGCAGTATGCAGGGATACTTTGTTATTGGACTAACAATACATATTACAAGACAAGCTTTCATGGAACGTGCAATCTGTAGTTGTTTACGGTTTATGTTCTGTTGTAAGCTAAAAACCTTCAGTAAAAATTGAAAACATTGGAGAAAAAAAAAAAGACAAGCTTTCAAAGGTTTCCTCTCTTCTTCAAGTTAGAAGCAATGCTGGTCAATATAAAGGAATTTAAAACTGTTACTTTAAGACACAATTGTTCTACCAGTTGGAAGAGGGGTATATGATGTAAATATTAGAAGATATTCCAGGGAAAGGGAATGGCCAGAATAAGCCAGGAAATCTTACCAGTATAAAGTCATAAAACGTGTATAATAAGGAGTGGACACTTCGAAATAGCTCTTTGTTTCTATATAGCTCTCTGTGTCTGAACCTTGTTTTATTTATTTCTTGAGTGCAGAAAAAGATCTGCTTTAAAATTTCCACTCTTCACTAATCACAGTCAAATAGAGGGTCTGTGGTTAGTGTACCACGGACCCTCCAGGCTTGCAATGACTAGAAACTATAAGCCAGAATAGAAATTTTCAGCCTTGACTATATTATATATATACACAACCATACATACAAGTGGATTATAGATGGTGGATACATACAAGAGTGGGTACTGTGATAAGAATCTAAGCTCCATGTTTAGTCCTGTGCTTAGAATATCAACATACGTTACCATTTCTATTCCAAATGTTTTGAAATTCCCTTTAAGTATTTGTATTTTTAGGTGTTCAAAGCTGTGATGAGCCTGGGTGAAATGTCACACACGGGTGCAAATTTATTGGCCTGTGATCACTTATATCTGCAGGTTCATCCGGAGGTATAGCTCTTGTGGCATTACCCCAATGTAGCAAACTATGTGTATTTTATGATGTTTACCTGATTATGGACCCGTTATGTGTTTTGCTATTCAGCCTGGCTGTGCGGCTGTTTCATATATGCTGACACAGTTTGCAGAGAATTTTATTACATAGCTTTGTGCCATTCTGCGTGCTGCCCTGTTCTTGAATCAGTTTACCTTTGCCTTAGGCGGAGTGGTTATTTGAATGCCAATATGGCTGGGGGCCAGATGGGGAGGGAGGGGGGGGAGATGCATTTATTTCTTTACATGCAGGGTCCTCTGAAAGCAGCTGTTGCAGGACCTTTATGATTATGTGTATTCCCTCAACAATAGGATTATACGTCATTGCTAGAAGGGGTCTGGTTGTGGCTTTCTTCTCTCTGAACAATAGAAGCTCTGCGCGTGTTGCTTTCAGCGTGTATATTATAAATTTGTTATTTATCTAAAAGCATGCTTGTTTTGGAGCCTTTTTAACTGAATGAGACACACAGTGTACTGAGGAGCTTAACATCATCTCTATATCGAGATGGAACAGACTATCGCTGGTCGTTAACCATTTTGGGGTTTTTAACGGCATCAGCGCTGTTTTGCTGGTAATCGTTAATGTTGGCAGAGACATATCGCAGCCTGTCATAAATAAAGCAGTAACAAAACCAAAAAAAATAGCAACCAAAAAAAAGAGAAGAAAAACCAAAGCAGTCTTTGACTACTGATCTAATTTGCAAGTACCAATATCTGTAGGCGCGTGTTTTGACCAGACTGCCAGCTCTTTCCATGATCTTATTAGGGAGAGTGTGTGTCCTGACAGCTCCAGCTGGGAAGGTGTTAGCCAGGCATTCTAATCAACCCTCGGTTCTATGGCAACCTGGTTCTCCTGCTGCTCGACTTGTAGCTGCCGATAGAGAAAGTGTTTGTATATTGCAAGACTTGTTAAGCTCCCGCCGCGAGCCACGCATGCTTAAAGGGGCACTACATGTTATGTGGGACCGACAATACCCCGCAACATGCACAACCCCTACCTCTAGGGGTAAGATAGCAGAGGCAAAATCAGAAACACAGGATAGTGGATACTGAAATTCACATTCAAACAAATATTCGTGGGTTGTTGAGTTAAAGCAACTTGGGTAAAACCTGAAAAGGGTTGCACTTTTACAGTGTATATGTATTTATGTGTATAGAATACATACAGCATCTATTATAACCTATATGTTGCTTAATATAAATCTCCATAAAGGTCTTTGGGTGACGAGGCACAATGCACTTTGTTACAGTCTACATCAAGCATGTCAAACTTGCGGCCCACAATGAGTATGTCTGCGGTCCACCTGCCCTGGGTTCACTTTTTGCTGTGTTTCCTGTCTGCTCTCCCACAGGCGATCACGTGCTCTGACAGCCGCAAGAGCGCTAAGCATTAATCCACGCTGGTCGCCAGATATGCGCATACGGTGTGTGGTCATATCCGGCGGCTGCGCAGCGTCGACGCTACTGTGCGCAGAGTGGCTGACTGTCTGCAGAGCACTGTCAATACCTGCTCACAGTGCCATAGGAGCATCTGGCCTGCTAGAGCAAAGAGCAGGCTGGAACTGAAGGACAGGCGACTCCTCTTAAGGTAGGAGAAGAGGGGCTTGGGGAACCTTCCTGTGTTAAATTGAGGGTTGGGCATTGTATTAAATAGGGGGAGGGAGCGGTGCAGTATATTTAATTAGAGAGGACAGAGTGGGAGCAGTGTATTAGACTAAGGACATACTTGAAAACAAGAGAAATCTCAATGTATCTTTCCTGGTAAAATATTTTATAAATAATAATAAATAATAATAAGGGGCAGTGTATTAGAGTGGAGGGAGGGGGGCAGTGTATTAGAGTGGAGGGAGGGGGGCAGTGTATTCGAGTGGAGGGAGGGGGGCAATGTATTAGAGTGGGAGGGGGGGCCACAGAAGGCTGTGTATCAAACTGAGGGAGTATTAGATTGGGTCTGCATGGAGACGCTGAACGCTCCACATGGAGATGCTGATCAGCTGTGCAGCTTTTTGCCACACATGCAGAATATAGCCTCTAAATGCTTTCCTATGGGAAAGCATTGTATTGGCAGAGATCAAGTTTGATGATCTCAGCCAAAGTGAAGAACACACTCATATGACTTCAAAATCAACAAGATAACGTGATTTGTTTTTTACAGCTGTGCAACAGCATACATTCACCATTTCAGTCCCATTGGTTATACGCAAATGAACATCTCCTTAAAATAAATATCACTCTTTTGTTTAATTTGAAGCCCTACAAGCGTGAGGACATCCAGTGTCAGTTAGGCAATTTTATTTATATTGTACTTTTCGAAATTAAACCTACATTTCTATGAAAACTGAAGATTTAGCTTTTTTGCAACCCACATAAACCTAAACCTTGTTCATTTGGCCTGTGATAGCCTTCGAGCTTGACATGCTTGCTCTATATAGTGTGTGTTTCCAGAAATGTAGAATGGATTTCAAAATCAGGCCAAAATACCCAAACCAAAACCAATGCTGAATTTTTCCCCAGTTGGGCTATCGTGGTCTAAAAGTTACTCTGTACATACTTTCAATTTTCACTAAAGTGAATAGCAGAGCAAACAGGACTTAAGCCCACAGGGTTTTGAATGCCAGTATTTGTTTTGATCTCTGAAAAATGATGGAGCTTACAGTATGTCTGAATAGGGATCTAAGAAGTAGAGTAAGAGACAAGCGTTCGGCAACGTTTCTTTTTCAGTCGTTGTGTAAAGAAACACTCCATTGGCTTTTTACATGTATTTTTTTTAACCATTTAGTAGATATCAAAACTCCACCCCCAAAAAAACAAACCAGTATGTATGTTTTTATCTGCAGTATTAAAGACTGAATTTGATGGCCGCATGCCTCTTTTCAGCTATATAACCAAGTCATTTCTTTGGAGGTATATTAGACAAATATTTTGTGCAAAAATTGCAGACTGCTGTCTGTAACCTATGCAATGCCGTCCCGTCTTTTGGTCTGTGGGCGATCAGTGTAATTCAGATCACTGAGAAGTGGGGAAAGGAAGCTGTAATGTTTCTACCCCCAGTTATGAAAATGCATATTTCTATTGAAATCGACACTTTTATTAAATGTCAAAAAAATATGTAAATACGACAAATTCCAGACATGTAAAGCCCTTCAGCAAGTTCCAGTGCTTTATGTGTAAAGCGCTATGGAATTTGTTGGTGCTATGTAACAATAATAATGTGTCTTAAGTGTTCCTTTAAGTTAGTAAATGGGATCATTAAAATGGTACAGTCAGTAATTGAAGGCAGTTTTGAGAAAAGAGAGAGGCCAGCTGCACGATCACCCAATGCCGGAAAATAATCTCATTGTCATAAATGGCAGAAAAAGCATCATCTCAGGCTGAAGGTCTGGAAAGGGTTAATCTGTCCGATTATCTGACGCAAAGTGCTGTCAAAAAAAAGAATTAAACAGACCATGGAGGATTAGACCAATGCAAAATAAAATATATCCCTAAATGGAGAAGTGGGGATAATTGGGTTAAAGAAAGCATCCAGCTTTTTCCCAGTAGTTCTTAAGGTAATCTGTGGTCTAATGACTCAGAGGGAAATTAATTAATCCACCTAGCTAGATCTGCCTTAATCTGACTGCTCTTGGGTCTCTCTAAAAAGCGGTGAAACAGATGAATTCTATATAGCTTAAGAGCTGCCTGTCTCGCATCCTAACCAAAACAGAGACGTGTGCATTTACGTCAATGCTGTATGCATTAACCTCACAAATGGCAAGAAGACAAAAAGCCCTCGATGAGCCAAGCAAATTTTCCCCCCTTTCTTTTCTCAGTGCCTGTGGGACTAGAAAGCCAAGGCGTGTGTGTGATATCCAGGGGGAAAGAGATGAGCTGTCTATGTATCAGTACGCTTGTGTGTAATGAATGGTAATGCCCTAACCTTGGGATCTGGAATAATGTCCTCTCCACCTGAGGGCTTGTAATGACGCATGAGCCAAATGTGCCAGGGAAACAAAAAGGAAGAAGGGGGATGGCAGGTTTAGATTTAATGGTCTCGTAGGGAGCCCTCTGGTCTGTTTCTGCGACAATGCAGTATGCCAATGTTCCACTCCTATTTGTATGTTTTGCGAGAGCGTAGGAAAGTTAAGGTTTAGGATGAGCCAGAGAAGCTAATTTCTGCAAAACGCATTCAACATTTGCAGAAACAAGTTAGAAGGATCTGCAGATATATTAAAAATACAATTATATGAATTGATTTAAATAATAATGGAGTTTGTTTTTTTAATGCCACTTTGGGCAAAACAGCATCGATAATCTGGGAGTAAAAGAAATAGACAACTCACATTATTTGAGAAATGCTTTTCTTTATATAACTTTAAATATGGTTTTGTAAAGTAGACATTCACTCTGTTACAGCGGTATTAAACAACCTACTCCTGGATGAGACACTGCCATGACAATAGGGGTAGCAGAGGGTTGTTTTACATTTTACTGTATAACTTTTTTTTTGTGTTGCTGGGGTTAAAACCCCTTCAGTGACTTACCTCCGCGCACGTTCTTCCCCCGCCGACGTCAACCGGCAGGGGAGACCTAATGCACATGCCCAACAATGGCCGTGCGCACGCATTAGACCTCCCTATAATAAAAGCATTATTTAATGCTTTCCTATGGGGATTCTGGTGACGCTGGAGGTCCTCATGCATAGCGTGAGTACGTCCAGCATCATTTAAATTTCGTGTTTTAAGAACCCGGAAGTCCATCTAGTGGCTGTCTGATAGACAGCTACTAGAGGAGGACTTAATCTTGCAAGGTAATTATTGCAGTTTATAAAAACTGCAATAATTACACTTGTAGGGTTAAGGGTGATGGGGGTTGGCACCCAGACCACTCCACTGGGCAGAAGTTGTCTGGGTGCCTGGAGTATCCCTTTAATCCCTTAAGGACACATGGCATGTGTAACATGTCATGATTCCCTTTTATTCCAGAAGTTTGGTCCTTAAGGGGTTAAACACTTTGTTATTATTATTATTGTTTAAATGTTCACATACCCCATATGAAGCACAAAACTTCTGCTTGCCAATAGCAAGTAAGAATTTAGCCCGGGCAAACAGAAATTTACCCAAAACGAGTATGTAGAAACTTAGAAACATAAAATGTGATGGCAGAAAAGAACCATTCACCCCATATAGTCTGCCCAATTTTCTAAATACTTTCATTAGTCCCTGGCCTTATCTTATAGTTAGGATAGCCTTATGCCTATCCCACGCATGCTTAAACTCCTTTACTGTGTTAACCTCTACCACTTCAGCTGGAAGGCTATTCCATGCATCCACTACCCTCTCAGTAAAGTAATACTTCCTGATATTATTTTTAAACCTTTGTTCCTCTAATTTAAGACTATGTCCTCTTGTTGTTGTAGTTTTTCTTCTTTTAAATATAGTCTCCTCCTTTACTGAAGAAGCATTCCCGTCAGGGAATCGAACCTCGGTCTCCCACGTGACAGGCTTACAGTAGTGAATAACTTTTTAAAGTCTGGCTAGAAGCATAGGACTTCAAATTGTAAGCCCTGCCATAATAGTACTTCATAACCCGACTACATGTAACAACATCTGCACATAAACTGCATAACAATAAAACAGGCAGGTTTTACACGTCCTCATTAAACACTTCCATATCCATGGCTGTGTACATATTTAGTGATGTGCTAAATGTCATATACATCACTACATGTGTACGCAATACACAGAACGGCTGTCTCCATGCATCATGAAAACATACTTGCACAACGCATACTGATTACATAAAACCACTCATTTCATCTTATACGTATCGTAACAGTTTCCAATTTACAGCTTTATTCTGAAGTTTTATCCAATCCAGAATGTAAGCTGTGTTCTTTTACTTCTGGGATACCTCATTCTCCTTTGTTGCATCTTGTTTTAAACTTAAACGTTAAAAAGAGACAGCTGATCATCATGCTGAATAAGTACGAACACATCTTACTGGATGTTTGATCAGTTTGTTTCTTCCTGAAAACGCACATGCTGCTTAATAAAAAGAACATTAAATAAAAGTAAACACACTGCCTTACCTTGTGCTATCCAAGAATGGTTTGTAAGCGATCACCGTCCATTCTTCTTTGTTTGCAGAGTAACGGGGCTCCCGTGGAGTTTCAGTGACCGAATCCAAATCTACCAGGTACCTGCACTTTGAAATGTCCACCTATGAGACGATAAAGAGAGGAAACTTTACATTTTACCTTTGAATGTGACTTTATGATATCAAAATTACTTAAAGGGACACCGTAGGCACTGTATCTGCTTCATCTCATTAAACTGGTTATAGTGTCTGGAGTCCCCTGGTACCATCATTTCTTTCAGCATTAAACAGTTTTTAATGTTTAAATGCTAAACAAGAGTCCCCGGCAGTCCATCCCCTCGGTGCTGCTTTGGCTAATAAGGAAGTATTAGCCTGAGCAGCAATGGGCAGCTGTGATTGGCTGAGAGTGTCAGCTGACTGCTTTTAGCCTATCAAAGCTCCAACTGACCGTATGAATGGGTATGACAACAAGGAAGTGTGTAATCTCTGCCTTAGCTACACATACTGAAGGGGCTGGACTGTGGGTGGCCAGGGACTCTTATTTTGTGGCATACTGCACGAACATGGTGCAACACTGAATGGAGGGACAGTGTCAGGGCACTCCAGGCACTATAACCAATTCAAAGAGATGAAATGCTTATAGTGACTACAGTATCCCTTTGAGCTCAAAACTAACATTTAGTTTCATTAGTTTACAATTATGATTGAAAGCAGGGTGTTGAATTTTCCCATATATATATATTGATGTGTATAGATATAAATGCAAACAATAACAATGTACTATAATAGACATGATTTTACATATCAGAGCGATACAACCTACCCAATACTGGAATGTAGGAAACAGAGATAGAGGGGCAACAGGGTTGAGATTGAGTGTTCCATTTTCAAAATGGTTTGACATAAAATCGAAAAATGCTACCCATTGTCTCAAAGGAACATAGCCACGAAAATGAGCAATTGTCCCTTTAAGTACTTAATGCAATTTAAGAAACAGACAATTTCTCAATATTTCTGTGGTTGCAACTAATTTCTCAACTCTTAGAATTTCCTTGATAATTGGTAAGGCCACTTTACTCCTCCTGATTAATCCAGTTTCAAACTCATCACCACAGAAAATTACTTAATTCTACATATTTCTTTGCATGAGGTTTACTTAGAGAAGTGCAAGATATTCTATGTGGGCCATGATTAAAAAATTAGTTTTTTTTCCTAATTGGTGAAACAGAACAGTTATTCAACTCCCATAGATCACGGCAAGTGAGGATTCGAAACTTACGTCAAAGGGCAAACCATTCATTGGCATTTTAAATTCTGAGAAGTACTCAATCTGATATTGTAAATCCTGCCAAAACTATGCTGGAGTGCCAAGCTCTGCAAAGTCTCTGAAACTGGAGACACATTTATTGTTACCGCTGTAAATTTGAAATAAAATAAAATAAAAAGAGCCGGGAGACAAATTTTGGACAGCGACAGAGGGCTACTAAAACGTACTGTTTTAAACTAGCCTCACAGTATACAGACACCAGACAGTAAACGCAAAGGCAATGAGAGCACAAAATCAAAAATGTCATATATTAAAATATCATAAGGGATATGCACAAAAAGTGAAAATTTCCAAGAATTAAAAGTGATTTTCAAAGTTTAGGATAAAAATTGCAAAACTGGAAGCATAGCGGACTTGAAGAATTTCTCTGGATCAACTATTGTGGGCAAAACTTTGAAAATCACATGAAATTTCCAACAATTTTCAATTAAGTCACTAACCTTGCATATATTTACACAGCCCTCTTAAAAGCTGTAAAGAAAATGCTAGTAGTTGATAATTGAAAAACCTATCACTTTAGCATTCAGTGTATTTTGTCTGTACCAGCAAGTCACATATACCATAATATCTTTCTCAAAAGGGAACAAATGTTCTCAGTGAGGAGTTCAGGGGTTTTGCTAGGATGTATTTAAACTAGGAGGGGGGAGGAGGGGGAAGGGGGCAAAAGGGTGATAAAACATCAATCCAATTTTCCCCCAAAACAAGGACAGAAGGTGCCTGTAGCAAGTGGCAAGTGTGTTAAAAAATGATAAGCTTAGAGTCATGTCTACAAATGCTCGCAGTTTAGGGAATAAGATCCATGAACTTGTGGCAATAATGGCAACTGATAGTGTAGATTTAGTCGCTGTTACTGAGACATGGCATAATGAGAAAGATGACTGGGACATAGCAATACCAGGGTACTCTTTATATAGAAAAGATAGGGAAGGCAAGAAAGGGGGAGGGGTGGCCCTGTATGTGAAGGATAGAATAAAATGTAGCCTAATAAAAGTTAGTGAGGCAAACATAGAGTCCGTTTGGGTTACGTTAGAATTTGGTAATCACACAGTAACTCGTGTAGGTGTGATTTATAGGCCCCCAGGACAAATTGAAGAGTTAGATAATCTACTAGTTGAGGAAATAGCTAAAATGACAATGAAGGGGGAAGTTATCATCATGGGTGACTTTAATCTTCCTGATGTAAATTGGAAAACAAAATTAGCTACTTGTGCTAGGAGCACACATATTCTAAACTCCCTACTGGGATTGTCTCTAAAACAAGTTGTTGAGGAGCCAACTCGTAAAGAGGCCATACTAGATTTAGTGTTAACAAATGGAGATTTGATATCAGATATTACTGTAGGTGAAAGTTTAGGATCCAGTGATCATCAGTCAGTGTGGTTTAATATAAGAACAGTGACTGAGTCACACCACACAAAAACTAAAGTTTTAGACTTTACAAAAACAGACTTTTCTAAAATTAGAATATGTGTAAAGGAGTCATTATCAGACTGGAGCAATTTAAATGGAGACCAAGAGAAATGGGATTATTTAAAAGTTGCACTTTTGAAGGCAGCAGAAAATTGCATTAGGCTTGTCAGTAAAAGCAAAAAAGTCAAGAAACCACTGTGGTACTCCGCAGATGTGGCCAAAATAGTTAAAAACAAAAAGTTAGCATTTAGGAATTATAAAAAAAAACCCAGAGTGAGGAAGACAAAATAATCAATAAGATTAGGCAGAAAGAGGCTAAGCAAGTTATAAGGGCTTCCAAATCACATACAGAAGAGAAAATAGCACAGTCAGTAAAAAAGGGGGACAAAACATTTTTTTAGATACATAAATGAGAAAAGAAAAGTAAAACAAGGATTAGTTAGAGTAAAAACAAAAGAAGGAATGTATGTAGAAGAGGATAAAGGTCTAGCTGACTGCCTCAATGGATATTTTTGTTCTGTATTTACAGATGAAAATGAAGGAAAGGGACCTCAGTTAAGAAAAAGGATAAATGAGTCATTTATTACTCGTGAGTTTACAGAGGAAGAGGTTCTATTTCAACTGTCAAAAGTAAAGACAAATAAGTCAATGGGACCTGATGGAATACACCCAAAGCTATTAAAAGAGCTTAGTGGTGTACTAGCAAAACCATTAACAGATTTATTTAACCAATCATTGTTAACAGGAGTAGTCCCAGAAGATTGGAAGTTAGCGAATGTTGTGCCCATTTACAAGAAAGGTAATAGGGAGGAGTCGGGCAACTATAGGCCAGTAAGCCTTACTTCAGTAGTGGGGAAAGTGATGGAAACCATGTTAAAGGATAGGATTGTTGAACATCTAAAAAAACATGGATTTCAAGATCAGTGACAACATGGGTTTACTTCAGGGAGATCATGCCAAAGTAATCTTATTGATTTTTTTGATTGGGTAACAAATTATAGATCAGGGTGGTGCAGTAGACATTGCTTACCTAGATTTCAGTAAGGCTTTTGACACTGTTGCACATAGAAGGCTTATCAATAAACTGCAATCTTTAAGTTTGGATTCCAATATTGTTGAATGGGTAAGGCAGTGGCTGAGTGACAGGCAACAGAGGGTTGTTGTTAATGGAATATATTCGAAGCTTGGACTTGTCACCAGTGGGGTACCTCAGGGATCTGTACTTGGACCCATTCTCTTTAATATTTTTATTAGTGATACTGCAGAAGGTCTTAATGGTAAGGTATGCCTTTTTGCTGATGATACTAAGATATGTAACAGGGTTGATGTTCCAGGAGGGATAAGCCAAATGGCAAATGATTTAGTTAAACTAGAAAAATGGTCAAAATTGTGGCAACTGACATTTAATGTGGATAAGTGCAAGATAATGCATCTTGGACGTAAAAACCCAAGGGCAGAGTACAGAATATTTAATAGAGTCCTAACCTCAACATATGAGGAAAGGGATTTAGGGGTGATTATTTCTGATGACTTAAAGGTAGGCAGACAATGTAATAGAGCAGCAGGAAATGCTAGCAGAATGCTTGGTTGTATAGGGAGAGGTGCTAGCAGTAGAAAGAGGGAAGTGCTCATGCCATTGTACAGAACACTGGTGAGACCTCACTTGGAGTATTGTACGCAGTACTGGAGACCGTATCTTCAGAAGGATATTGATAACTTAGAGAGGGTTCAGAGAAGGACTACTAAACGGGTTCATGGATTGCGGGATAAATCTTATCAGGAAAGGTTAAAGGATCTTAACATGTATAGCTTGGAGGAAAGACGAGACAGGGGGGATATGATAGAAACATTTAAATACATAAAGGGAATCAACACAGTAAAGGAGGAGACTATATTTAAAAGAAGAAAAACTACCACAACAAGAGGACATAGTCTTAAATTAGAGGGACAAAGGTTTAAAAATAATATCAGGAAGTATTACTTTACTGAGAGGGTAGTGGATGCATGGAATAGCCTTCCAGCTGAAGTGGTAGAGGTTAACACAGTAAAGGAGTTTAAGCATGCGTGGGATAGGCATAAGGCTATCCTAACTATAAGATAAGACTAGGGACTAATTAAAGTATTTAGAAAATTGGGCAGACTAGATGGGCCGAATGGTTCTTATCTGCCGTCACATTCTGTGTTTCTATGTTTCTAATATTTGGAAAGAACAAAGTAGAGAACAGGAGATGATAGCTTGGTAAAAGCAACCAATAACGATCGTGTATTGCAAGTTTGCAAGTTTCATTTATATTTTGCCATTTGGTTTGGCAATGTTTTTAGAAGCAGAGATGCTTTGCATAAGTGTTAGGACAATGTATTATTTGTTGATTATTATCAGTAGGCAAAGAGTAGCCCCACTCTTAACTAGAGCATTCGAATACTCACCAACAGAGTCACAAGAGACCTTATCTACAGCATCCAAAATAGCACGGGCCGTGTACCCCTTCTGAACAGACAATGGTAATAAAACCATACACTAAAGTCACGCAAACCACATCATGTCAATGAAGGAACCTGAGTGCATTGGTCCTTTAGCTTTAACCCTGGAATGTAAAACATTGCAGTCTTTTCTTTTTTGTTTTATTGGAAACTGAAATGCTTACGTTGCAGGTTTACGTCCACCTCTAGGGTAAAACTTTGTCACATGATGCAAAAGCTCCGATATGAAAGCACTGATTCAATGCTATCCTATGGGGAAGCTTGGAGGTGCTCGTGGCCCTCGCCACACATGCACATCAGGTCCCAATGCTCCACTACGAGAAGCAGAAAGCAGAGAGGTAAAGAGTTCTAAGGGGCCCTCCACGCTAGAAAAAGATAAGTAAATACATTTTTATATAATTTTTACTACAAATGTTGAAAGATTGATATCTAGCTAGGGACAAAGACACCAAAGCGTTAGACATACAAAGTCTGGATTCCTAACTCTTTAGTGTTCCTGTAATAGATGCTCACTGATTAACATAGCAAACACCTAATACAGAAAGTACTTGATTCTCAACGAGCCTTTCTAGTTCAGTGCTACCTGGAGAGCTAACTAGTGGCAGCTCCTGCTGTATACACTGCAATGGAGGTTAAATGGAGCATTAGGAGGTAAGAAGCCAGCAAAGTTGATTCCCTGTAGCCCTACAGATCGTTTGGACTAAAACTCCCATAATTCTCAGTTTGAGAATTGTGGGAGCTGCAGTACGACGGCTTGGTGTACAAACAGGAATACTGCTCACTGCTAGGAAACGGGAACAACTCACTATATTGGAGACAGGATACAACTTTCTTATCCAGGTTTCAAAGCATCTAACTATCATAAAGCTCCACTAACAATTAAAGGATCACTATAGGGTCAGGAACACAAACATGTATTCCTGACCCTATAGTGTTTAACCCACCATATAGGTGGCTTGCCCCCCCTTATACCCCCTATAAAAGTTTAAAACTCAGCTTATTTCCAGCGCCGCGCGGATCTGCCGGCGCTGACCCCACCCCCTTTGTGATATCATCTAATTGGCTGATTTTTAGCCAATCCAACGCTTTCCCATAGGGAAAGCGTTGGATTGACTAAAATCAGCATGGGGGCAGGGTCAAATGCCATTTTGGCCAATCAGGACCTCCTCATAGAGATGCATTGAATCAATGAATCTCTATGAGGAAAATTCAGCGTTCCCATGCAGAGCGTGGGGACGCTGAACGGCAGTGCTGCTTACTGTGAAGCACTGAGCCATGAAGCCCTTCCAGTGGCCATCTGAGAAGTGGCCACTTGGTGGTGTCCCTAGGGGCAATGTAAACAATGCCTTTTCTCTGAAAAGGCAGCGTTTGCATGAAAATGCCTGAAGGGAGCGATTATACTCACCAGAACAACTACATTAAGTAGTCGTTGTTCTGGTAACTATAGTGTCCCTTTAATATAAAAAGTAACTTGTAGCAGTTCATAAAATTTAACAAACCTCACACTGTATCTTTGTCAATAAATGGAATAACAACTACAGAGCATTAAGAACAGATATATGTGTACAAATCGCTGATGCCTGTATTTGACAAGAACAGAAGCAGACCTTCAAATAAACATTCTCCAAGGCTTTGACAGCAGCCATGCCATACTGAAGTTAATATACAACTGAAAAGGGCTATGAATGACCCTTTAAGGGAGATTCTGGGAGCAGAGAGAGGAAGATTGCTATAAGATTACAAAATAATTGGCTTGCTGGTGGTGAGAAGACAAAAGAAAATGCTTGCGGAGACAAAGCCACAGAGATGGATGGGCCTCTAAGGCTCCTCTGCCTTGTAGGCTGTAAGTAAACAAACTTTAAATCTTGAGAAAGACAAAAATCGTTTTTAATAATTTACGAACGCACACTGCAGGGTAGGCTTAGCTAAAGAAGGTTGCACGGAAAGATCAAATGTTTGAGAAAACATATAGATCATGTACACAATAAGAAATATATATATCCATCTCTATTTGAAATTGGCACTTTTATAAAGAGAGAACAAGAGGACATAATAACATAGCTGAAAAGAGACTTGCGTCCATCAAGTTCAGCCTTCCTCACATATGTTTTTGCTGTTGATCCAAAAGAAGGCAAAAAAATCTAGTCTGAAGCACTTCCAATTTTGCAACAAACTAGGAAAAAAATCTTTTTTGACCCCAAAATAGCAGTCAGATGTCTCCTTGGATAAGGCAGCTATTACCCCACTAATTAGAAATGATATCCCTGTATGTTATGTTTTTGCAAGTATTTATCCAATTGCAGTTTAAACATTTGTATGGACTCTGATAAAACCACATCTTCAGGCAGAGAATTCCATATCATTATTGTTCTTACAGTAAAAAAACTTTTTCTTTGCCTTAGATGAAATCTCCTTTCTTCCAGCCTAAATGTGTGACCTCGTGTCCTATGTATAGCCCTGTTTATGAATAGATTTCCAGATAATGGTTTGTACTGGCCTCGAATATATTTGTATAATGTTATCATATCCCCTCTCAGGCGATTTTTTTCTCAGGTTTAAATTTGTTAACCTTCCTTCATAGCTGATCTTTTCCATTCCATTTATTAATTTTGTAGCCCACCTCTGCACTTTTTCTAGTGCCATATCCTTCTTTAGAACAGGTGCCCAAAATGGCACAGCAGGTGTTGTCTACCCAGTGATTTATAAAGAGGCAAAATGATATTCTCATCCCGAGAATTTATGCCCCTATTTATACATGACAAAACCTTACTGGCCTTAGCAACGGCAGATTGACATTGCATATTGCTGCCTAATTTGTTGTCTATAACAATTCCCAAATCCTTCTCGTGTGTGGTTATCCCTAGTTCACTACCATTTAGGGTGTAAGTTGCTTGTGCATTCTTGACCCTGAAGTGCATAACTTTGCATTTCTCTATGTTAAATTTCATCTGCCATTTTAGTGCCCAGTCCCCCAATCTATCCAAACCCCTCTACAGCAAAGCAATATCCTGCTCACATTTTAGTACTTTACAAAGTTTTGTGTCATCTGCCAACATTAAAACATGGCTTTCAATGCCTATTTAAAGATTATTTATAAATATGTTAAATAGAAGCTGTCCCAAAACAGAACCCGGAGGGACACCACTTTCCACTTTTGTCCAGCCTGAAAATTTACCATTAATGACATGTTAACCCTGAAAGCACTACAGCAAGCCAAGGTGATTTTGGATGCGGTGTGTTCCTTTATGGTCTTTATTGGAGCACGTCTCACAGTGTTTACAAACTACATAAAAAAGCAAAAGTGAAAATATGGGCCTGCAGGCTTTTGGAAACAGGTTAACAAATTCAGCTTGGAATGCAAGCTGTAACACCTCACTATACCACTACAAATGACTAATATTACACTATAAGGCTACACTGTTACTGCCCTTTGAGGATCAACCAATATTTTCCAGAGCTGATATAGATTGTTGGTCGCCTTGGTTAGATAGCCGATGTTCTCTACATTCAAGATTTTGAGAAAGCAACAATGTCTACACAAATCTGGCATTAACTAAACATACTGACAGCTATCACACTCCTATTACTCACAGGCAGCCAACCCAGTACAATACAGTAGATTATTCACCGTTTCACCTCCGCATAGAGGGGTTTACAGGAAGTGGTGACGTGAGGTCGCGATGTAGCACCTTGTAGGCTGGCAGTTATAGTTTCCGGAGGCAGGCAACAGCAGACAGTGGCTGGGAGAGGTAAGTTATTAGTAAATTACAAACCCAATACCGATCATCAGAAATATGTGGAATATCAGCTCTACTAATAGACAGCACTGATAATCTCTCTATCCTTAGATATATCAATATTTCTCTATATCTCTCTACCTTGGCACAATAATACCAATGAGTTCCCTTAATTATACTTTGTATCGTCTAGTGCAGGGGTAGTCAACCTTCGGCACTCCAGATGTTGTGGATTATATCCTCCATAATGCTCTTACACCCATAATGCTAGCAAAGCATCATGGGAGGTGTAGTCCAAAACATCTGCAGTGTCGAAGGTTACCTATGCCTGGTCTATTGTTTCCCTGCATTCGAATGGAATTGATCCCTTCTCTTCAGTTACCGAACAGATTCTGGGAGGTCCCCTTGTTCGCAAATCATGTTTAGGCTTGATTGAAAGATTGTGCTTGTCCCATTCTAAATATGATAAAAATTAGGCTTGTGTATTAATCTGTGGATCGGTATTAATGTCTCTTTTGGATGATATTCTAACACAAGGCTTATTCATATCAAAGGACTCCTTAACTAAGAGGGAATCAAGACATATGGCGAATGAGAGAGTTATTTTATACTGAAACCAGACTTCCAGGCCACTTATGTGTGACTACTCACACTTTACAGAGTAGCTCTGCTGGGGTCCCAGCTACAAAGAGGAATTTAGGTTGTAAGCTCTGACCTCCCATACAATCAAATTAACCCCCTTTTGAAATTGACAATACCACCTCTACCAGGCAGCCAGTTCATATATGCACGAACATAACTTTTGTTTTACGGAGCCGATCTGAGCCATTTTTGGATATGTTGTGCGCTCAGATTGGGGCTATTTGGGAATATAATTTTGTGGGGTTCCGATGCGGTTGTCATGTATTTTTGTGATATGTAAAAATTGTATGGAAGTTTTCCAATTTGAGAGATAGTTGGATTAGCTTAATTGGAGCTCAATTATCTCTCAAACACAATGGCTTGTGGGAAGGAAACCACTGTAATTTTGTATTGGAAACACCATGCTACAGGCACTGCATAAAAAGCAGAGTGTGGCCTAATAAAGTTCAGATTGCTCCTTTTACCCAATAAAACTGGTTGCGTCCATTATATTGGGGAAATTCTACACAACGGGAATACTTTCACTACATTCCGCACATCTGAAATTAGGACTAGTGGAGGATTGAAGGAATAACCGCAATAGACTCACGAACCTGTGACAGTAGGCTTTTCCCAAACTCTGACTTGAGACATGTAGATGAGTGTCAATAGTACATTTTGTTTTTCCATGAAACAATGTGGGAGTTTTATTATGTTTATTCTCACCACAACTTTTTTAGATAAAGATACACACACACACTTACTCACACTAGAATGCAAAGTCAAGCTGCCTAGTGGTTATGTAATTCCTTATGGGTGATGAAAACCAGTACGCGATCAGTGAATTAGAATTCAGAGCATGTGTCATATATATGAATCCCTGATTTAAAGTAAACAGAACACAATATAACATTTAAGGAAAGATTTCTCTTTCCGAAGCAGAGATTGTTGTATTCTGAGTGTAAGCGTTAATTACGAACCAAAATTATGGCCTGCTGGAAAAAAACTGAGCTCTGTTATATTCTCACAGCAGATCTTAAGCCAAAAAGTACGTTATTAGTACTTCTGTTGCTCTCGCTTTCCTCGTTCATCCAATCTGCACCATGTCGCTAATAGCCTTTGACAATAGAGCTGACGAGCTTTTCAGAGTTGCAACCTTTGCTGATTTCTCCTGAATGCCCCTCTGATGGCAGCATGGAGAGTTTAGTCCTACACTGTCAAGACATGCCTTGAATAGGATTGTAAGAACCGAATCTACCCCCATCCTCTCCATGTTCAACACATTCTTCAGAAAAATAGGGCTCTGGGAGATGGGAACGCAAGCAGCATTATAACGTTAACAATGGAAGAGCAAGTGAGAAAGACAAAGGCTGGTTTATAAACAGGTACTGTAAGCCAAACATCCATATTGGTGCTTCCCCCCCCCCCTTCCATTGTTTCACCAGCAAGCTTTTTAAAGTCTCATTAGCCTCGCTTCTTGTTAGAATACGCCACAATCAACCAAAGGCAGTGCTTGGCAAAGGAAAATAGAGAAGTTGTAAAAATCCACATCTATTTGCAGAATATCTATTCTTTATCTGCAAATGTAAAGTTCGTCTTTACATTTGCAGATACTGTGCCATACTCAATTAAACCTATTCTATTCGAAATATACAGCGTGTTCAGATATTAAACAAGCTGTTTTACCTGCAGCAATATTGCAACCAGGCTGACCTGCTGTGTGAAATCGAATTGTTCTATACAAAATGGTCACCTTTTCAAAGATTTATCACATAACCTTCCTACAGTAATGACTGAGATGTAAAGTTTGTGCTTTGAGGTCAAGAAACAACAAGTTCAATTGTTTTGAGCAGATCGTAGTGCTGACTTATTGAAAGGTTTGTGCCAATCAAAATGGTTTGGACTATATTCACCAAAACGCCCTTCTCGCAGGTATCCTAGTAGAACATCAACGGGGGGGAGGGGGGGAGAAACATTTTTCCCTTCCCCTGCGGTAATACTTTTCTTAAAAAAGAGACAGCTAAAACAGAAGATTATGGTAGTTGTTTTTTTAGGTGATTACATAAAAAAGAAAATGAAAATATGTATCTATCTACATACACACACTCCCATCATTTGATCAATTCTTTTTGACACTTGGCTAATTTTAGTCAGACATATATACTCACAAGATTACCCCCCACCCCATGTAGTCTTTTGCAGATTTTTATTTTTAATGGTTTTTAAAGCAACCTTTAAAGGAAAAATAAACATTCGGCATCATTAGATTAGATTTACAAGGATCATTACATTAATTATGCACATCACTATTTACTTCCATAAATGTTATTTGGGCTACGTTAAATAATCTCTTTGGAAAAGAAACATGGAAGACATTATTTAATTGAGCGTGTAGTGCTGTGGTCGGCAAATTAATGCACGACCCACGTCCATGCTAAGCCTCATGATGAACGCTCCTTGCATAGTGCATAGAAAGCAGATTCAAATGCATTTCGAAGAATCTGTATGTCACTCACTGTGAATTGATTTATGAAGTCTGCTCACATTCATAGTTTAAGATTAACTCTTGGGATTAATGCAGGGCACGTCACTGCAATGAACTGATCTTGTCCTGTTAATTTAGCTTCGCGGCTGTGTTTAGTTATTAAATAAATTCTCCAAGCACCATAATCACTACAGCATGCTGTAGCAGTTATGGTGCCAAGAGTGCCCTTGCTGGATGTTCATTGAGCCAAGCCTAGTGGTGCAAAGCTTAGCTCATTGGCTGACAGAGAACAGAGGAGCGAACATCTGGCTGCAGAAAGGCAGGGAGCAAACCCCAGGTAAGAAGTCAGTTAGAAAAGGGGCACTGGGGCCCTGCTTGCACAATAATGACTACAGCACACTGTAGTAGTTATGGTTCTAAGAGTTTTAAAGGAAGTTGCTGTATTTAAAGGGAAACTCCAGACCCCTAAAGCACTTTAGCTTCATGAAAAGCTAAATTGAAAAAAGAGAGTGTGTCCTCTTTTTTCAATTTGCAAAAATTGCATATTTCAATATAAATCAACATTTTTTTTTTTTATAAATTACCTAGTTACACCCCCTTTGCCTTTCAAGCAGACAACAGGTAATTTTACTTCCTGGTTTGGTTATCACAGTGTAGCAAAACTCAGGCAATTGCTTAGAGCACCTGCCTTGCAAAGACTTCTCATTGAGCAGCATTGGAAAGTCTGTGATTGGACAGTCACAGAAAGTCTGGGTGGAGCTAGAAGGGGAGGGCTAGGAAAGGCAACATACAAGAGGACTGTAGGTTTTGCAAGTTGTTTTTAGATATACCCACAATAATAATAAAAAAAAACATAAATAAATGCATCCAAGCGTTCATTATCTATTTTTATATGGGCACTGCAGTGTTATCTAACATTTATTTCTTATCCATTCTACTTAGACGGAAGTAATTTCTGAACTAAACACAATTAATCAAGCTACTGCAACCCTCCACACTCCTCCATACCAATTCTATTAGACCTCTCTGCTGCCTATTAGACCTCTCTCACTGTTGATAAAGTTCTCCTTATTTAAACTTGACACACTTAGCCTCCGCGACTCTGTCCTTTCACGGTTTTCTTCCAATGATCATTCCGTGCCTGCTTTTCCAATAACACCTACCAGTCTGTCTTTGATACCTTCTGTTCTCTCTTTTTGCTGCCTCTCTTGGCAAGCTTATTAATGCTATTGACTTCCTCTACCACCTGTACGTTGATGATATCCAAAAATCTCTCACGCTGTCCTAGAACGCGTCACCATTTGCCTCTCTGTCTCTGAATGGATGTCCTTACGCTTTCTAAAACTGAGTTTACCTTCCCTCGTCATTATACCAGCCCTCTGCTGTCACTCTCTATGCAAAGTGATGATACACACATTAGACCATCCTTGCAAGCTTGCTGCCTTGAGGTCATCTAGGATTCTGGTCTCACCTCTTCACCTCAAATCTTGTCTGTCACCAAATCTTGCCATTTTCAACTTAAAACCTCTGCCTGCATCTCCTCCTTTATCACCCAAGTTGCTACAAAGGAGCTTGTTCATGATTTTGTAATTTCACACATTGATTACAGTAATTCTCTCCTAATTGGTCTCTCCAGAAACCATATAGCCTCTTTACAGTCCATAGTGAATGCTGCTATCAGGATTAGGTGTCTCTCCCCATCGTATCTCTCTCATGTCTGCCCTCTGTCAATCATTACACTGGCATCTTGTACCCCATAAGATTCAATTCAAAATATCAATGCTTACCTATAAAGCTCTCAACAACTCTACCCCACGTCACATTGCTTCACTACAGGGAGTGCAGAATTATTAGGCAAGTTGTATTTTTGAGGATTAATTTTATTATTGAACAACAACCATGTTCTCAATGAACCCAAAAAACTCATTAATATCAAAGCTGAATATTTTTGGAAGTAGTTTTTAGTTTGTTTTTAGTTATAGCTATGTTAGGGGGATATCTGTGTGTGCAGGTGACTATTACTGTGCATAATTATTAGGCAACTTAACAAAAAACAAATATATACCCATTTCAATTATTTATTATTACCAGTGAAACCAATATAACATCTCAACATTCACAAATATACATTTCTGACATTCAAAAACAAAACAAAAACAAATCAGTGACCAATATAGCCACCTTTCTTTGCAAGGACACTCAAAAGCCTGCCATCCATGGATTCTGTCAGTGTTTTGATCTGTTCACCATCAACATTGCGTGCAGCAGCAACCACAGCCTCCCAGACACTGTTCAGAGAGGTGTACTGTTTTCCCTCCTTGTAAATCTCACATTTGATGATGGACCACAGGTTCTCAATGGGGTTCAGATCAGGTGAACAAGGAGGCCATGTCATTAGATTTTCTTCTTTTATACCCTTTCTTGCCAGCCACGCTGTGGAGTACTTGGACGCGTGTGATGGAGCATTGTCCTGCATGAAAATCATGTTTTTCTTGAAGGATGCAGACTTCTTCCTGTACCACTGCTTGAAGAAGGTGTCTTCCAGGAACTGGCAGTAGGACTGGGAGTTGAGCTTGACTCCATCCTCAACCCGAAAAGGCCCCACAAGCTCATCTTTGATGATACCAGCCCAAACCAGTACTCCACCTCCACCTTGCTGGAGTCTGAGTCGGACTGGAGCTCTCTGCCCTTTACCAATCCAGCCACGGGCCCATCCATCTGGCCCATCAAGACTCACTCTCATTTCATCAGTCCATAAAACCTTAGAAAAATCAGTCTTGAGATATTTCTTGGCCCAGTCTTGACGTTTCAGCTTGTGTGTCTTGTTCAGTGGTGGTCGTCTTTCAGCCTTTCTTACCTTGGCCATGTCTCTGAGTATTGCACACCTTGTGCTTTTGGGCACTCCAGTGATGTTGCAGCTCTGAAATATGGCCAAACTGGTGGCAAGTGGCATCGTGGCAGCTGCACGCTTGACTTTTCTCAGTTCATGGGCAGTTATTTTGCGCCTTGGTTTTTCCACACGCTTCTTGCGACCCTGTTGACTATTTTGAATGAAACGCTTGATTGTTCGATGATCACGCTTCAGAAGCTTTGCAATTTTAAGAGTGCTGCATCCCTCTGCAAGATATCTCACTATTTTTGACTTTTCTGAGCCTGTCAAGTCCTTCTTTTGACCCATTTTGCCAAAGGAAAGGAAGTTGCCTAATAATTATGCACACCTGATATAGGGTGTTGATGTCATTAGACCACACCCCTTCTCATTACAGAGATGCACATCACCTAATATGCTTAATTGGTAGTAGGCTTTTGAGCCTATACAGCTTGGAGTAAGACAACATGCATAAAGAGGATGATGTGGTCAAAATACTCATTTGCCTAATAATTCTGCACTCCCTGTATTTCATACATACAAGCCCTTATGGGTCACACTGCTCTGCAGGGGAGATTATCCTGTCTGCTGCTTGTATCCCGTACTGCTAATTCGTATTAGGGGACTTTCATCAGGCAAATCCATTCCTAAGGAAAAGCCTGCCTTCTCCCATTAGAATTTGACAGTGCCGCTTTAAAAAACAAAAAACAAAAACACCTTTTATCTCTTCAGAATAGCCCATGACTTCCCCAGGGTAAAGGTCATTCCGCAAACTTATCTCTCCGCTTGATAAGTGGATACTATTGTGTTTCTTTGCCACCCTTGTCACTTGGTCCCCAACATTGCCCTTCCTATTTTTTTTTTTTTAATAGCCTACCTCCTTAATTATCTAGTTTCCCTCATTTCTTGTTAAATTCCCCTTTTATATTATTGTAAATCTCTGCAGAATAAGCTGGAGCTATGTAAATACCAATAATAATTAGAATAATAATTTCAGAGGCCAGATCATATTTTAGAACCCTGTACTACAAGGATGGGGATGTCATCAATACAATTATTTACATTATATAATAATGCACGGATTACCTCTGTACTGTCTCAGGGACCTTGTCTCGGGCAGAACGGAGACATTAAAGTATTTCTTTAAACACTGTATTTTCGTTTGTTCATGTAGTCACCACAGGGACTACTGGCACTATGCAAGTGCTGCACACCGTATAATATTGAGAAAATAAATGCAACCCTACCTTTAATGTTTGAAGAAAAGTTCTCTATTGCATTGTATTTCTGCAGAATAGGAAACTGATTTTTACAGCATTTTAAAAAAAAATAATTCTCAATTTATGAGAGCATGCCAAAATTTTTTCATTGTGGACGTGCAACAATAACAAAAAATATAAATATTTTAATTGAAAAAATGTTAATGTAATAAAAACAACAAAAATTACCCCCCCCCCCCAAAAAAAGAAAACCAAGTTTTATACATAAATTTTATAAGTAATTTTTATAAGTAAAAATACCTATTCATTAATTACAGCAGTCGCTCACGATTTGATGACGTCGGTACATATGTGCTGCTTGCTGTGTGGATTTGGAAATAGAAAAGGGCTTTTGTGCCTGATTGTGGCATGAATAAAATCTGCAAATAGAAGTGCAGAAAGGTAGGGCCTCACTCTGATTGAAGGCTGACAGCTTACCAAGAAATGACGCTCAGCGTGTGAGCAACACAGCAGTGCTTAAGCTAAAAAAGCTACCCACGTCATCACAAATTAACCTAGCTGCTGGAAGGCATAACTCAAAAACAGAATTGTTTTAATCATTTAAAAAAATATTCACATAAATATACACATTTTTTTTTTTCTGGCAATCGCTCCATGCATGCAGTGAAGTATATTTATTTAGTCCTTGGATTTTTTTCTTTGCAATAAACTATATAGAATTAGAGAAAAAAATAAATAAATAAAAAAAATCTGAAAAAAAACCCAAAACAACAAGCCATGGCTTGTGAGGCATTTAACTGAAGACTAACATTTCTACGAAATCAAGTGGTGCGTTTAACAGGAGCATTCAACTAGCACCAAGCCTGCTAATTAGAATAGCAGATAATCTGTAATAATAGTAGGTTGGGTCCTGTTAGATTCATTTAATTCTATCAAATTAATAGATGTCATCTCACTGATGTCTATGGGAGATCATCTAATCAATTAGTAGAAATCAAGCGTTTCTTGCTCTGTATCAGAAAAGATGTTGCTTAATTTAAAACATACATTAGCAATATATAGCAGGTCTCAAAATTTCTACTTGCCCACTTGTAAAGAAAGATAGGTGGTGAATGGGCTACTAGGATCTTGGGGGGACCTGAACTATGGACTACTGGCTATCGGGAGGAGAACTGAGGGCTACTGGCTAAAGAAGGCCACATCGGACATTAACATTGCATGCAAAATCAGTCTATCTAAAAGGCACTCTGGCAATGGCTAGTGGAGACCAAATCTTCTCCTTTTCTGTTTAAACAGATCCAATTTTGCTAAAGTGTAGCACAGAAGTTGACAGTGTTGTGTTCTGTGTCAACTATATTCTTTCTCCTTGTAATCTAGAACCCAGAGCGCGTGAGTAAAGATAACACAGATGGTCATGTACACGGATTAATTAGTAAAACAGCGATAGTCTATCTAAAACAAATTACAAAAGGATAAGACAAAGTGCAGTGTATCATAAAAGAAGGTCAGGGATGGCAGCGTAGATTTTACATCAGGGTTGACAAGGAATGATTAAGTTGTTTCAACAGACAACTCATTAGTGATCTTGATAACAAGTGACCAACGAGGTCTCAGTCCTTTAGGTATTGTGGTATATCAAGTGGGAAAGATGCGGCGTCTGGTGCCGTACAGAAGGATGCATCAATGAGTGCCACTAAAATAATGCAATGAGCTTGTGGAACCTGATTCAGCTAAAGATATTTTGGTGCTCAGAGTGTCTCTTTAATACAACAGGTCCAGCCACCCAAGAGGTAATACATAATTCCTCCTGTGAAGATGATTCCGGAAATGTTAACCCACCGTTCAAAACAAAGTTCTGCTAACTTACTCACATATCTAGAGGTCTCTTCCAGATTCTGGTCATTCATGTCTTTCGGAATAATTCTGGTTGCCTTTTTCCCCTTGGCATATGGTTTTGGAAGTTGCCCTCTGAACTCGGACTCAATAAACTGGAGGTGCCAACTATATATAACATGAAAAAAAACAAATAAATGAATAAATATTTTCACACAAAACTTATTGAACGTAAAAACTTTTCTTAAATACACATCATTGTTGTGTTGGGTGGGCTACTAAGGTGACTGAAAAGAAAACACACACAAAAATTCCCCCCCTTCCCAAAAAAAAGGGTGCATTTTACATTTTATTTTTAGGATCACTATTATCATGAACTGTTGGCACTTTTTGTAGGGCTAAAAGTAAAAACAAAATTAGGCTAGAAACACATAAGTTAGCATATGATCAGGGGCCACGATACAAGGTATCTGTTGTCGGCTACTCCACCTGCAGAACCAGTGACTCCAGTAGAGGAGAACATAGTAACTTTTGAGTAAAGAGCTATGCAGTACTAAAAATCTATGGGGAGTCAGACAAAACAGATATAAAATAGATCAGAACTTTACACTGAGCACCTATTTCACCTATTTTACATGCCGATTGATTAAGGACATTGCTTCAATGACAAAATGGCTTGGAAAGGCTACTCTAAAATCGTGAACTCACTTGTCTGGAAGAAGAAAGTTGCTAGGGAAACGGTACCATTCCTTTCCTACACACACATTGACTGATCTGCCCTCTGGCACTACGTGAAAAGAGGGATCTTTGGCAATCCGGTGGAATTCAGGATACAGGTCCAAAGGCCCATGGTAACCTGGAAAAAATGGTTAAAATAAATAGAAAAAAGAAGCAGCACACTCGAGCCTCTACGAACATATTTTGTCTACAGTGCTTCTATATTCTTCTAACAAATATCGCAAAGCAGTGACAGTCAATGCTTGGCATCACTGCTGACGATTCCATTTCCCGCAATGAGAGGTAAACGACAGCTCTACTTACACGGATATTAATTAAGATGAGCTATAACATGTTAGTCGTTTAGACAGGCTGCTGTGGAGGGTCACATGAAATGACAGAGACAAGACTATCTGACATGTTAAACAGCAAAAAACATTTTTTGTAACCTTTTTTTTTAACAAGGAATTATAGATTTCCAAACTCTGCTACAAATATAAGTTAATCAAAATTATACATATAGGCGAGGATCCCAGAATGTAAGGTTTACTCAAATACTGGATATGTCATACATTATTAAACACATTCTATCTTCACCTGACCTTCAGTGTATATACGTTATCTCTTTTCTTATTTGGGAACTGTATAATATTGGCAGAGCATTCTGTGTTTTTGATGTATCTGGACTGTCAGTGGCTGTGTGTGTTCGTGATATAAAGCATAGCACGTGGCTTGTATGTTCATTTTTGGAACATTTCCCAAACACTTTCGTTTACCCACCTCTAAATAAAGCTATGGAACGGGATAAGGATAGAAGGCCAAACAGGAAAACAAATCCCAGTGCCAGCCAATTGGAAGAGACCGTATAATGTTCCAATCGATATCGCTGGAACAAGAAGTGGTAGCATTTCTAAAAGTAGAAAAGAAATCAAAAACACAAAAAGTGATTTAGTTGCAGCTATATACTATATAGCATAAAATAACATGTTAGCATTGTCAAAGGGTCACCCTAAGCATCATAACCATTTGCATTAATATCAGGCATAGGAGGCATATGTGATAAGCTGGGGGTGCTACCTATTCAATGCCCTTGCTAGACAGTGGTTGATGGGATAAGGTCAGATCTGAACAGAGATATCTGATCGAAGGAGCAGCTTCCTGGTTAAGTAGTGGTTGCCAGCTATTGAATTTTTAAGTTTTTGTTTTGTATCTAAAAGGTAGATTTCCCTAAATGATGTAAACTACAACTCCAATAATGCTTTGTTAGCCTTAACAATGTTAATCACCAAGGAAGTTGTATCTTATTTGATTGACAAGCTATTGAAAAAAATATCCAGATTAACAACACTAGCCTGACACAACCAGTTGTCCTGACGAAAGCATCCAAATTAGTTTTAAAGGAATCTACTAACATTCATAAAGCAACCTTTCTAGAAATTGAATTCCAAATCTTTATGGTTTCTACTGTACTCAATCATTTCTGCGGCTGTAGGTAAAATCTCCTGTCCTCAAGTCTCAGTGGATGACTGTTTGCCTGTTGTAATGCCCTGACAATGAACTGGTCACAAGAAAGCTCAGTACATATTTAAAGGATGTTCTCATATATCTTTCAGGATTCCTATTTCCATGTGTGAAGCGACTTTACAAGCATGGATGATGAATTTGATATAATGCCTTCTATCAGACTTGGGAAAAACGAATTAACCCCCTTCTCCCCTATGCATGTTTCACACGATACAGGTAAACTTATTATGAATGTTTTATTAAACAGTATATGTAAATGTCGAACAGTGTGAGACTAGATGTTCTACAACAAACAGGCAATACGCAGCTTCAAATTATGTTGTCCAAGATTGATTTGAATACATGAGCAATATTGCGTTTGGAGGCCCAAAATCTGCAGACTAATGAATATTGATCACAGCACTGAACTATTATTACAGATGTTAACAGCAGTTTGCTTTAATTCATGTTACAAATGGACTGCTAGCCCGGAGCTCTGTTCTTCTTACAACTCAAAATAAGCCATATAAGATAAGCACGTATAAATGGACCAACGGTACTGGAAGAAGAACTGTACATCACCTGTAGTGCCGAAAGAGCCACAGCCCCACAGAGGCAGATCAGAGGATAGATGGGAAACAGGAATCGCTCCTCCTTATGAGGTTGAGAGAAGAAAATAAGAATCCAGATATGCATAGGCGCCAATGTCAGCCAATACGGTCTTCCAAGGTTCTGAACTGCTAAATAAATTACATGGGATTGTTAATAAAGAACAGCCAGGCAAAAAACAAACAGAAAACAACACACTTAAAGTTAAGCTATCGGTTGTGCCTTTTAAAAGATAAAAATAAAAAATAAACAAATAAGATACAATAGTTTTCTTTTTAACCCCTTAAGGACCGGCCTGTTTTTGCGATGTTGTACGTTAAGGACCAGAGCGGTTTTAACACTTTTGTGATGTTTGTGTTTAGCTGTAATTTTCCTTTCTCTCATTTACGGTTCCCATACAAATTATATATTGGTTTTTTTCAGGACAAGAAGGGCTTTCTTTACATGCCATTATTTGTATCATGTCATATATTTTACTTTTTAAAAGCAGCACGCACACCGCAAGACTTACACTGTGAGCTGAACTGGGAGCTGCATGGAGCCGACAGAGAGCTGACCAGAGCTGCTACAAAGGTAAGTAAGAGCTCGCGGCCAGCCCCCAACAGGACCACCGGGCTTGTAATGAGCCTGGCAGTCCTGGTCTGTATTATGGCAATGTAAGTTGCCATAATAAAGACACTGACTCGAGTATAAGCCGAGTGGGGCTTTTTCAGCACAAGAAATGTGCCGAAAAACTCGGCTTATACAGTATATATTTTTTACATTTAGCAATTGTGACATTGTAACACTATTATCTGTCATAAATCCCTGAATCACACCCCACATGTACATATTTTTTAGTAGACATCCCAGGGTATTCAATATGGGGTATGTCCAGTCTTTTTTAGTAGCCACTTAGTCACAAACACTGGCCAAAGTTAGCATTTATATTTGTTTGTGTGTTAAAAATGCAAAAAACGCTAACTTTGGTCAGTGTTTGTGACTAAGTGGCTACTAAAAAAGGCTGAATATACCCCATTTGCAATACCTTGGGTTGTCTTCTTTTGCAAATGGTATGCCATCATGGGGGCAATTCTCATTCCTGGGCTACCATCCGCTCTCAAAGGCAACATTACCAATCTGACAAATTTCAATAATTTTTTTTTTTTAAATCAAGCCTTATATTTGACCCTGTAACTTTCAAAAACACTATAAAACCTCTACATGCGGGGTACTGTTATACTCAGGAGACTTCGCTGAACACAAATAACAGTGTTTCAGAACAGTAAAACCTATCACAGCAATATCATGAAAGTGCCGTTTGTGTGTGAAAAATGCAAACAACGTCACTTTCACTGACCATGTCATCGCTGTGATATGTTTTACTGTTTTGAAAGACTAATATTTGTGTTCAGCGAAGTCTCCTGAGTAAAACAGTACCCCTCATGTACAGGTTTTAGGGTGTCATAGAAAGTTACAGGGTTAAACACAGTGCTACCAAATTAAATTCTCTGGACTTTCGGCCTGGGTTCTCAGGCATGTCCCCCAAATTGCAATCAATAAAATTACTTAATTATGTAATAATATTACATAAATATGCACGTAGAATTTAAATATATATACATATTTATATATCTGAAGTCTACATGTATATTTATAACATTATTTATGTAATTATGTATATGGACATATGTATATTTCGTATTATTTTTATTTATTTATACATAGCTATATATATCAAAATACTGTTCGAATAAAATTATATATATATAATTTTTTTTAAATTATTAAAAATTTAACATTTTTTAATTTATTTTTATATACTTATTTATATTTTATAATATATATACACAATAGTTATATATATATACACACACGTGTGTAATTTAATTATAATTTTATTTTTATATATATATGTATATATAAATATATATATATACATATTATATATAGGTATAATACATACATACATATATATATATATATATATATATATATATATACACACACACACACACACACACACACACACACACACACATTTATTTTTTTACACTGATTGAATGTTTTTTTAACTTTGTGATTTTCCACTTGCAGGGAGACTGCCTGTCAGCACAGACAGGCCCCCTGCAGGCAGATACACAGGCACCTATTGCGGTCATGTGATCGAGTGATCATGTGGCCGCGGGGTCCTGATCTGCCACAGGGAGACTGTCTGTGCAGACAGGCAGTCTCCCTGGACCTGGACCGGGTGAGTACCCCAAGACCGTTATGACGGTTCAGGACAGTCATTGGTCCTCGAGGGGATGTTTCCGATGACTGTCCTGAACCGTCATCGGTCCTCAAGGAGTTAATATTTACATTGAATGCCAACAGACAAAGTATGTTATGTCTAATAACCACCATTGTGTTGTGTAAAAGAGCGTTCTACACTATTGAAGGAATGTACAAGCACGAATGTAAGAATTCTTGGAGCATCACAGAGCAATGTAGTCACTCACACTAGGCAGGGTGGCAGAGGTAAGAGTCTTTTATACTTCCACAAAAGTAATCTCATTACTCAGACGGCCTCCAGATTAAAGGGACATTCTGGCCTCTAAAGCACTTTATCTTAATGAAATGCTTTATGTTTAAAGAGTCTTCATTTTACAAAAAAGTGTTCAATAAAAAGTGATACTTTTATAAATAACATTTTAACACACTCTGACTTTCAAGCAGAGGACAGGTCTTACTGTTACTTCCTGGTTTGGTTAGCTCAGTGGAGCTAAACTCCGGCTTCAGGCAACTGCACAGAGCAACTGCTTTGCAAAGACTTCTCATTGAGCTGTATTGGGAGGTCTGTAATTGGACAGCCACAGAAAGCCTGGGCTGGGGAAGAGATCTGCAGCTTTGGTAGATTGTTTATATCTATACATCCAATGAAATGCATGCATATATTCATTTGAGGTATATTTACGAAACAGTGATTTTTTATTCATTTAATTTTTGTCGTTGGGCAGCACAGTGTTAGAAGGTTCCGATCAGAAAACACATCCAGGTTACTGCCATTGTCAGGGACGGTATCACCAGAGAACAAATTTAACATTGAGTAATTTCTTACTATTTATCTTCTGCAGCAAGTGTTCCATCAAGGCCGTTAGAGGCAATACAAAGAGAGCCATTACAAAGACCACATTAAAGTTCAGAAAGCCATTGATGAAATAGAAATGCCAAGGCTCTGTTCCTGTAAACAAAAAAGGAAGTCGATAAATAAACGTCATTCAAATATCTGTATGCATCGGCTCATTCAAACTACACTGTGAATAAGTAATCTGAACTTCAGGTAATTGTTTTAACAGTGTATCACACATTTCTAGAACTGCAGCTTTTCAATATACTTTTCAATGCTCAATTACGACAATCCAGCACAGAAAAGTTGCAGTCATTTAAGTAGGTGTAATTATTCCGTATTAGTGCCACGGTAACCCAGGTCATCTCTGTGCCAGATACAGTCCCCTCACCCATTTTGTCCCAGGAACACGGTAACCTAATGGTATAAAGGGACAACTTGTGTAAAAAGGGCACTGGTACCAAGGTAAAATGAATAAATGAGGATCGTCTTAAAAGAGGATTGGAATTATGTGAATAAAGTGAAACAGTTTGTGGTAGGATGTTGTATTCCTAACACTATAGTGCCCTCTGGCTCACCTCCACCAGGGAGGTCATCCAATGGGGGGGGATCCAATGTGCATGCATGGCAAGTGCCTTTGATAATTTCACAGACACTGGACATCCTCAAGCAGGTGACGTGGACATCCAGCATCGTTTGAGACACTCAGAGTCTGCACAGGTCCAGGAAGGGTCTCTAGGTGCGGTCTTGTAGAAAGCCACTAGAGGCAGTCTTAGTACTGTAAACATTGCAGCATTCCAAGACGCAGCATCCCGCCGCTCCTCCTCCTCCAATAAGGTCACAGTTCTGATGACTTTTTATATCCAGTAAATGCTCAATTTCTCATAGTGAATCACAATATTTATTGGTTTTCTACCAGACAATAGTGATGTTTGGTTTTATCATACTGTTTGCTAATGCTGAATGGAAAAATCTTCTAAAACCGAAGGTTTAAAAGAGTAGGTGCCTGTAATCGGCTGTGTGTCTGACATGCACTACAGGCCTGTTTCAGGCAAAATGTAAACACTACCACTTCTTAGATATGGCTCTTTTGCATCACCAGACAAAAAAGGCAGCCTCTCTGCATTAAGATGAAGTGGTTTTGGTACTTAGTGTGTCCCTTTAAGCCAGGGTTGATGCCTTAGCCAATCCGAAAATAATGAAGATTTTAAACCTGCAAATTACTTCTGGAAAAACAATACAGTTTTTGCAGGTACCACTCATAGCAAGACATCGGAGTACCCAAGGTGCACTGGAAGATATCAAGCGTGCTAACTCAGGCATATCTACAAGCAGAACATGTCCGTATATTAAACGGTATTTAAACTCCGGCTGTTTTCATTAGAGTTCACGTTCTGCTTTGTACAGAAGGGCCCTTCATTATCACTTCAACTTAAGTTACGAGTCTTCAAACAAGTAATGAGAGCATGAATTCAATGAAATCTTACAATTAGAACACACCAGAAATCAAACACTCGTGACACTCACAGCTCAGAACTTTCCTCGGTGATCTGACTTTTCTCTTTAAAGGGTTACTCCTTGCACCATGAGCACTTCAGTGATTTGAAGCAGTCATAGCGCCTGGAGTCTGCATGTGCAGTGTTTTGCTTTGAAGCTCTGCACATACAGAGATTAACCCCTTGGCTGCTGGAGTTCTAACTCCATATCTGCCAGCGTAATTGGAGCATCAGAGCACAGTAATGTCAATTCTGTGCAGCAAACCGGAAAAGTTCTCCACGTCAGCAAGGTTTTCAGATCAGCTATTTTGCTCTACATTATAAAATGTACTTTGAATTTCCACAAATGCTCATTTTAGAGAATTACATTGACAATGTCACACATTTTATATACACCATTTTCAGTTACATTAACAGTGTAATAAATTCACACATACACTACTCCCAAACAATGATGGACCAAGTGTTCTTATTTAGGAAGGACAATCCCGTAAAATCCCTCTGTCCCTCTTTTCTCTCCTAATGTCCCTCTTTTCTTGGAGTGCTATATTGTCGGTGTGTCTGAGTGTAAATGACAGAGCTCCACAGCAATAATACTCCCAGTAATGTGTCTGAGTCTACAACAGAGCTCCACAGTAATAATACTCCCAGTAATGTGTCTGAGTGTATAACAGAGCTCCCCAGCAATAATACTCCCAGTAATGTGTCTGAGTGTATAACAGAGCTCCACAACAATAATACTCCCAGTAATGTGTCTGAGTGTGTAAAAGAGCTCCACAGCAATAATACTCCCAGTAATGTGTCTGAGTGTATAACAGAGCTCCACAACAATAATACTCCCAGTAATGTGTCTGAGTGTGTAACAGAGCTCCATAGCAATAAAACTCCCACTAAGATGTCTCTAAACTACAAAAAAATCTGTTTAGAAATCAAATCTTCAAATTACATTTCAGTTGCATAAAGTTTTATTAGTAAATCACCTAACATTTTCCCGAACACCCCCGCCCCTAACCACACCCCACTTACACACCTAAAATTAAACGTCAATTCAGATCTTTCCTGATCCTATGAAATGTGCAAAAATGTTTAAAAAAATGTTATATTGTTGTGCTTGCTGTAAGGAAGCAACGAGCACACATAGTATTGTTAGACCATGACAGCGTTCAGGACAGCCACGGGCCAAAAATATGATTATTAGCCTCTCAAATCATTGTGCTTTAGAAAACAAGAGTAATCACGTCTCCAGGGTGGAAGAACGCATTGGAGCACACTTCAGTGTGATTAAAGCCCCCAAGACACAAGCTGACAGAACTGACTATGCTTCCGGAAGCAATTAAGAGCACTGTGCTGCATATGCATGCGCACATCCCGAGAGGCCAAACCAACAGGTGCAGCCCTCAGGAAATATTAACAGCTTAAAGCAGCACTGATAGAATCTGTACAAAATCCTGATTTAGACTGCGATGGAATCTAACATGATCAAGCGATATCTGCTACTTTGTCTCATGTAGAGGCCAATATCTGGCAAAAATCAGAGCTTCAAACAGCTTTTGCCACCACATCTTGCCATTCTCCATCTATGTCTTGGTACCTTAGATTTGACTAAAATTTGAAATGGGCTAACAGTTGCGTGTGTTATTTTTAATAAAATAGTCTATCCTTGCACATATTAAACAACACAAATGGCAGTAACAGTTCTTAAAAATACAGTATGACTTCTTGCATTTCCCCCCCCCCCACTAAACAGGGAATGAAAGAGACATGACAAGGAAATTGAAAATTTAACACAAGATAGATGAATTGGATCCATTTACTTCACCGTCATTTTTCATTAAAACATTTGCTAACACCCTGGTCAACTATCTATAATGACAGGTTTATTGAATAAGCTACAATTATCTTTGTACTCCCAATCATTCAGCAATATTCTCCTATTTTAATACACAATAAAATATTATTTATCTCTGCGATATAATAAAATAAATAATATCCGAAACAAAAAACATCAGACATTCAAACGATTATGCCAAACACCATCTTGAGGTGGTCAAGGAGCCAGGAGTTGGTATGTGCTATATCTCGCTTTGAAACGTTGCGCATACGGAGTTTAACCCCTCTATTACCAACCATCATAATCTCTACAGTGGGCTGTAGTGTCTATGATACTTGGAGTAACCCTTTAAGTTTTTGGGCAACCTAGTTTTTCTTTGGTAACTCCTACAGAGACTTTAGATAAATTAGTACCATAATAATCATGTTTTTCCTACCAAACCTTTCCTGCTTTTTTACTTTCGCCCACTTATGTGGCCCTTGAAATAAGAAGTATACTGTAGATCTATTTTCGTTTCTAAACATTTTTCTTTTCTTTGGATTTGATTGCATCATTACTACATGTATTCTTGAAATAACAGGTTTAAATTATCACATCAAAATTTAACTTTTTTGCTTTTCATTAAAAATGTTTACTTTTTTTTTCTTCTAAAACTATGCTAATATTTATATGAATGATTTTAAAAAAAAATATATAATATGAGAAGCATGTCTGCATAGGCCTGCAGATAGAAATAATTTTTAAAATATTTAAAGGGGCACTATAGTCACTATAACAACTACAGCTTATTGTATTTGTTCTGGTGAGTATAATCAGCCCCTTTAGGCTTTTTGCATTAAACAGTTTTTTTCAGAGAAAAGGCAGTGGTTACATTACAGCCTAGGGATACCTCCACTGGCCACTCCTCAGATGGCTGCTAGAGGAGTTTCCTGACTGACATTCAGTGTCTCCTCCCTCTGCATGCAGACACTGAACTTTCCTCATAGAGATTCATTGATTCAATTCTTCTGTAAGAGGAGATGCTGATTGGCCAGGGCTGTGTTTGGCTTATGCTGGCTCTGACCCTTATCTGCCTCTTTGTCAGTCTCAGCCAATCCTATGGGAAAGCACTGTGATTGGCTCAGATCATAACTTTCGATAATGTCAGCCAAGCAGGCAGAACAGGAGCAGAGTTAGCAGCAGCAGACTGGAATAAAGGTAAAAGATTTTACTATATTTAGTGGAGCAGGAAGGGCCAGATAGTGTTTTAACATAAATACATACATGTTTGTGTTCCTAACCCTATATTGTTCCTTTAAAACCATCAAAGAATCATCATCAGAATGAAGTTGCTATGATACCAGGAGGTTGCTTACCTTGAAGGTTTTAAAACTGAAGGTTTAGCCTCAATGTCTTTTCTCCTTTCAGCCTTGCCACCTCCATTTTTGCATGCGTCCCTTGAACTGGTGCCACTGAGAGGCTGAGAGTGTCAGCTGACACTCTCAGCTGATCAGTAGCACCCCATTCACAAAATGGCTTGAGAACCATTTTTCTCAGGCAGTTTTGTGAATCAGTATCAAGCAGTATTGAGCTGTATGGCGTTGAGGTTAAGCCAACGACATGCTACTGTGGTTACTATGGTGTCCGGAGTGTTCCTTTATGTAAACACTGAAAATAAAATGACTGCAAGTATGTTTATAACCTACAGAAGACGCTGTGGTTCAATAATGGTTTGTTTTTTATGTTATGCGGTCAATATTTCCAATCAAAATTAGCGTATGACCACGTACATTGTTTACCAAGCACATAAGACAATATTTAATTATTGGGCACACAGAAGATTATCTGGGTATAAGAAATGTTATAGTTATATTATAGTAACCTACCACATCACTATGTCTCTTAACATGCCATTCAGACAGAAGCAATTCAGCATCTTATATATGACTATTTCTTACCCTACTTGGGGTTCTTCACTAAAACGTGAATTGTTCAGAATTCAAAGTGAATTAATTTTTTTAGGCCAAAATTGATAAACTGAAAATATTGCTAACTTAGAGAATTTTTCTAGTCCAGATACTTTGGCCTGAAATTTGAGATTTACTTAGAATTCCTGCCTATTCACACTTTAGTGATTAACATTGTACGTTCTTGTTTTTTGTTGCCTAAAACTAGCATTCCACCAGCCGTAGCAGCTCTGTTTTGCATAGGATATCAAGTTTTTATTTTGTATAAGTGAGGGTTATTTAAACTGTGAATTGTCTGTGATTGAACAAGGAATTTTACACGTCGAAACGGACTGTATGGAAGGAAAGATCAGAGCAAGAGAATTTTTAGAAGTCACTTATTTCAGTGTAAAATTAGAAATTCCCTGGTCATTCGAAAACGATTCAATGTTTATTGAATATAGTGAATAAACCTGCAGGTGGTGGCATGAATAGGGTTAAAAAATGAACAACACTTCCATGCGGATGTGAACAGCAAGATATTATCCTCCCTTCATAATCCACTCCCCCCTCCCTCCACCCCGATCTGATCAATGCAATCAGTCGGGAAATCACAAGCGCTGCTCTTAATCACTGCAGTGTTGTGACAGCTGCTACCAGCTACAGCAATTTGCTGCAATCAATGCCACTTAAAAAGGGTACAGCGTACAGAGAAGTGAGACGGGGAGGAGGGGGGGGGGGAGAATAAAGAGAGGGTCTGGGAGGGAGAGGGGAAGGATGAGTAGATCTACAGGCTTGTATATAAGCCAAAACAGAAAGATAGTACATGTCACAAATATTTCGAGCTACCCTTGACATCAGTGACCGATCTTTGACCATTCAAATTCAGCAACTATTATTTTATATTCTGCTACCAACTGCCCAAAAAAGCTATGGAATCGATTTACCATATTACTTCAAATAGGTGTTAATCACGTACATTGTGCCAGCAACTTCCATATTTTTACATCTCTAAGCACATGCACTACTCAGAAACATAAAGTGGAACGATCACATGGGGAGTTTTGTAATAACTTGTCATGTGCAATGCGTTGTGCTTTATTTTAACATTACCATTTGTTTCTCCTATTGTTTTCTCTTCTCTTCCCCTATCTGTTCTTCTTTTCTTTATTATTATTATTATTATTATTATTGGTATTTATATAACGCCAACTAATTCCGCAGCGCTTTACAATATTATGAAAGGGGGAGAATTTTACCATAAATGAGACTATTACACAGTGACACAGGAACAATTGGCAGATGAGGGCCCTGCTCAAACGTGGTTACAGTCTAGAGGAGGTGGGGAACAAAAACACAACAGGGCAGCAAAGTTCTCCTTAAAACATACTTTGTTTTATGTATCTTTCCTACACTTGTTATGATAAAATGTTGGAGCTTAAGGCAAGCATCACTTCCTTTCTCAAGCTAACAAAGGGTGAAGCTTTTCTTAATCAGATTGCAAAGTGTAGGAAAATACATAACACAAAATAGTCCCGACTATTCAATCAGGCTATTACTAGCCAGGCCTTAAACATTAATCACCCCTGCAAGCCCAGAGGGTACAAGCTCATTCACCAGGGGTTAACTATTTGTCAGGGCTAACTTTTCACTCACCAATAGCTGATGGAAATGTTGAGCCCTGTACATATAATATATATAACAAGAATAAGATAATGGGATCTAAATTATACTAAGCATAATTTCTCCTTCCCTGGATCTCCTATGATTGGGTTTAGATGACGGTTTTTATGCAATTAATGTTGTTTAGCACAGCTCCCCGGTGTGCCTCGTTTATAACACGGCACCCATTATTACATTGAGTCAGGATTCATTAGGGGCCATGCAGTCATTTTCAGTTTCAGCAGACAGCATTAACAATCCTAATTAATTTGTAGAATTTGTGTCACATCACACTTTTTTTTTTTTTTTTTTATGCTTTTAAACAACATCAGGTTACCATGAATACAACATTGCTTTGAGAAATCAAAGAGTGTTGATAAGACGCATTTAGCTGCAAAGAAATAGGACTTGATTTAAAAAGTACTTCTCCTGTATGGAGAGATTTGATCTCATTCTTGTCATGTTAATTCATTCTGAAGGCTTCATACAAGTACATCAATGTAATGGCAGTCAATTTATATTTTTTCAAATGTTGCAACATTTTAGGTAGAAATGGCTATGAATTTATTTTTGAAACAAAAATTGCACCTATCTCAAAATCTCTAAAGGAAGGTAGACTTTAGCGGGCTCGCACAATTACATTATATAAAGGGCAGCATGAAAGCTGGATTCTTTAAATATTATTAATATTTATAAAGCTTATTAACCTGTGTGTAGAAACAATGTACCAAAAATAAAATGGTGTAATTCTGCAGTCACAGCATTGATATTTGCAAGTAATTTGGTAAAAATCCAGACACTTTCTCGATTCTGATCTGGATTATTTTGGAACCGAAAATATAAATGTCTTGTTCTTTGGATACATAGTTACAAAAAATACTAAAAAGAAAAGAACATGTGATAGTATTGTTGGCAAATAGAGAAATGAATACATATTTTGTGAAATAACCCTAAATGTAGGATTTCAGGCTTTCTTAGAGAAGGTGGTAATACGAGGTTTGCTAAAGGCCAATATTTACATTTTGGCATATGCACGCAGTACTCTCACCACCTCAACACTATTCTGATTAAAAAGCAGAAGCAGCCTTTATCTAGACACTGGGTCATAATCAGGAGTTATTCCTGACGCATAGCAAAGCTGAATTTGAAAGGCTCAATGCGTCATAGCAGGAAAAGATAAGTGAACTGCTGACGCAAGGGGGCCTGTAAAATGGAGGGGGGTAACTGCAATGATTCATGTTTAAAGGCGTGTTATTGGGAGTTATTGTAAACCTTACCTATCCAGTTGGTTCTAGACAGACCAGTAAATCTGGCAACAAAACGGTTAATTTCCCTGTACCCCCAACCCCAAGCAATTTTCTTCCACGTAGGTAAGGCTGTAATAATCACATCATATGAGATAATCTATATATCTGCGTGTTGTCCGATGTATTTACAGAGATGGCCGAATATTTTATATCCTAAAAAAGCTGCATCCTATAAAACAATGACGTCAAGTGCTTTTGGAAGTGCTGTCCAAGATTTTATGGTTACGGGCCACAGATCGTTTAGATTAGTTTGACGTAACAGAATTAGTAATCAAAGCTATAATGTTGACAGACAGAGCGAGGAAAAATCCATTTTTAATCCCATTGTAACTAGTGACATCTAGGGTACATGGTAGGAATGAAGTGCCCTGAACTCACATAATGTACTAAAATTGTGACAATTACTGGTTGATTGCCACGATAACCAGTTAAATGGTGCGATTAGCTAGTCCAGGAACGAACTCTACCTGCCATTTCATGTAATTCTGTAATCACTCTGAAAGTCAATTATGAGCTTAGAAGCTGTCAGTACAGGTTACAGAAAGATATCTGCATTTAAAAGCCAGGCTTCAATCTCATCCACTGTAAAACAGAAGGATAGGTGAATAGCCCACTCAGAGTTCCAAAACACTCCTTTCACACCGGTAATAAAAAAAATAAAAAAATGTTTAACCACTTGGTCACTAAAATGTTTTCACTCCAAAAAGTAGTCTTTTTTTGTGTGTGTATGGGCAGAAAATTGGGCATTCGGTTGATATGGATATTGTCATATATGTACTTGGTTATTTTTGTAATAATCCCATCGTGTTACATCAAGATCATCCACATATCCTGACCAAGGAAAGCACAACACTGTGAAAGCTTTCATCATATCTCTGATATTGAACTTGTACATTTTTCTGTGAGTAATTTCAATTGGTGTGCTAATTAGATAGAGAAGCAAGAAATCAATCTATTCTAGTCAATCTAATCAAGCAAAATCTCAAAATTTGGCACTTTTACTAAACCATGGATTAACTCGGGAGGTCTATGGGAATCAGCAGTGCAAAGCAGGATCTCTCATGGAAATGCTAAAAGATCTCTTATTACATGACTTCTATTGACATAGTCAGTGAGCAAATTCACAACAGAGGAAAAACGGTTTCACTGAGCATGACAAGTGCAGTCTATATGATGGCAATAAGCCCATATAACAGTGCTTCAACTTCTAAGGCATCACATATAGTGATACATTGTAGAGTCTGGATTTCTAGAACCCCACAAAACAATGGTATGGCATTTCTTGCAGAATCTTAACAGATATCTATAAAAACATATTAGGATTTACACATCTATTATATAGAAAATATCCGACTTGACAGCCTTTTCTAAAGTGTTGACACTGCACTCTTTTCACAAAGAAGTCGTTTTTTTCATTGACCATAAGATTGCTGTAAACAATGGCATTGTGTGCAGTGAAAATTAACTCTTATATAGCCTACTGAAATATATCTAGGATCCTAGCAGGGTATACACATAAGCACAGAAAGTCATTTTGGGTTAGTTAAAATGAATAAATAAAAGTAAAATGTTATCCCTTCCGCCTGATACAGAACACAATTATATTACGGATATTCTCCAGGCGGCATTAATAATAACAAGCTTCACCTAACACCGTTAAGAATAATAAGCCTTTATTACAGCATATCTTAAAAATGACAGGACTGTTTGTGTGTGTTTTATATTTATTTAATAAACTCTTATAGAGACATGTTTTCATATACTATTAATCACAATAAAAATGTTTTTAGAAAACAGGTGCACTTTAAATGAGGCTGTAGAGATGTGTACATAAATTAAGATGAATATAATTTCCATAATAACAAGGGTTAAAGGGGTGCTCTAGCAGCAGTTGAAAATGAAATTAACTGCAAGGGAACACCGGCATCTAGTGGTTGCTATATAAAAATGCAGCATGCCAGCTAAACTGAAGCTACCAACCTTTATTTACAGGGCTACTCCAGGCTCCTTGACAAGTTCTGCTTTTAGAAGTGGTGATGGAGCAATGAATCTGTATGTGCAGCATTTCTGCTTTAAATGCTGTATGTACAGATATATTTGCAATTTTGTGCCGGGGACCAGTCACACCCATGGCACAACTCTGTTCAGAGCTGCTCAACACTAAAACGGTGCAAAAATTACATCTGTAGTCGGCATGCACTGCGTGCTGAAGACAGACATAATCAGCCTCTGCCCTTGCAGACAGCGCTCGGAGCGTGCCAGCAAAGGGAAGTCTATTGTGAAAAAGGTTGGAGTAACTCTTTAGAGATATAATGTAATAGCAAATATAAGATCAGGCCTCAAAATTATCTATTGGTAAGTGAAAAGACAGGCCCAAGGAGTGTGCCATGGACCCCAACCGTCACTGCAATCTGTCTGAAAACAGCAGCTTACTGTTACAATAAATGCATAGCCAATATCTGTGTCTATGAGTGGGCTATGTAATCAGCAGTTTAAAGATGGTAGAAATCTGTTGTTCAACCACCATCACTCAGAGTATAATCACTGTTCAGTTGGTGCTTCGAAGCATGCCTTCTAGACAGGCTGACAAAGTCATACAGGAAAGTGATCACAAGTAAGTTCCTCCTTTTCGTACATGTCCATGTGCAGGGACAGTTTAAAAAAAAAAAAAAAAAAATGGCTAGTAGCATAGAACTGATAATTTAGTTCTGTTTTGCGAGCTGCTATTTATTTTTGTACATCTTAACAGTAAAGCAGATAGCAAGCACTTTAATAACATATTAAAGTGGCTCTATCACTAACCGTTCAACATTACACTACACTAACATTTAAACAGTAACACTATCCCTAACCTTTAGGGGACAATGCCATCTTGGGGTTCTCTACACATTTATAAACCACGCTGTATTATTCCAAATCAAAACAACACCGTATATTACTCACCATAGAGATCGGGTCCATGATCAGTAAAGACGTTGTACAGAAAGATATTAAAAGGTGCTATTACCAGCTTTCCGTAATAATAACTATCAACAGCCACCAGAGGAACCTGTGATAAAACAAGAGAGAACACGATGGATATTTACACCAGAAAAATATACCGTAGCTTTCAGCAACTCCTTTAAGGTAGTCAACTAGTATTGACACAGGGGGGTAGGGGGAGATTTATCATAAGTTAAGGATTATGAAAAATAGCGTTAAATTCTGTCATTCTTTGGATCACATGTTTTAGAGTGATCTAAAATGTGACAGTTTTCTTCATAGTAAGCCACCTATTTTCACACAAAAAAAAAAAAAAAACATTTCAGAATCTTCTCCTGTGTGCATGTTTTTGCTATTGGTTGAGTTAAAAGAACCCTACATCAGACTGTACTACTCAAATCAGGTATTTAAAATCTACTTTCGCAGCCTAGATGGCTAGTGAATGGGAAGCAGCAGATCCCGAGGGTCCCAGTGTGTGACTGGTTACTTTATGCTACTTAACAATTTAAACATGGAGCAGTGATCCTCTTTTGATTTCACAATGTTAAATTGTTTCATTACACATTATTTTCACATAGCCATGGTACACATTATGTTTGAGGAGAAATGTATGTTTCTCCTCCTGACTCTCTGCTGACTGACAGGTGCAGTGGGCGGAGTTTACCAATGATCGGCAACCACAATGAAAGAACTCAGATTATACAGGTTAATACAGTAGTGTGAATTTCTACTTTTCATTTTCACACCTTACAACTTATTTGTTAAAAAAAAGTATGTATATAACTTAATATTAAAATTCTTGGAACTTACAGTTCCCCCTTTAAAGGGACATTATAGGCACCTTAACTTCATCTTATTGATGTTTTTATAGTGCCTGCAGCCCTGCCATCTATCCTACCCCCAAAACTCTTTTAGTTTACTAGTTAGAGGGCTTGGAAGCGTGGCTTCACACCACTCCAAAACCTCTAGGTATGAGAGTCAGGAATCTTACTTCCAGATTCTCATACTGAAACACACCATGTTGTCATGCGCGCATGCACAGTGCTTCATGGTTGGTCATAGAGTTCAATGATTCTCAATAGAAGAATTTTAGGCGCATCGCAGTGAGTGCTGCGCATGTGCCTCAGGTTCCTAATGCTCCTTTATGGGGAGTGTGGCGAAAGTGACCTCGCCACTGGTTTTTGGAGGGGCCTGTTTGCCAGCCTCCTGCCCTGTGACTATGGCCGTGGGATGTATTGCCCTTCTAGGAACTTATTTGGGCATAATGGATTTCTAGAATGCTGTTTCTGGCCCTTTAATTCCCAGAGAAAGGATTTGTACTTTTAAACTGGCACTTCGAATGCAGTCGAAGTGCCGAAGTCGTCGAAGTGGCCGCGGCCATTTTAACTCATTCGAACGCGGTCAGCAGTGTGTGAAGCCAAATCTATGGAACTGTTTTCGGGTACCCAATTGCACAAGCCCCGCTGACCCGTACCTTCTACTCAACTTCGACACTGCGGCTGGAGACTAAGTCCCGTTTGAAGATTCGAACGCTCGTTCAAATGGGACTTGGTCATTTTCTCTGTGTAAAATAGACCGAATCCATGGAACTGTTTTGGGCATGAAAATGTGCTTGCGGTCGGTCAAAAGTGACATATCTATCTCCCGAACGGCTGAACAGATTCGAATGATGTTTGGGTATGTTTGTATTTGGAATGTGCTGATTAATAATATGTGACTTTTATTAATATTGGATGTAAAGTTTTAGAGTTATGAAAGTTGTGTAAAAAGTAGGTTTTAAACTGTACGGATAATTGTGTTACCGCTCAGGCTAAGGGGAGGAAATGTGTGGGATGTAACCATTGTTTGATTGGCTAATGTATAATTGTCTGTGGGTGTCTCCTTTGCATGGGAGAATTGGATAAAAGCAGAGTGTGTGTCATTAAACCAGAGTTGTTCTTCATCCTCAATCTAGAGTCCTGTCTCTTATTGGGGGTATTGCTATATCACTACAAGGGATTGCTATGCTCTGCATGCTCCCTTGGATAATCACTTCTAAGCTCTTTTAAGAGCTTGTTCCTGTCTTGCTCTCGGAAGGCGTCTACAGTGGTTATGGTGTCTGCTGGAATCCTTGGAGCCCTCAGGAAGCGCTAGGAGTATCTAATAACGGAGGTACCCAGTCGGGGTGCCAGGTGATCCGTTACAAGGAGCTCTCCTCCTCCTCCTCTTTGGCTGAATGCGCATGCGCGGCAGGAGCCGCGCGCGCATTCAGCCAATCCATAGGAAAGCATTCACAGTGAGACAGCCGCTAGAGGATTTGAGGGCTGGATTAACCCATTTAAAACATAGCAGTTTCTCTGAAACTGCTACGTTTATAGAAAAAAGGGTTAAACCTAGCTGGACCTGGCACCCAGACCACTTCATTAAGCTGAAGTGGTCTGGGTGCCTATAGTGGTCCTTTAAGTAATTTGTTTTACTTTAAAGGACCACTCTAGGCACGCAGACCACTTCAGCTTAATGAAGTGGTCTGGGTGCCTGGTCCAGCTAGGGTTAACCCATTTTTTTTTATAAACATAGCAGTTTCAGTAGAAACTGCTATGTTTATAAATGGGTTAATCCAGCCCTCAAATCCTCTAGTGGCTGTCTCATTGACAGCCGCTAGAGGCGCTTGTGTGATTCTCACTGTGAAAATCACAGTGAGAAGACGCATTATGAATGCTTTCCTATGAGACCGGCTGAATGCGCGCGCAGCTCTTGCCGCGCGTGCGCATTCAGCCGAATGGGAGGAGAGGAGGAGGATCGGAGGAGGAGAGCTCCCCGCCCGGCGCTGGAAAAAAGGTAAGTTTTACCCCTTTTTTCTCCCCAGAGGCGGGCGGGAGTGGGACCCTGAGGGTGGGGGCACCCTCAAGGCACTGTAGTGCCAGGAAAACGAGTATGTTTTCCTGGCACTATAGTGGTCCTTTAATTTTACTTTTTTTTTTTTTACACACATTTATTTATTTATTTATAAAATATTTAACCAGGGTGGATACATTGAGATTACAATAGGATACAATATTACAAAAATATAATATGCAAAATATATATATATACACACACACACACACACATATATATGTAAAATGTAATCAATAACAGGTAATAAATATATTCAACCATGACAGATGCATTCTGCGCTGAGGTATATTGCCATAGATCTCATAAAAGATTTTAGATTGAATGAAGATTTGACTGTGTCCCTGAGGTTATTCCATAATTGTGGTGCTCTGTAGGAAAAGGAGGATCGAGACACTTTATTTTTGTATTGCGGTGTGCTAAATATCATGCTAGAACTGGATTGGAGGTTATAGGTGGTGGGAACAGCTGGGGGAGCATTCTATTAAGGCAGAGTGGGAGCTTCCCAGAAATGCTCTTATGCACAAGGCTGGAAAGATGAGCACAAGGCTGGAAAGATAAACCTAATTGATAAAAGGCATCAGGGCTGCAGCGTTAAGAATACAGATAGGTAATTCTAATGCTACAGTGTTCCTTTAAAAGTTACTCCAAGCACCAGGACCACTTCACTGATTTGAAGTGGTCATGGTTCCTGGAGTCTGAACACGTAGTGTTTCGTTATGAAATGATTCACATTAACCGCTCTGCTCCCAGAGGTCTAATTTCACTTCCGGAAAATTAAAAGAGGAAATGAGCCAGTTTTGTGAAAATGTGTGACATTTTCTGAAATAAATGCTGTGTTATATATATATAAAAAAAAAAAAATGTTGCGTGGTTCTCAAGAATTAAAGGGACACTATAGTCACCAGAACAACTAAAGCTTATTGAATTTGTCCTGGTGAGAAGAATCATTACCTTCATGCTTTTTGCTGTAAACACTGTCTTTCAGAGAAAATGCAGTGTTTACATTACAGTCTAGTGATAACTTCACTGACCACTCCTCAGATGGCTGTTAGAGATCCTTCCTGGGTCATGGCTGCCTAAAATGCATCCAAACATTTAGTGTCTCCTCCCTCTGCATGCAGACACTGAACTTTCCTTATAGAGATTCATTGATTCAATTCATCTCTATGAGGAGGTGCTGATTGGCCAGGGCTGTATTTGAATTGTGCTGGCTCTGCTTCTTTGTCAGTCTCAGCCAATCCTATGGGGAAGCATTGTGATTGGATCATGCTTCCACTTCTGATGATGTCAGCAGGCAGGTCTAAAGGAAACAGTGACAAAACAAGCAACTGCAGGTTTGAATACAAGTAAGATGTTACTATATTAAGGGAGGCATGAGGGGACCAGGGTGGCTAGATGGTGGTAATAACCATATAGGGTCAGGAATACATGTTTGTGTTCCTGACCCTATGGTGCTCCTTTAATAATGCATTTATTTTTTCATCTACTTTTCAAAATTAATCGATTAGTTTTATATTTTCAATTATTTTCTTTATCATCGCATTTTTATTTCTCTCTTTTTTTCTTCCTATATTTCCAAATTTTAAATCATGTTCCTTTTAAAAATTGCATTTTTTACAAATTTTTCCTTTATGTGTATTTAGTTTTGTAACCTCAGCTGCTACCGAACTCACCAAAAACAATATTAAAGCCATCAAACACCAGTTAATAAAACTCTTCCATTTCTGTTTCAGGAACAGTATATCAAAGGCAATGGGTATCCTGAAAAATATGACATTTGGTCAATTAATTGTTTTAAATCAAACTGAAATACATTTCACTTGTCATTTCTAAAACCTTAAAAAACAAGGATATTATGATCACCACTTTTTCAAAAGTCCTTACCAGAGATTGCATTTGGATCAATATTGCTTACAAAATTAAATACATATTGAAACACACATCTGGACATTTAAAAGAACGCTACACTGTAAATGTGATTTTTAAAAAGTTGTTTAGTAAATAAACCCATAAAGAAAATATGTATGTACTTAGAAGTGGTGGCTACAATGAAACCCGCAGCTATGGTAGAACTGCAGTTCAAGTGATACACTGTCAGATTGGATTCCAATCAGCGTAACCACTAATGACTGTTTTATCGCCTGTGTTGCCTTGTGCATACTGGCGTCATCCTTTGGTCATATTTCCCCCCTTTTTTTTTTCACTAGGCTGTAGTGTATACAATGGTTTTGAGCACCTAAAAGCAGGGGGTACACCAACAGCTGGCTGGCTAACTTCTAGAACTGCCCCAGCATCACTAAACAGTTTGCAAGGGGACAGACAAAGACGCCCGTGAAAATGACAGCAGCCATCTACACCCCAGGGAAAGGATCCTCACTGATCCCCAGGGAAATTATTCACTCTAGCTCTCCCAAATGTAGGGAAGCTGGGGGAATTGAAATAAAAATACTAAAATTATGAGAGAGAGAGAGAGAGAGAGAGAGACTCTCTCTCTCAAATCAGTAAGAAACACTGTCAGTTTCCTCTGTGTGTAAATATGTGTGTGTCAGTTTCCTCTGTGTGTAAATGTGTGTGTGTCAGTTTCCTCTGTGTGTAAATGTGTGTGTGTCAGTGTCCTCTGTGTGTAAATGTGTGTGTGTCAGTTTCCTCTGTGTGTAAGGTCAGTTAGTAAGCATTCATGCAAGTGGTGTGTGAGACACAACAAAGGTTAGGATGATGTGTGTAATGACTTTTTTTTATGGGAAATCAGATATCAGCAGACAAAACAATTTAAGAAAGAAGAAAAAAAAAAAAAAACTTTACAAGAGAAGATGCAAAAACAAATAAATACATTAAAAAAAAAAAACAAAGTTCTTACCCCAAGACACCACTAAATGGCCAGCCCCAAATTGCACCAGCAGCCACTCCTAGCACTGCTACAGAGACCTTGTCCATGTACCAGCCAGTCATGGCTATTATCGTAGTATACATACAGAAACTACTGGGGAGGTAAGCTAAGAAAGATCGGAGAGAACATACATTATACAGACACAAACAGCAATGGGACAGTTTCATCACTTGATATTGTAACAAAAATAAATGTTGATAAAATCCTAATGAACACAACCTACTGATGGGTTCTGAATATAAATAAGTTCTACAGACGACACTATAATCCTAATATTACAGATAACAGTGTCCTATTGATAGAGCTTAAATATTAAACAACCACTAGAATCCTAATATTACAGATAACAGTGTCCTATTGATAGAGCTTAACTATTAAACAACCACAATAACGTCAGAAAATGTAATGGTTTTAAACCAAAAGTGCCTTCTAAATCCATTTATAGCAAAGGCGATGTTTCTAAATACCTTCACTGAGTGGTAATGGCTTTGTTAAACCTTACTGCCAAACGCACTGTACAGTAGGAGAATCATTCCCATTACAATGAGCTTTATATTTTAGGGTGCCTAGCGTGCCCCTTTAACAAGTCCACAGGCAAAAATATGAACGGATATAAAAAAACAAGTATGGGAAATGTAAAGTAAAAGCCACATTGCTGATCAGCCAAAGGACTGGTGAACTGTGTGTTTGTTAATGTAAAAGCTGTAATTGCACTTGAGTCTATCAATGGTTTTAATGTTGGATTAATTTTGGGCTGGCACTCCCTGACTTGTGCAAATATCACCATGCGACTGTCCTACAGAGGATACTAGAATGGAATACCCATCCTACACACAAACAGTGGGTTGAACGCGACAAAGGTCACTTACACCCATCCCTTTTCCTGACTGTGTGGAGCTCAAGGAAGCCCACAGAAGCGACTTTGGATCCCACCTCTACAGTGGCTCACACGCTGAAAATTTGGAATAGCATTGGGCTCCTCATCTGTCTCCAAACCAAGCCCGCTAATCCATATACAACACAATCCCCAGATAGGGGGTGGATTACCACCAGTGTCATGGGGCCTTCTCGGCGGGGGTATCTCTCTCCCTATTTGTAAGATATTACACAACACGAGCATGAAACCGCGACAGGAGCTGACGGAGGGTGGCCCACCATCGAGTCTGCAAATATTCCGATACACACAAATTCAATATTTCTACCAGACACTCCCGAACAGGGATGCCATACACCCCAAACTGACATGGTTCGAAGACCTCTGCGACAACAAAACCACCATGGACCACCAATGCAGTATCTCTCCTGTACCAACACTTTCTTGTGGGACATCTAGAGAATAAAGATACTTTCCTTCATCACTGGGAACGTATTCTTGATAAGACGTTCACTGCAGCTCAATGGGAAAAGATACTGATTCTTTACCACAAATGCTCCTCGAGTTCTAATTACCAGAAAACCAGCTTTACATTTTTGGCATTATGGTACAGAACACCCGATAGCCTCCATAGAATCTTCCCAGATGTGCCTAATGTGTGCTGGAGATGTGGAGGGGGTCCAGGGATCATAACACATATATGGTGGGAATGCTCACGAATTGTGCCATTCTGGTAAAGGGTGTAACGGAAAACAGGGGAGATCCTCTGTGACACGGGATGTTTTGGCATGGAAACGGCCCTCCTGCACTCCACACCGACCACCATTGGGGCTTACAGAAAGTCTGTCCTCCGACACATTCTAAATGCCGCCAAGGCCATGATACCACTATATTGGAAGCAAGACATGATCCCCACAGCGGGACACTTGGTAGAAAGAGTGGAGGAGATATACATGGCGGAGTCGGTGCAGGCATCGCTACTGGGAACTGAGGAAAGGCATGTGGAGAGGTGGCGGCTGTGGCTGGTGTACGTGGCAGAGCAGGAAGTGGGGGTGAGGGACGCAGCCATAGGGGAGGGATTTGGAAAATCCTGCCCTGTTAGCAGCCCACCTCCGATGCGAGACACCCGTGATATACAACCATAATTGGGAACACTCCCAATGATGGGAAGACACGCAAACTCTCGGCAGGTGGGCTAGCTCTTGACCCCCCTCTCTCTACTCTCTTATACACCTTCCTTATTATCGTATTATTTTCTCTGTTCTGACCTGCGTGTCGACTCTAAATATTGCAATTTTCTACATGTTACTTAGTGTTGTTTATCCTGCTCAATGAACAGCTGTGTTTGAGGTTCACGTTTGGGGTCAGGGAGGCTGAACTGGAGGGAAAAGGGGAAAAAAGAAGGAAAGATTTCCAACTCAGCTAAGATTTTAATTTGGCTGCTATGGTCTGGGAATTGAGGTCCACTTTGAATGCCCCTAAGTGAACAATCCTGTAAGTTCTACCAAGAAGCCACAAATGATCTAAATGTCTGTCCTCAATATACAAAATGAATGTCACATTCAATGGGAATGTCTGGCAAGTGCTATTCCAATTTTTCTCATAAATATTTGTTTATTGGGGAAACAAAAATATAAAGACTAAACAAAATAAGTCATAGAACATGCAGGCTCCAAAAATAAGGGAATTATATTGCACAGACATAACGTGAAACTTACAGGTCACATTCTTATAAAGATATACAACAATAGCCCTCATAACGATACTAGCAACAGTATGGTGCTTCTGCAACATATATACCTCTCTACCCTTCTTCTATCTTGCTTTTCCCCTCTTACCTATAATACCATCTTCCGAGGTACCATATACCTCCTCCTTCCATGAAACATTTAAAGTGTTATTTCCATTCACTACTGCTCAGCTATGTGACAATGTCTGAATTATACTGCATCTTACTTGCGGAGCCCTGCGTGGCTGCGTTGCAATTATCTAGTGATGAGACCTGCGTGGCTGTGTTGCAATTATCTAGTGCTGAGACCTGCGTGGCTGCGTTGCAATTATCTAGTGCTGAGACCTGCGTGGCTGTGTTGCAATTATCTAGTGCTGAGACCTGCGTGGCTGCGTTGCAATTATCTAGTGCTGAGACCTGCGTGGCTGAGTTGCAATTATCTAGTGCTGAGACCTGCGTGGCTGCGTTGCAATTATCTAGTGCTGAGACCTGCGTGGCTGCGTTGCAATTATCTAGTGCTGAGACCTGCGTGGCTGCGTTGCAATTATCTAGTGCTGAGACCTGCGTGGCTGCGTTGCAATTATCTAGTGCTGAGACCTGCGTGGCTGTGTTGCAATTATCTAGTGCTGAGACCTGCGTGGCTGTGTTGCAATTATCTAGTGCTGAGACCTGCGTGGCTGTGTTGCAATTATCTAGTGCTGAGACCTGCGTGGCTGTGTTGCAATTATCTAGTGCTGAGACCTGCGTGGCTGCGTTGCAATTATCTAGTGCTGAGACCTGCGTGGCTGCGTTGCAATTATCTAGTGCTGAGACCTGCGTGGCTGAGTTGCAATTATCTAGTGCTGAGACCTGCGTGGCTGCGTTGCAATTATCTAGTGCTGAGACCTGCGTGGCTGTGTTGCAATTATCTAGTGCTGAGACCTGCGTGGCTGTGTTGCAATTATCTAGTGCTGAGACCTACGTGGCTGTGTTGCAATTATCTAGTGCTGAGACCTGCGTGGCTGCGTTGCAATTATCTAGTGCTGAGACCTGCGCGTCTTATTCATATTACAAAACATGTTGACATGAGTCTTATTTGCATTTGTGGCCCAATAAAGCTTTGAATTACGAAATAATTAATATAAGTAGATCTGTGTACTTTTCCTTCTAGTTACCCTTAACAATATGACTCAAGGCACTCCTGCTTAGTGATGATAACTATATCTCAAGCTGCCACCCAACTATGTTCATAACTGGGATCCACGTTCTACTAAGCTTGATACAAACTGCTTCTTTTGTCACTAACCAACGTATAATGGTTACTACTAGCTACCCGGGACAGTGATTATGAATGAATGATCGTACAATATAGATATCTTCATTAACACATTATTTTGCTAATGATCCACGGTTCTCTTTTCACATACACATATTAGACTTACTAACATGGGGGCGGGGCCGGACCGCCATGCTGAGAGGTTGCATACAAGACCAGCTCCTGCAGACTAACAACATTAATACCTACAAAAAGCAAATAATATACCTATCTGCAGTTAAAGGACCACTCTAGGCACCCAGACCACTTCAGCTTAATGAAGTGGTCTGGGTGCCAGGTCCTTCTAGGGTTAACCCATTTTTTTATAAACATCGCAGTTTCAGAGAAACTGCTATGTTTATAAATAGGTTAAGCCTTCCCCCTATTTCCTCTAGTGGCTGTCTCATTGACAGCCACTAGAGGCGCTTGCGTGCTTCTCACTGTGATTTTCACAGTGAGAGCACGCAAGCGTCCATAGGAAAGCATTGTAAATGCTTTCCTATGCGACGGGCTGAATGCGCGCGCAGCTCTTGCTGCGCGTGCGCATTCAGCCCAGGAGGAGGATCGGAGGAGGAGAGGAGGCAGGGAGCTCTCCGCCCAGCGCTGGAAAAAGGTAAGTTTTAACCACTTTCCTCTCCCCAGAGCCGGGCGGGAGGGGGACCTGAGGGTGGGGGCACCCTCAGGGCACTATAGTGCCAGGAAAACGAGTATGTTTTCCTGGCACTATAGTGGTCCTTTAAGCAGCAGCGGTCCTGCGGGCAAAGAGGTGCTGGAGCTGAGGCCACTCAGATTACAAGCGTTTTGACCCCTGAGAAGGCACATCAGCACAGCTACATCTGAGGCCTACCCGAGCGGTGAGTGGGGTGGACGGCCGCCACCTCGCTATCCTGCCCTGCGGTCTCCCTTCGGAGCTCCGACGCCACGCGGTAAGGGCCCCGTATCCCCCCCCCTTTGGACCGGTGGGGGTCATCCCGGTCCCAGGAGACTGTCTCCGCGACCTGTAATGCCAGGGTCTGAGAGGGCTCCCCACAACCAAACTGGCGGAAGCAGCAGGCAAACCTGAAATGGCGGCGCAAGCTGGGAGCACCGGGTCTCAGCAGATCTGATTCCTCGAGGCTGTCCAGACGGTTAAAAAGCAGAGGGGCCCCTCACTACAGCGAAGTCACTGACCCACAGACGGGGATTCCCGGCTCCTGCGGCAAAGTGCAGTCGGGACCTGCCACCCGGTCCATCCGTATGCAACGCTGCAAACCTACACGACACCCCCGCATTTCAGCTGAACCCAGCAGAGGATCGGGCAGACAAAAGGGATCAAACACAGTGCACCCACCCCTCTTACCACTAGTCACGCTGGACTCACTCCTACCATGCCACAGACTCTGCAGATCGGGGGTTCGATGAGCATGAACTGCCAGGGAGACTCTCTCAAGGTCTGGGCTGCAGTCAGAGGGGATGGCTCCTGTCACTTTTGCCATCTATGCAACCTGATGCTCTCTTTTTATAACTTACACCGTTAAAACCACTTGCATAGCTTAAGCCTTGTCTACCATTTATTTTTATATTAATTTAGCCCTGCATTGAGTCATAGATACAAATCCAGCAAAGCAATTGTTTTAGCATATCTTGAAGCTTGATGTTTAACCTACTCTAACTACACTAATATAGCTAATCTAGCATTGTTAAGCACTAATAGTTTTATTTACTTTTACCCTGACAATATACCAGTCTAGTCAAGCTTGCTATAAAAATATAAAAGATGTGCGAATTTCCATGCCACTGCCTAACTTTTGTAAATTCTGCAATACGCTGTTGTGGCGTCTGTCGATACCCTGTAACCACCTGCACAACAAAAATAAAGAATTATAAAAAAAAAAAGACTTACTAACATCACATATTTTATGCACAGGTGACAATGATAAAACAAGAATTGACTGATTTGGCACATGCAAGCTTAGTGCTGATTAGTACACGTGTATTCATGGAAAATAAAACTATGTGAATATAAGGAAATCTGTGCAAAATAAAACACAAGGACACTATGTCCATTGGTAAAGTACGATAAATGTAGCTTCTGGTAAGTGAAAAAAACAAACAAAAACAAAATAAGGAAGAGTATGTGAGCAGAATATTGGCATACATGCAATTAGAGACGGCTGGGCGCTCAGTAATTGTGAGAACTTACTGACTGTTTTTTGTTTTTTGAAATAAATGAATGTCCAAACTGTCTGCAAACCTGCACTATCCTGATCTGTAATGACAGTGAACCTGTACAACCGTGTTCAGCTCAATCAAGCCTCTGCCGCGCAAGTTTACTCAAGCAAACCTGGAAGAATTATCACCTAACACAGAGCTTGATAAACCGTGCGTTTTTCAGACTAAAACAAGGGGTGTCTCCCCGGCCCTGGCGGCCCATATGACGGCTCCAAATAACTTTTTGCCAGTTGTCTGTGTTGGAAACAATACAATCAGGTGGCTGCCATGACACCTGCTATGAGCACTGTCTGATTCCACCACGATGACAATGTGAAAGGGGGAAGCAGGTCTCAATTCCTGAGTAGGAGCCTGAGAAACAGTATTATGGAAGCGACCGGCTATTCAACATACATGAAACATATGGCATTCAACAGCACATGTCCAAGGAGATCCATGGAGGAGCTCACAACCTCTCCGGTCCTTCATAGACCTCCCTGGTTTTATCTATTATGACAGGGACACAGCTCTTGAGGGCTTCTTCTGCCAGGAACTGAAACAGATAACGAAGGTGGCTACGAGGAGGAGCTCCAGGTATGCAGGGGCAGGTGGATTCGTCTTTGCAAAAAATATATATATGCAGAGACGTATATATGTTGACAACTATTTGTATTAAGTTTACTGCTCTTGCATAAAACTAATTCCAAAAGATTGTTGGTATATCGTTGCTGCTCAGTGTTTCTGGTCGGGATGCAAATGCAGTCATTACGGTACCAGCACTCACACAGTCATGACCAACAAGGATCACCAGTTGGAATTCACCAGATAATACAGGCGAGCTATATACGGTTTCTCTTCCTAGATTATTAAGAGAACACTTTGAAATGGAAGCATTCGCCAAAGGCATTAATAGTAAATATACCCCATGTTTACCTCACCCATCCATACCTGCTGCTGAACAAAACATTCCAGTGCTGAGGACAAGGAAAGCCAACATCAGCCGGCCAACATGGAGTCCAAATTTTTTGCACACAGCCCTGAAACAAAATTTTTTATTTTTTTTAAATAGCAAGTCATAATACAATACAAAAAAAAACAAAAAAAAAAAACTTATATTTGAATTGCAGTTGAATAAATCTAGGTATTCACATCATGGTTCAAAGTTCACAAAGGGGACAGAAAAGGCCATGGGAGAACCATCTCCTACAAGTATAAACACAGTTTTTAAAGGGTTACTGCTAATACCATAGGCAATTTGTAACACTGCAATAGTTATGGAGCAAAGAGCACTCTGCACAAACTATGCTTGCTGTGAGTGTCTTATTAAATCACAATACAAGAAAATTCCCAGCAGCAACCTATGGCTCTTGCTCACAATAAGCTTGCTACCAGTTTCCAGAACAGCTCCAATCATCCTACACATATGAGGCTACAAAGTGGTTGGACCACTTCCTATTCAGGGAGGACTCTGTCTGAAGCTACAGAGAGCCCCTCTCAGTTGTGCAGCTTCCTTATGTATAAAAATATGGTTTTATTAACTTTTTTTTTTTTTTAAAGAATTCGCATAGTTTTAATGCGATATAATGATTTTAAAAATGGGTCAATTCATGCTATGGTTTCTATTAAACATTTACCAAAGCAAATTTCATAACAACCTCCCATTAGAAAATAGGTACTTCGTAGCACGCCTATGGCAAATCTGATTTTTGCCTCAGAAAGCAGAAAATATACCTTTAACCTTTTATTTTGCCTCTTCCCCTCAAATCATATCTAAATCGTATAGAACAATTCCCGAACTAGACTCAAAGTGTAAAACAACAGTTATTCTAATAACTCCAGCATATTGCACACAGACTTTGCAAACTACAAGATATTATATGGCGAAATAATAAACCAGTATCGTTGCTTCTTGAGACATTTATTCCATTTGAACTTTATTAAAAGTTTTATAACAATTACTCTGTAGTGTTTAATTTCTTTTTTTTTTTTTAGGAATGTGAAGCTGCTTGCCAGAGAGAGAGATATATTCTTTAATATCCTGCATAATTATTTTGCAAAGCTGAATTGCTGCGCCAATCTACTTTTAATTGGTCTATTTTATCACAGGCCTGTGGGATTCTTTATTACTTTGATAATGTTTAAAACTTGCTGTGCACCCAAAAAGCAGGAGCTCCAAATAGAAGGACTTTGGGGCACATTATTACCTCCCCAAAGGATGAATTATATGAATCCATACCAAAAGCATGAAGTCATCAATAAAAGTGGAATGTAGATCTTAAACAAATAAAAAAACAATAACGGCTGTTATGGCCATCTTTGGGCAGTCCGGCTACTGTGGACAACATTTCCCATGATGCTAAGATAGTCACCTGACAGGAACCAAGAGTGGAAATGTTTTATAAGAATAATTTAAATGGGCACTCTGAGTACCATAAACATTGCAGCTGTTTATATATAGGTTACAATATATAATAAAAATTAGTGAAAGCACACAATATACAAAATATTACCACAGGTAATCAGTAACAGACATCTGTAATAAAACCATAAAAAAGACCATACTAGGGTAATACAGTACAGTATAAATGAATGTGATAACCACTACATACTATATGGTCCCACTCACATGGTGCAGAGCCACTTAAATAGCTGGCTCAGACTTTTGAAGCCTTGAGAATATAGAAGGATGGGGTGGATACTCCTTAGAGATAATTGCAGTGCAGTTCCCAGCTTTTCTTGGAGTGAAATCCGAACTCATAAACTCCAGGTGTCAATCAGGTACAGGGGTAACAATTTATTTAAGCACTATAAAAACATAAGATAAATATAGGATATTACAGTCCACCTCACTTGACCTGTTTCGAAATAAACAAGCCTTTGTCAAGTGTCCGTGTCCTATCAAGTATTCATCCCGCTTTTTAAACGTAGATTTGGCGCTTTTTCTGATTAAATTTCTCCGACCTTCTATGTCCTCCAGATGACACTTTTAAGAAAGGCTTGTTTTGCCGAAACGCGTCAAGTGAGGTGGACTGGAATATCCTATATTCAGGAGATTTTATGAACTGCACTGCAATTATCTCTAAGGGAGTATCCACCCCATTCTTCTATATTCTCAAGGATTCAAAAGTCTGAGCCAGCTATTTAAGTGGCTCCGCACCATGTGAGTGGGACCATCTAGTCGTTATCATATTAATTTATAATGTACTGTATTACCCTATGGTCTTTTTTATGGTTTTATTACAGGTGTCTGTTACCGATTACTAATATTTTATACATATTGTGTGCGCTCACTAATTTTTATTATATATTTTACACATTTCTTTTGTGTGTTTTTGGAGTGAACACGTAGGTGATAGTAGCACCAATTTTAGGACCCTTCGCTAATCCCTACATTTATTATATACTTATAGAGGTCACAGTTAACAGGTTTATTTGTCAAAACCCAAACATCAAGAGGGGTGTTTTGCTCACTCACTTCACTTAGATCTCATTTTTGCCAAACAGCTTTAGTGACAACTAACCATGGCTACCGATAAAATGTGACAACTCTTACCAAAAAGTGCCAATAATATGCATCATTGATACAAATCAGGTAGACATTGATATTCACATTACAACAATCTGTGTTAAACCATAAGTTAATATGCATATCCCAGGTACTGTACAAATCCGCAAAATGTAGAAATATATGATTAGACAATAATATATTCCACCCTGGAATCTGCATTCTACAGTATAGAGGTAAGAAAAGTGTAATATAAGTAATATTGAACCTGAAACATTGCTCCTGTTGTTGGAGTTTGCACAAATGACACCGGCAATGAATAGGCCGGTGTGCTGGAGGTGCTGGGAAAGGAACTCTGGATCCCCACAGGCTACAGATGAGGATTCATTTCTTCCTGGCTGCCAACACTGGACTATTTGGTGCTGTGAGTTATGTATGGTTATATGCATTTTAATTTTTGCATTCTTTATTACCGGCTGTATGCAGATTAACAGTTTAATATTTTTTACGTGTCCCTTTACTGAAGCACTTAATTGTTTTTGTTTCTCATTTACGCAGTGTATAGCCACATTTTTTTTTAAATCTGTGATATGCATATCCACAGTGGTAAATCGGAAATGGTAGCAGGGCACTTCAACAGCTATGGAAATACATAAGGTAAATAATACATGGTGGAGAATGTTAATATTGAACTGGGTACTTATTGGAATAAAAGTTAAAGTGATCCGGGCCTCCAAAAATCATGCAGATGACCTTGTTTCTCTAATTGGCAAAATCGCCAACAAATGTATTGACAGGAACACTCCAAACCAACATCTTACTGAATTGCTTTGGAGCTCCCATCTGTCAAACATTATACAAGTACTGATTTCAGGAGAAAATCAGACAGCTGGGAAGGTGCTCTTCCCGATTGCATTAACCCCAGCAATTATTTTCACAGTGACGCACTGGATTCAGATTCTTGATAAGTGTAGTGAGCTGCAAAAGCATAATCTGGAGTAAGAGTGGCAGTACACAGCAACCTTATATATGGTCTTCACTGTAAAGCGGTCAGCAAATCTTAATAAGGTGAAGTAAATGCTAAACATCTGCTAGCAATCTGATGTGATTAAATGCTATTTAGGATGACAGGTGTACTTTAATATTAGGGACATTTCACTGTAAAAATGTCAACAAATTGTAGGTGAATGTGTTGCAGTGTAGATAATATATTAGTTTATAAAAAAAGAAGAAAAAAACTAATACTTTAATAAACATCTGCTCATTTTAGCATTATATCTATCCTGTCCCCTTAGAGAGTGCTGACATTTAGAATGAACGCACTACAAAAATAAAGAATTATAAAAAAGAAAAAAAAAATATATATATATATATTTTTTTTTTTTTTTTTTTTATATAATTCTTTATTTTTGTAGTGCAGTTAAGTAAGTACATACAGCTTGTCATGCCCCATTAGCAAATGACAAGAGAGTCAGGATACACAGCTTACATGCAATAAGGCAGGGGGTTTAACAGGCACAAGGTATAACAACAGGATTAGAAACATGCTTGTTAAATCTATCTAGATCAAGATTATGGCATCGACAGTCAAAGTAAGAAAAGCTATCTAGATACTGGATTACATATGAGACTACAAGAGATTAAACTCCTATTTGTGTCTGCTTCATTTTGGAGCTGCAAAACAGGATATATCAAGCTTAGCTGACCTGTCTATATGCATGGAGTAGGCATTCAGACATAATCTAAGCATGCTAATTGAAGGCTGACCTACGGTGAAGGAAGACAGAACTGTGCTTTAAGGGTAAAGTGAGTACCAGTGAGACCATCACGAAATGAAAAGCATTCTTGGTCACAATGTCAGTAAAGTAGCAATCAGGAGTAGTGAGAGGATTAAGGTGTCTAAACTGACAGACTATTATGGTATAACATGCATAAGGTAACATACCACTAAGCATAACAGGCTACGCTTGAGATTGCTAGACTTTCATCAGGATCAATACATTGCTGTATTGATCCTGATGAAAGTTCTGGACATAGGACTGAAACGTTGATCGTGATTTTAACAATTTAAAATAAAGATTGGATTTTTTAACTCTGTGAGTGCTACTACCTCTTTGGAGATTATATATATATATATATATATATATATATATATATATATATATCTTGAGCCATGGTCACTTTTTTCATTGTATGAATTAAGCCAACACAATCTTTTTAATCTCTCATAAAAATACCAGGTAGCAAAGAATGTCACTGTGCAAGCTTAATAGCTAGCTAACATTTTATAGTTGGCACAGTCTAAGAAGCAAATGTTCTGTCTTTAATTTTCGAAGTAAAATACTTACTTATAGAAGTAAAGTTCACATATACAGCTGATGAAAGCCAAAAAGCATCGTATAAAGTAAAATACCAGGACCTACAAAGAATAAATAGTAAACTAGTGAATACAATTCTATTGGTAAACATTAAAGCATGTTTCAGGCGAATACATTAGGACAAAATAATTGAATAACATTCTTCTCAGTAAAGATATTTTGAATTGACAAGAGAACTGCAATTTTATAGACCAAATACTTACTACACAATAATTTTTAAAATGGTTATGAAATATATATAATTTTTTTTTTTTTCCATTAGATATCTCACTTTAGATTAATTCTTGACATTAATTCAATGAATAATCAAGTTACCTTGTTTGTCTGCAGGACGTTGGCATGGAACCAGGCAGGCAACGCATGTAGCCAAAGGTAAGCATATGAGCGTAAGGCATACGCTGGAGAATATTCCCACGTCTGGAATCCTTTGCCATAGACAAGATAGTGAGTCTAAAATTAAAACAAACCATAAAAAAACTACAATTGTGAAAGAGTAATTATATGGATTAAGTTCAAGTGAAACGATAAAATGCCATACACAGCTACAAAGTGTATCTTGGTGAGACCCAAATCTCCCTGTCCCTCTTATCTGGACACTCATAATTATGAAGATGGTGACAAAGTTGACAAATGTAAAGAATGTAAAGAATTGAGCCTTTACTTTAATACAGGTGACACTGGGTAAATGTAATGTTTTCATTTTCTTCTGATAAACCGTGTGGCCATCATGAATGGATTTTAGTATAAAATGTTACACTACCATACGGAGTTTGACAACCCTGATGTACATTAAAGGGACTCTCCAGTGCCAGGAAAACAAACCGTTTTCCTGGCACTGCAGGTCCCCTCTCCTTTCCACCCCCTATCTCAGGTTGCTGAAGGGGTTTAAAACAGTGACTTACCTGTATCCAGCGCCGATGTCCCTTGGCGATGGTTCAGGGTCCGCACATGCACCTCCCCCGCCGACGACATCCGACGGGGGAGACCTATTGCACATGCACGGCCGGCGACGGGGGAGACCTAATGTGCATGCGCGTTAGACCTCCCCATAGGAAAGCATTGAAAATGGTTTCAATGCTTTCCTATGGGGATTTCAGTGACGCTGAAGGTCCTCACATAGCGTGAGGATGTCCAGCAACGCTATAGCACAGAATCTGCAATAAACCCGGAAGTGCCCTCTAGTGGCTGTCTAGTAGACAGCCACTAGAGGAGGAGTTAACCCTGCAAGGTAAATATTGCAGTTTATGAAAACTGCAATATTTACAGTTGCAGGGTTAAGAGTAGTGGGAGTTGGCACCCAGACCACTCCAATGGGCAGAAGTGGTCTGGGTGCCTGGAGTGTATCTTTAACGGTTGTTTCTCACTTCCAATTCTAAAGTGAGTGATTTATCAACCCTCGTATACAGTATGAAATTGAGGCTTAAATTTCTCTTAACGTTGCACTCCCTTTTTTTTAAAGCAGTCTGACATCTTACCAGGGGTTTTCTGGTAGTCTCCCTGCCTCCACAGCTCATGCCAGAGGGCTGGAACTTCCCTTAGCTCTCTGGAGTTGGCCCATCAATGAACCACAACCATTATACTTTATTGGAGTAGTTATGGCACAAGAAGTCTTTGGGTCAAGTAGTTTGAGCAGCTTAACATACATGTGGCTCTCCCAGCAGTCAAAGCCTGGACCCTGTGCTGAGAGCACATTAAATCTATGTTACATCTTTGTTAAAAGAACACTCCAGACCTCTAACGTACTTCAGCTTGCTGAAGTGCTTTATGTGTGAAGAGTGTGTCCTCTTTTTTCATTTTACAAAAAGTGCAGGTTTCAATAGAAATTAGCACTTTTATAAATTATCTTGTTACACCCTCCTAGCTCGGACAACCTGTAAAAAACCTGTCATGTTACTTCCTGGTTTGGTTAGCTAGGTGAAGCTAAACTCAAGAGGAAGCAATTACTGAGAGCACCTGCTTTGCAAAGCCTTCTCATTGAGCTACACTGGGAAGTCTGTGATTGTACAGTCACAGAAAGTCTAGGCTGGGGGGAAAGTGGAGGACTTGCAAAGGCTGCAGACAAGCAATCTGCAACTTTTGCAAGCTGGGTTTAAATATACCCCCAATCAAAAAATACATAATTAAATCACGCATGTTTTAATTGGGCAAATATCTACAAAATAGTGATTTTGTTTTGTAATTGAGCAGTAGAGAGTCACTTTAACTGTCTGCCTTACTAAATAGTGCTTTGTAGTGTTTAAAATTAACTTTTAGTGACTAAACCTGGAAAGGCTGGTTTTACAGCCTGTTCAGTAAATAGTTGTCATCATTAACAGCAGCCAGTATTTACTAGCAACATCTATTTACCAATAAGCTTCCAACCTTGTTGCTACCTTTAACTGGCTAGGCGGCAACACCATCTAGGGATAGATCAATTATCATTTTGGACGATTATTAGAGCCAATATTCAACATATTGCTTATAATCGGTATCGGACTTGTAATTTATTGATTCACCTCTACCTGTCACCACACTCCGCCTTTGTCAGTGTCCGTGTAGATCTGTCAGAGTATGTGTTGAGTATCTGCATGTTTGTCAGTGTGTGTATGTATCTGTATGTCTGTCAGTGTGTGTGTGTCTGTATATCTGTGTCTGTATTTCTGTCAGTGTGCTTATGTATCGGTCAGTATGGGCATATTTGTACGTCTGTCAGTGTGCATATCTGTACTTCTGTCTGAGTGTGTAGATCTGTATGTCTGTCAGTGTGTGTGTGTGCGTATGTGTTTCTATCTGTATGTCTGTCTGTGTGTGTGTGTGCGTATTTGTATGTCTGTCAGTGTGTCTCTCAATTACTTCTTGTCAAACATCCCCATTCTATAATCGGAGAGCCCAGTGCAATATGCTGGTGTTATATAAATGCTAATAATATGTATAACTCCTTTAGGATGTATAGGGTATTAGGATGTATAGATTCTGTTAACATTTTTGCCGCAGGCCAGAGGCTTGTCAGGTTTTAAATGTTAGCAGCTGGTAAGGAGTACGGACAGGTTTGAAAATCAGTAGCTAAGGAGAGGTAAGCAGCTCCCATCGAGAATGGGTGTCAGGCTTCCAGTAGCGGAGGCCGGTAACTCTCTTTCGCTACTTGTGAAATTTGGCACCTGGAAAACAGCCATCACTATTAGTTAGCAACAGGCACGTTAACGAGTAGCAGCTGGTCGCTAAATACTGACAAGGTTATAAACGAGCCAAAAGTAAGCTGTAATGTTCCTTTAAACGACGATACATAACTTTGCATACCATTGAAGCAATGAATGCAGCTACTCACAGGTTCCCAATAGTTGAAGGTTTCGTCACAATCCGAAATGTTGCTAAGCAGTGCCGCACAGAATCTGGCAGAGATCAGGCATTTAAAAGCAGTGGAACCCTCTGGAGCCCAAACCTGACCTGCTTTACTACTCGACGACCTGTCAAATAAACACCACAGAAGGTGTTAAACAAAAAGCAAACAAAAGCACTATTTTTTTTTTCTAAATAACTTTATTTTTGACAATAAAATAATGTGGTGTAAACACTAAAATATAAACAAAGAGAAGCATTACATTGTATGTAGTTGCGTAGAAAAGAAAATGTTGGGAAGTCTTGGAAATTTAAGTCTCATTTAATAATTCATGAAGCTCAGCTAAGCCAAGCTGTGACAATCACAAAATTGGGGGCATTTTCCCAAATCTATTCTGACCTACATTTTGCAATGTGATTTTCTTTTTATTAAAATTCACTGTCTACTTGACAACCACCAACATTAAAATGTGGCTAAAAGAGAATAGCTGGTGGATTTCCAAATCTTGTCTACAGCAGGTCCCTCTTCATTTATAGTATCAATTGATACTGCTCCAATTTATCCCCACTAAACAATTGTAAACTGTTGGAAAACACACGAATGACGATTATAATGTAAAATTCTTTAGGTGTCTCTGGACACACTGAAGAAAAGTAAAAAAAAAAAAGAAGTGAACACGGACAGTGAGCTTACAATCTACAGGGGAAATGCTCATTGACACAAAAGGTTGTGGGGAGAAAATACAATTGTGAAATAACAGACTTCTCTGGCATTTCATTTTCAGGAGGGTATGCCAACGTGAGTCACCAGTGGCTATAGGACGCCCCTCGCACCATGCAATATTTTCAGACTTTCCAATGTCTACTGCCCATTCGCCACAAGGTTTAAAATGAATAGTCTCCAAAACAGTTGGTGACTAGTTAAGTATTAAAGAAATATTTTCTTCAGGGCGCTGTCCTATAAAACTCAAATATTAAAATATTGCTTTATTATCTCACAGAGCAGCTAACACAGTTACCATGACATTCATGTTATTACAAGACTTTGGTGCCAGATACTTAGCATTCAATCATGGGGAGTAGAGTGAGAGCATTAGAAGGTGCCATTATGATTATTCACTAAACTGCACAGTGTGGTGAATGAGAACAGAATTACAAAATTAAAGCCACACGGTCATGCTCCTGTGAAAAATTAGCATTTCATAAAGATAGAACCTTTATGTAATATTCACATTGACTGTGTTGGAAATTCATTGTAATTCCAACCCAGTCAATAGGCCTACCGTGACAAAGCAGGGATTACTTTGTCGCTGTATTTCTCCTCTGCTTGACTTTTCTTGACACAAGACGTTGCCTGAGTGTCAATCTCTGCAGCCATCATCAGTGACATCTGCAGGGAATTGGCTGTGTCTATGGAGGATCCTGTGGTCTCCTCTACAAACGTTAATACTGTACTCTTGCGCATGCGCGCAAGAGTACAGCAGTGAAGCCAGTGCCGAAAAAACCCTATCGGACCAAGATGGTGGTGCCCACGAGGGACAGGTTCAGGAAACTAAATGTACCTTTTCCTGCCACCCACCACTGGCCCCCCTGCAGCAATGTCACTGTTTGGGGACGTTGACAAATTTGCAAAGTCCGCCAACAGTGACAGTACAGCAGTGAAGCCAGCGCCTAAAAAAAACCCTATCAGACCAAGATGGGGGTGCCCATGAGGGACAGGTTCAGGAAAGTAAACGTACCTTTTCCTGCCCCTCTCCCCCAGCAGCAATGTCACTATCGGGGGACTTTGCAGATTTGTCAACATCCCCAAACAGAGACAGTACAGCAGTGAAGCCAGCGCCTAAAAAAAACCCCTATCAAACCAAGATGGTGGTGCCCATGAGGGACAAGTTCAGGGAAATAAACGTACCTTTACCTGCACCCCCATCCCCCCGGCAGTAATGTCACTGCCAGCCACCGGACCCCGAGCAGCAATGTCACTGCCAGCCACCGGACCCCCAGCAGCAATGTCACTGTTGGGGGACTTTGCAAATTTGTCAACGTCCCCAAACGGTGACAGGGCCACTTTAAGGCAAAAGTAGTGGATTCATAAAACCCCCCAACTCAGCTGTATTCCCAGGGTGTTGTAAGTGGGTTTTCAGCTGCCTGTTATTGCTGTATTCAGAGTGTTTTGTCTAAATGCCATGTATACAGAGTATATCCCATGCAGGGAGGGCTTTCAGTGCTCCACACTCTGCCCACACAGCCACATGGCAGCTCCTACACCTTCCCACACAACAAGCAGCCCTCACTCGGATCTGGGCTCCACCACCCGCCTCTCCTCTCGCTGCCTCCCGCTGTTTTCCTCCCTCTCTCCACCGGTTCCTTTCCACCGCTGGCGAGCCCCCTTGGATGCCATGATTACTGCGGGCAAAACTACTCACTTCCGGGTTGGCTTCACCCATGGCACGCACAGAGACGCCATGTTTACTGATGGAACGAATGGTAGCAGAGCTCACAAGTGACGTCATGCAGCGTCAGGGCGCCATCTTTACTAATGGAACGCACAGGAGCTGGAAAGGGGAGCCTCAGTGCGCATGCGCCCTGGTTCTCATTGAATGGATGACGTGTCATACAGCTGATATTCCTTACACTGTATAGAGATTGCAAAGGAATGACAATACTGTATATTGTAAAATCTAATAAATTAAATCACTGAGCTATGGGAGTTAGGGAAACCACATGATTGTTTGAGTACTTTTTGCCTCCAAAAAAAATGATTTTTTTTTTTTTTTTTTTTAAATATAAACACCTGTTTCAATGATAAAAATCAGCACATATTTTTAGTATTTTATTCCTTTTAATGTGCCTTTTACAGATGTTTAAAAAGCGTAGCATCCTTTGTGTGAAATATTTTCATATGTGTATTTATATCACCTCCAAAAGAATCCCATGTTTTTAAACTATTAATATGGCCTTTTTGCGGCTTTGTAAAGCTGCCAAAATTTCAGGTTAATAGCTTTCATTAGTCGCTATTATAAATATAAATGCAGAATGTAAATAACTTGGTAGATATTTAAAAATGTTGTACAGGACTACATATCCGTCATGTATCTAAACCTCCCTGCTCCTCATATCTCTTTTCACCCCCCCTGCTCTCTATGTGTCTTTCAAATTCCACTGTCCCTCATGTGTCTTTACGATTCCCCTTGTCCCTCACAGGGACAATCCCCCTCTCCCCCCCGTACCGTGTGTCTTTCCAATCCCCTCAGTCCCCTAATTGTTTCTCCAATTACTCTGTCCGCTGTGTCTCTCCAATCCCCCCAGTCCCTCAAATCTCTTTTCACTCCCCAGCCGCCATATGTCTTTTCAATCCTCCTGTCCCCTACCTGTCTTTCCAATTCCACAGTCCCTCAAACATAACTTCCACGTGACCTTATTTAGGAGGGACAGTACCTATTTTGAATCCAAATCCCTCTGTCCCTATTTTCTACCCCAATTTTACCCTTTTCTAGGAGCTGCATAGTGTAGCTATTTGAGGGTGTATAACAGAGCTGCACAGCATAATACTCCCAGTAATGTGCCTTCAACTACAAAAAACGTGTTCAGAAAACAGTCTGTGTAAAAAAGATATATTGTTTTAAATTACATTTTAGTTGCATAAATTGTTATTAGTAAGTCACCTAAAATCTCTTAGAATAGCCGCACCCCTAGTTTTCCTCTTTGTCCATTTGAAACATTGGGAGGTATGCTCACATCTCTTTCCACCACACTATCCCCCTATGTGTCTCTCCAATATCCCTGTTCCACATGGGTCTTTTAAATGCTCCCGTCCTTCACTTGTCATGTGACATTATCGGATATGTACTAATATTAGCGAGGCCACATTGAGAAACCTCCCATGGCACCGCTAGGCTCCCTATTCTCTCACCTGTCATTCAGAGCGGGTTTGAGACTGGCCTTGAAAAAGTAGGAATGGCCAATGGTGACAGGCAGCAGACAAGGCTGCCAATTACACCTCAAGTACAGTATGCAACGCAGCTATAGCTACTGGCATGTACTACATATGTACAACGCTTGTCTGCCAATTGGTCAAAATGAAACCGTAACTGTGTGCAATAGTTCTGGGCCAATCACCAGGCAATGGTACACATAGTATTTCTTATTGTGCAGAGCCAGCAGGAGCCCTTTTGGTTCCCCCCACACCTTAGAAACAAATCTCTTCTAACGGAGCTTAAGTTGGAGCTGTATTGAAGCTCCTTAAAAGTGTGAGTGCACATTTTTTATTTAATTTACATCATTCCTAGTCTTATATACTACACTATTGTGTTCCTTTGTTTTTTCTTTCTCTATTACATATACTAAACCGAGGACTATCTAGGCGCTGCACCTCCTCCCTGTTTTCTATGGAATCAGATAAATGTTTAAAGCTTTTTTTTAAACACTTTAAGCGTGCGCAGGGGTGTGTGGGAAGAGGGACACTATAGTTTTAGGAAAGCAACTTTGTGTTCCTTTAAGTTGTTTTGATGCCTGTAGTATCCCTTTAACTCAAATTCAAAGTGTCTATGTTTAAGTGACGCACCATGGATCTCCACTTTCATCACTATGGAACAAATATCAACTGATATTATTGCACAATGTGTTAAAATAAAATAAACTGAAAAGCACTGTTTCATTTTTATCGGTCATGAGTTACATTTGTAATTTTGTAGTTTTACTGAGTTATTAACAAGTTTCATGGCTACAGAAGAGAAAATAGAAAATAACAGCCTTTTGTAAAACATTAGTTCACCAGTATAGGTTGGAGCAACATCTGCCAATATTAACAAAATGGGGGAGAAAACACAGGGATGCGAATAATACTTTATAAGATACAGTATGGTAATAAAAAACAAAACAAAAAAAAAACAAGAATCCTAAAAGACTTATAGAGAAAAGAAAGGAATAATAACTGTGAGATGCCAATGAAGAAATTATTGGAAACAATGGGACAAGGTCCTTAACTGTGTTCAAGAGAAAAATTGTCATAGAATTTATGAAGGGCCATAATAGATTGTGCATACTACAGGGCAAGATTGTATTACCTGCAAAAAACACTATTAGTAAGTAACCGAGAACACCGAGTGCATCAGAATACACAAGCCATACAGACCCTCACAACCAGCACTGATCCAGGGTCTTAAACATGTGACATGTCATGATTCCCTTTTATTCCAGAAGTTTGGTCCTTAAGGGGTTAAAATGAATGTAAATTGAAATAGGTAAATCCACTCACAAATAAAGAGCCAGTTAATTCTTGGCTCAAACTATAAGCGTTGTGGGATTATTTGGGGTCCCACTCCCTCTGCTGTATGTTGTGATAGGCGATCAGTGATAGTAGTCACCACTCCAATGATTCTTAAAAGTGCTTTATTTGCCAAACTGTGCATAAAAGTTAAAAAACAATAAGTGGTAGAATAAAAAGTCCTTGCAGTATGTGTGGTAAGTCTTTTCAAAATGCAAAATGCGTTTCACCCCTCTGGTGGCTTCCTCAGTTGCAGTATTGGTCCGCTGCAGAGTAAACACACAGCTTTATGTCTAAACACAGAGCCCTTGCAACTCACAAAGCGGGTAGAACCCTGCTCGTCTACTTCAAACTAACCCTAAGGCTCCTCTGCAAAAATGCACCCTATACCTCGATCTGTCGGTATAAAGCCTTTCCCATCTACTTAAACCAATGTCTATTACTATCAATTGCAGTAATGAAGGAACTGAAATATGTTGAGAATATAAGTCTATAAGAATATGCAATATGTCCTCAATATAGTAAACACATAGCCTTATTTCAACAGTATCGCTTGCCTTGATGGGTCGATAAAATTCTGCCAATCTATTTGAACCAAACTAACCTAAAGGTCCTCCGAGGGCAAGCACCCTATATCTCGATAGGTAGATACCTGGGGCCATCAACTTAAATCAAAGATGGCCATGAAGCTCTGTGTATAACTATTTTTTACAGTAGTAAAGTGGAAACCCAACACGTGTTTTGGTGCTGTACAGTGGCACCTTCATCAGGGTGTTATTAAAAGAAAGATCCTGTAGGTGCTACAAATTTAAAGGGACACTATAGTCACCAGTGCAACTACATGTATTCCTAACCTATAGTGTTAACACGACCATCTAGCCCCCTTGGGCCCCTCATGCCTCCATAAGTATAGTAAAAATCTTACTGTATTCAAGCCAGAAGCTGTACATCTGCATGCTGAGACTTAGGAAAAACAAGCAGTCTGCTGACATGTGATAGCCTGATCCAATCACAGTGCTTCCCCATAGGATTGACGACTATAGTGTCCCTTTAAAATCAAGGCAGACTCGCCTCTATTTAATTCTCCAACCAATAGCAATCCACGTAGGCGGTGATATATATATATATATATATATATATATATATATATATATATATAAAAACACACACACATACATACACACACCACAAAAAAAAAGTTATAATTTAAGACTGTATCACCTGTCAACTATTTAGTTACAAATAAAGTACTAATACACATATAGATTATATAAACATATATTTAGCGATTGTCATTATTTATATTTATGGTTTCATCAGAGTCTGAACAAATGTTTAAAAAGCAACTAGATGCATGCTTGCAAAAACATAAAATTCAAGGATATAATTTTTCAATCATGGGGTAATAGCTTCTTGATCCAGGGATAATCTGACTGCCATTCTGGGGTCAAGAAGGATTTTTTCCCTAGTTTGTGGCATAATTGAAAGCGCTTCGGACTGGGTTTTTTTGCCTCCTTTTGGATCAACAGCAAAAAACAAATGTGAGGAAGGTTGAACTTGATGGACGCAAGTCTCTTTTCAGACGATATAACTATGCAAATATTATTATGGATCTATACTGTATTAATTGTTGTGGAGTTATGCTATTCTAGCTGCAGCATAGCACTTTCATTGTGACATCACACGATTCGTAATTCTTAGTTAAAGCCATGTCTTTCTGCCACTTTAAGATGATATCACATGATGACATAATAGGAACAATATGATAGAAACATAACTGCAGGAGCTTCAGTGATTTCCAATTTCTCTTGAGTGACTTTGAGTAGCGAATAGTGTGATTTTGCCTATTTGTCCGGTTAATATTGAGATTACATCTTACAAGCAACAATGGTCAGCACGTACAAAGGTGAAAAAAATTTTTGGCACAGAAAAGGGATGTGAGAATCTAATTAGTCTATTTGTAGCAAGTAAAAGAAATTAAAATGGGAGATTTGCTTGAATAAAAAATAACGAACCCAATTATACTGAAAATTTGTCAATACTGGCATATGTAACAATTTATGAAACTCCTGGTACATTTCAAGAACATTCTTCATGATGCAGGTCCTCTTCACCTCCCGGTGTTTCAACTGCTAGGAACCAGGAACCATGTCTTTGTTGTACTCTCACACAACACTGAGACCTACGAAGGATCTTGCGAGACCACTGGATCCTCCATAGACAAACCAGAATACACACGTCCCTGGCTCTAGCTTGCCCCCCTAAAAAGAGTTAAAATTCACCCTTATTCCAGGGCCGCGTGCATAAGGGCCGCATGCATCTGCCAGCTCTGGCTCTGCCCCCTGTCCGCCTTCTTGGCTGACACCATCAGAATCGATGTTTTCAGCTAATCCAAAGCATTCCCATATGATACTTTCTCAGGTTGTGCAGCACTGACCTAGTTGCTGTCTGAGTGATTTCCACTGGATGTGTCCTTAGACAGTAATGTAAACACTGGATTTTCCCTGAAAACGCAGTGTTTATAACTAAATGTCTGGAATGACTAACATTGCTCACCAGAACAACTGCAATAAGATGACTATAGTGTCCCTTTAATGTAGTGATTCTGAGGCAAAGAGAATGACCCTGTAGACTGAGCACTGTAAACACTACATTTTTCATTGCTGCATAACACCACCTTTTAGTGGTGTTTTCTGGGGCGGGCCTGCAATAGTTGCAGGACCAATGTTCGCTGCCCACCATTCCCTTCATGGTGATGCCAAACGCTCCCCATAGAAATACACTGAATGAGATGCTGATTGACGCAGATGATTCAATAAACATTATTAGTCATTAAGATATATGGGTGTAGAATTCCAGCAGATCTAGTTTAAAATACATGCTGCCATGTTCTACGCACTCTACCCGTAGTTTAATTTAAATTTAATCCCTCCACAACGACGTCCCCAAACTGAACTGGGTTGGACTTCCCATAAATTGGGACAGCCTTGTCCCTTTTGTAGGACAATATGTTTTATTTTCTAATGTAGAGATAGTGGTAGTAAATGTAATGATTAAATAAAGTGCTACTCCAAACAAAAAATAAAAATGTGTCTTCTTTGGTAAGAGTAAGCCTTACCTACCCCCAATTAAAATTATACTCTGGCAACAAAGGGATAGATCTATGTACGTGTTACACAGTAAAATGCTGCACATACAGGGGCTTCAAGCAACATTACCACTTTAAATCACTGAAGTGGTCATAGTGCGTTAATCATGTAACCTAAGACAATGTATAATCCACAGATCTTAATTTGACGAAATAAAGGTAGTAACATTAAATAAATACTAGAAGGAAAATTTTAAAACCTGAGTTTTGCACTTATTAAATATTACCTTTTTTTCTCTATAACAGGAGGAAATAATGAGCCTTCAGTTAGTGACGCCTTTCCCTTAAACCGACTTAAGTTCCACCGACTCCTGGGAAGAGGCAGTTTCGGCAAAGTATATAATGTTTAGACTAGAATTTTTTTTTTCTTTCACAATTTAAATAGCGTTTTGCAACTTACAACGTATTTAAACTTATAAACAAATAGTTTTAGTTAATTAATACCTTTTACACGGCACCTTTTCATTTATTTCTGTTCTCTGGTGTGTATTGGCCAGCTGGTTCGCTAAAGAGTGAATTTATCAGAATCGATCATTTTCTTGATGAATTTTCTAATTCAGTTAATTTGGCCTAAAATTGTGAATTTATACATAAAGAAAAGGAATTGGCACTGATCTGAGGTCAAGGACATGTTTATTGAATGATATACAACAGAGAAAGAGCCTTTTTTATTATTATTATTATGTTATTATTTATATAGCGCCACCATATTCCGCAGCGCTTTACAATGGGTGGACGAACAGACATGTAGTTGTAACCAGACAAGTTGGACACACAGGAACAGAGGGGTTGACGTCCCTGCTCAATGAGCTTACATGCTAGAGGGAGTGGGGTAAAATGACACAAAAAGGTAAGGATAGTATTAGACTAGTGACAGTTGCAGAAGAGGAATCAGTCAGGAGCTATTAACAGTTTAGCTTTTATGAAGAAGTGGGTTTTTAATGATTTTTTTTGAAGGAGTGGAGACTGGGTGAGCATCTAACGGAGGAGGGAAGCGAGTTCCACAGGAACGGTGCAGCCCTCCAGAAGTCTTGAAGGCGAGCATCAGAGGTGGGAGTACGGACAGAAGATATACATAAGTCTTCAACAGATCGTAAGGGCCTAGACGGGAACGTGTGAAACCATAATACCATGTGCAAAATGCCACATAGTGATGACATAAAGGGGACAGAATATAACAATTCTCATTATAAAAAAAGATGAAAGAAAACCCCCATAACAGAAAAGCGCTTAAAATAATTTTATGTGTACAAATATATGGAATATTAGAAAACAAGGAAATAGGAGACAAATGATGATGTCATCCACATCCCAAAACACACGTGACCACAATGTAATCACCAAATCTAGGTCCCAGTAATATAAAAATATTTAACATATTGGAATTTCATTTTGAATTCTTGACATTTCAAGATGTAGTGAATAACCTGGTCAGATTTTTAAATTCAGGATTTTGAATAGCTTTAGTGACTTAAACTATCAATTTTATTAAAGACAGAGGCTGATATCATGCTCGGCTCTCTTTACTACTCCAAATAGCAGCAAAAGTAAAAGGCAAGAAATTTCAACCAAACAGGATAGTATATAGGACATATACATATAACCAATTTATACGTCCACATTCCCGCGTTAAAGCGGATCTGCCAAAGTGCATTCTTTATAAAATACTGATAAATTAAAGACTGCATTGGAATGTCACTGAAATTCCGACTCCATCCAAAGATACCATAAGACTAGTAGGGCCTAAGCAGCGATTACTTTGTCTTATAGACAAGGCTGAGGTTGACAAAATAAAATCCGTATAAGTGGAGAGCCAAATCAAACTGCTCTATATTTAGCAGATGAGAGGAAGGGTAAGACAAATAGGAAACCTAACCACCTATTAATTAGAATACATAAAAAAAATATAACGAACTACCCTTAATCTCTGTCAATATACAAAATATAATGAAACAAACTTAAATGCAAATAAAAGTCCAGTGATAAGTTTGTATTGGAAGTTGAATCCAGGTGATCTCCCTGGATGTTATTATGCCATGATATAACTCCAATTCATGGAAAATAAATGACAGCAAAAACAAAAATTAGTTAATACATCCTATATTTATAGTATACACTATACACCAACACAAGGTTTAGTGCTAAAAATTTTTTTATTTATTAGAGTCATAGCTCATAAGACATAAAAACTAACAAAAAATAAACTAAAACAAGCATTCTTTCGTCTATATGATCTCTGAAACAGAGAGAGTATGAGAAATTAAGAAATTCTCATGCTCTCTCTGTTTCAGAGATCATATAGACGAAAGAAAGCTTGTTTAGTTTTTATGTCTTAACAGCAATGACTCTAATAAATTAATTTTTTTTAGCACTAAACCTTGTGTTGGTGTGTAGTGTATACTATAAATATAGGATGTATTAACTAATTTTTGTTTTTACTAAGATCACCTGGATTCAACTCACAATACAAACTTATCACTGGACTTTTATTTGCATTTAAGTTTGTTTCATTATATTTTGTATATTGACAGAGATTAAGGGTAGTTCGTTATATTTTTTTATGAGGTTGACAAAAGGTGGATCTCTGCCATCAACGTTTTTCCAATCCCAGCAGCTGTCGTGGGATTCAGGCATTATCTATAGAGACTCCCGCAGTCTTGCGGAATCCTCAATAGACCTCAGTGTTCTACTTCCCGCGCATGCTCTACAATACAGTACCAATGCCGCTACTGGCAACTCAAGCACCAGGAGTTGAAGATGACCTTCTTGACCAAGATGGCGGCAACCATTTGAGACAGCTTGAGGAAAGTAAAACTTACCTTCCCCTGCACCCCGCGGCCACCGCACCCACACCGTTTTTGTTACTTTTATTTTTATTTGCAAAATATGCAAAGACCCCCAAAAATGACATACCTGCCTAACTCCTTCTCTACTCACAGATCACACACTCACACAAACTATGCACTCAGACACCCACCTCATGCACTCTGCTGTAAAACATCTGTAGGGAGTCAGTGACAGCCTAGGAAGGGGAGGGGATTAGCAGCCATTAGCTCTCTCCCCAGCACCCATCCATTTCCTTCCCTCCTAGCACTGCACATACACACTGATCCCCATCTCACTCAGCAGTATGGTGAGGGCTTCCAGTTTACAGGAGCAGCCTGACCCAGCAGAAGCCTTCACATCCAGCCATGGACAGCAGCCTTCACTCTGGTGGGAGGAAAAGGTGGAGATGCAAAAAGGAATCTACCAACTCCTCTACTTCCGGCTTGAACTAAAAGCTAATAATGGCCAGCTCAGACCATGGGGTCCAGCCTGGGTCACCCCAACCACTCAGCAACGCCCCTGTGTGTAGCACATCTACGAGGATTAAATTCAAACAATGACATTGCACTAGTTAAATTGAAAAAAAGCAAAACCTTATGTTAGGATAAAAAAAACTTGAATTTGTCAGTATGCCAGTAAATGTTAACCTATACACAGAGATCTATAGTTTTAGGAATATCTGGATCCACTCTCGATGCTAGATTTAATCAGTAAGAATGGCTGAGGTTATTCTGTCAGAGTCCGTATCCAATCCAACGTTCATTTGGTACTGGAAAAATATTGACACTCACCATGTGTAATTTATTATATTTTAAAAGAATGATTTCCCTCACAATGGAAAAAAAAAAATCATATGTCACTTTTCTCAATGAAATCGAATAGAAATGGTACTTTTCTAATGGTGATCTTCCAGTACCCTATCTCTATGCCTTAACGCTGTGTCTTCTCCAGGTGATGCTAGCGTCCGATATTATAACTAAAGAGAATCTGGCAGTAAAGATTGTGAAAAAGAGCCAACTGCTACAAGATTTGGATGATAAGGAAAGCATTTTAGTGGAACGTCGGGTGCTTGAGGTGGCCAGTGGATGCCGCTTCCTCACGGATGCTTACGCCACGTTCCAGACTGAAGTAATAAAATTACATCCATCAACCATTCTATTACAATAAAGATAAAGTATGTGTGATGCTACATGGACTCCTGTTTGATCCATTTCATTTCTCTATTTGCAAACAGGATCACATTTTCTTTGCAATGCAGTATCTGCGGGGAGGTGATCTGGATGACTTAATTAAAGCTCACAATAGACTGGACATTGATACTATAAGGTAATTATTGAAAAGAGATATTTAAAGGTGCAATGAAACACCACTATGAATGAAATTCCACAAATGAGAAAGAGAGGGGGACCATAGACAATATGAGTGTAGTTGTTTGAATAAAGGAAAACACGGAAAAGAGTGAGATTAGAGATGGAACTCATCCAAACTAGTTTTACCTGACAACTCTGAATTGCTTTTAACATGAACTTGATCATTTATCCACAGATATACAGAAACAAATATCAGAGGGATTAAACGTAGCCGTGTTTGGGAGATTCTAAATAAGGAAGACGGGTGATGTCTGAAATTTTACATTGAGAAGGTTAATCAGAGAAATCAGAACAGTGTTAAAGGAACACTATAGTTACTAAATCAACTTTAGCTCAATGAAGCTATTTGTGTGTATAGATCATGCCTCTGAAGTTTCACTGCTCAATTCGCTGCCATTTAGGAGTTAAATCCTTTTGTTCTTGTTTATGTAGCCCTAGCCACACCTACACTGGCAGTAACTGACACAGCCTGCATAACAACAAAATGGTTTCATTTTCCATCAGATGTAACTTACTTTAAAAGTAATGGTTTCCTGTTCTGTAAACTAAAATGTAGTTACATACAGGAGGCTCCTTCAGGGTCTAGCACACTATTAATAGAGCAAGAAACAAGAAATTCTAAATTAAACAGAATTTCCAATAAAGGAAGTGTAAACATTAGATGACTCTTTACAGGAAGTGTTTAGAAAGGCTGTGTAGGTCACATGTATGGAGGTGTGACTAGGGCTGTATAAGCAAAGTGATTTAACTCATAAATGGCAGAGAATTTAGCAATGAAACTGCAGGGGCATGACCTATACACCAAAACTGCTTCATTAAGCTAAAGTTGTTTTAGTGACTATAGTGTCACTTTAATAATAAAAATGTACTTCATCATATAGTACTTTTTGTTTAAAAATTTAAGTGTGGCTAATTATTTCCTTTCTACCAGATTCATTGCAGCTCAACTGGTATGTGGGCTGCAATTCCTCCATGAACATGGAATTATCCATAGGTAACTACAGTAGTAATTCATTATATATGTAATTTTTTTCTCTTTTATCTGGGTTGAAGCTTTTTTGTCCCTCCATGTAATGTACGTCTTATCTTTTCTAATTTTTCATTCTCAATTCTTTCTAAAAGGTTTTGTTGCTCACTTGAATGTTTTGTGATCTTTACAGAGACCTGAAGCCAGAGAATATTTTATTGGATAACAACGGTAATATTAAAATTGCTGATTTCGGTCTTGCGTTAGAAAATATGTTTGGTGACAAAATGGCTACAGAATGCGCCGGCACATTGGGATACATGGCTCCAGAGGTGAGGTATATATAATAATGATGTGCAATATTAGGTAAGTTAGAACTTCTATTGAAAACCAGCAGAAACGAACACCAAAACTTAGTAGTTTTAGTTAAAAAGGAAAAGCTTAGAGTGAAACAAGTAAATTCTGACATCAGTGAAATGGGCAGAGCTTAGTCTTAACTCAGGAGAGAACTCCTTTTGGTGAGGTTATCAGAAACATTCACTATTATTAAAAGAATATAGTGTTAGGAATATTAACATGCATTCCTAATGCTATAGTTTCCTAGTCCGTATTTAGATTCAAGAACCATCTTTAGACCTTCAAAAAAAAATAGAGAATGTTGGAAAGTGAAGAATCTGCTCTAATCGGTGCCTTACCCTATGTTGGTATAATTAAAAGGCCCACAATTCTTCAATCCTGACAAACCTGTGAATTTTAATGAATTTGTTTGAGTTCCAAGAAAAAAAGGTAAAGTGTTCTATAAAATACAATGCAATGCAATTCATTTAAAATGTTATAGTCATTTCCCTCACTATATCCGACTCTGCCCTACAATAACCTATATTAGTTTTATTCTATGTGTCTGACTTGCCAATTATTTTTCTCTGAACATTTTCTGGAAGATGATGAATGATGAAAACTACAATGCATCCCTAGACTGGTGGGGATTGGGAATTATTATCTATCAGATGGCTACAGGATATCATCCTTTTCGTCGTAACCCATGGCAAACAGTGACCAGACCAACAGAACAAAGATACACACCCCACTATCCCGAGTATCTGAGCACGGACACACAGGATATAATGGAAAAGGTTGGTCTGTTTTTGTTCAATATGAAAAAGAAATACATGCTAAATTGAGCAATGTTATTAAACAGCTGGTGGAGTTACACAAAGAAAATATTCGGAAATGTTGGCCATTTTTGTCAGCTAGCTGACATTTCATGACAAAGTTGAAGCTCTATGTAAGTGAGCTCAGGAGAAGTATGAAATCAGGGCCAGACTTCCCACAAGTCCACAGAGACAATGTCCTCAGGGAGGCAGGAAAGAAAGAGGTGACCAAAGAACTCCATCACCAGTCATACAAGCGATCTGCATGTGGTGAAGTGCAGACCAAAAGATGCACTCACTGGAACACATGGGATTAGTACTCCTCCTCTTTGGGCAAAGGTAAGCACGAGGAAGGGGGGAATTAACGTAACTTTTTAAAACGTATTTTTTTATATCTACTTCCCCAATGTACATAACCGTCCTTATAACACCCAGCACGCACGCACGCGCGCGCACACACACACACACACAGCAGATAACCCCCGGAATACATGCACTACAATCTTAAAGCTTAGAGAGGGGTTAATGTCAGAGTTCGACTACATAGGGTGTATAGTGTTAAAAAGTTGAACAGCTTAAGATGCGTTAATGATGTATAAGGGCTGTTTATGATTATTGCGTTTGGGGTTAGAGTTAGGTTAAATTTAGCATTTGGGTACAGGGGGTGTTTTAGGGTTGTAAGGGGAGTTAAAAGTTATTTGCAAGATACTCTCACCCTCTGATGTCATCTGTAGAGCAGTCAGTCTTCTATGGAGTGGTTACACAGTGTGCATCACTCAGACCTTCCTCTGCTTTCCTTCCAAGGCACTTCTTGTGTGAGAGGCTGTTAGTGGGCAGATAGGAAGTGACCCCTTCCACTTCCAGTCAAGTCTCACATACAGACACGGGAGGAGCTGGGAATTACTGAGTTTGACACTCACTATGACTGGTCCTGTTTGGACTACAGAGGGCACTGGCCAAGACTCCTGGTACTTACCTCCCTCACCAGCCTATTTATGCTCAAAAAGGCACATTATAAGTGCTGAAAACAGGCGTCCCTAGTGATCAGGTGCTTACTCTGCCTAAAGGGAAATCCATCCCTGCACCACTGCCTTCATTTAATAATTATAAGGACTTGCTAGATTTATAAAAAGTAGAATATCTCTTGCTATTTGAATATCATTTAACACTTGCTGTGCATTGTTAACTTACTGTATGTCTTAGCATTGGGACTATTGTTAATAAAAGATTTACAATGCAAAAAAATGGGAAAATGCTAGACATATATATATATATATATATATATATATTATAAAAGAAAAATGGTTCCATAATAAATAATGTTACCTTCGAGAACACTAAAATTGTATTTTGTTTCAACCTTTACTTAATATATTGTCCAAAAATCCATTGTATGTAGTTTTTTTTTTTTTAGCCAGGAGCAGATTTTTTTTTACATACGTATGTTTCTCTTTAAAGCTTCTATGTGTAGACCCATCCCAGCGCCTGGGAAAAGAGGGGGATATTCGCAGCCACCCCTTTTTTAAATCCATCCATTGGAAGGAGCTGGAGGCCGGCAATGTATCTTCCCCGGTGTCATTATGCAGTGTAAGTCTGTGAATAAAAATGCTGAACATTAAAGCATCACCTTTTCTACTTACTTATCACTGTTGGAAATCAACAAATTAGGACCTAGAGAATCTCATCGAAGCTTCACATTTTGCCACAATCCAATGCATTTATAAAACATATTGTTCTTTCTGTATAATATGAATATAGTTTTACTGCATTGGAATGTCACTGGCCTTGCAAATATCCCAGAGTTCCTCAAAAAGACTTTATTTTTTCCCATGTGAAGTAAAGGAACCCTTTGAAGACCCAACTAAACAGTTTTAAGTTTTCAATGGATTTCCCCAAACTCAGCATCCAGGGAACTACGCAAGTAATTTAATATGGAACCCCCAGAAAGCATTATCCCTGAGATTCAATCATTAGACCATTGAAACTTCCAAATAAATGCAAAATAATAAAAAAAACTGAAACCAAGTTAGATCTTAAGAACACAACTATGTCTAAAATATACTAAAAATCAATGTTTATATTCTTTCTTTGTAGCCATCATTAGAAAACATCACAGGAAGTGTGAGTGTTAGGGAAGCACTCTCATTAAAATGGTTTACAGAGGAGCCAATTGGCTCATCAGAGCAAAAGCTGTTTAAAGGCTTCAGTTTCAACAATCCCAAAATGACCAACCTATTAGAGCCAACAGCAGTCCCTTTATGTTCGGTTAAAGAAAAGAACAGGAATAGAAAGAGGGTAGTGAGTGAAAATGAAGAAATTATTACCAAAAAGAATAGGAAGCTGGAGTTATCAAAGCCCGCACCAGCTATTTCATGGGCTGTGAGAGATAATAACAGAAAGAGAAAGAAAGGAGAGAACGATAAAGAGGTTTATCCAAAAAAACAAAAACAAAGGAACGATGAACTATCTGAGCCATTAGCAGCCACTACATGTACAAACAGAGACCTCAATAGGAAAAGAAAGAAGCATCAGAGCGAACGTGACAGTCAAACAATTTCAAAAAAACAAAAGGAATCTTGAATAAAAATTTTTTATAATTTAAATTGTTATTCCTTTTTAGATTTGCTTGACTATGCGAATATATGATGAAATATTCTTGTTTTATTCCTGTTAATTTTTCCAATATATGGTGGTGGGCAAATAGCTGGCAAAACAATAGAAATTCAATCATTTTACTAAGTGGACATATTGGGACACTTCTGGTGTTGAGGACCAAGATGAAGAAGTCATACGCCATTTCTCATTCAGTTAGTTATCTAATGGCTTATTGAGTATACTGCCCTATATCCTTCCCCATCACATCCAAACCTCTCAAAGTTTGTCTGGTTCTTCATTAGAATTCTAAGAATAAAAATTTAAATAAAATAAGAAACAAAAAGATTTTTATCAAACACGGTGGTCTGTGACAACGTTAATTTGAGCACAAAATGTAGAATAGCCGTCTGCTCCATATTTGATTATCCTGCATTCTTATTATTCTGATCGATTTAAGAAGATAAAGGTAGACGTTTTTAAAACAGGTAATGATCACTGGCCATTAGCAGAGACTTTGGACTTATCCAAAAGTTGCAGGACAATTGCCTTTATCTGAAGCAGGAGGATAAAATAAATAGATTAAAGGGCCTTTAGATCAATTAGCGGCTTCTCTAGAAGTAGTTACTTTAGGTTAAACATTGTACCATTGCTGTTTGAATAAAAAACCACTGGAACAAATCACTAGAGTGCGCGTGCTGACAAGTTCTCTATGAAAGAGAACTCAATATGAAAAGAAAGAGGGATAAGAGCAAATACGAAAGTCAAACAATTTAAAGAAATAAAAGATTTTGAATAAAAGCTGAATTGCTTCACTCGGCAAATATATGATGCTAATTTCTCCGATGTTTGGTGGTAGACAAATACCTAGCAAAACTATAGAAATTAAATAATTTTACCAAGTGGACATATTGTGACACTTCTGGTACTGAGGACAAAGATGAAGTTAGACGCAGGTTTCTCATTCAGTAATGGCTTGCTTAGTTTATGGGCTCTGTTTTAAATAAAATGTATATTAAATATTTAGTAAGTGACATCACTATGCAGTTAAGGCCAGGCACAAGTGGGGCACATAATGCATATGGGAAGGACAGGTCTAAGGGTTGTGGGAGGGCACCATGGAACGAAGGGCGCCATGCGGTGGACACAGCTGACCACAACCAGGGCCTGCACCCTGCCCTACATCTTTATTGGCCGTTGCGGAATCTCCCTCACTGGCCCGCTGTCTACCTGATGCAGAGGAGGCGGCCCCGAGTGCTTCTGTTCTGCACCCTCACCGGGTGCAGATACCAAGCAGTTCTCTTGCGATTTTGACATTCAGAGCATTGACACGCGTTACCATGGCAACACCGATACTATTAGTGCAGAGCTTGTGAGAGGAAGTCACTACAATGCATCCGTTGAAATGCTGGCATCGAAGATCATCGAAGAGTGACATTTAAACATCTTTGCAACTCTTCCCTTAATAGCAGTTGCATTGCTGATGCTTCATCATAGCTCAGTGCCCGATCACAAGACTGATAGGTAATCCTGTAACACAGACTGGTCTTTCCAGTTGTTATATTGTCAAACTGATCTTGCAGATGAATTTTGGTAATAGTTCCCTTGGTGACTTTCCGGGCTATAGTGTGAAACTCTAAGTCGTCAAATGCCGAAACATCTTCTACCCAGAAACTGACATCATGGGTGTAAGATGGGGGATGTAACGAGAAATACTGAAAGGTTTTCAGTCCATGTTTTCTGTACTGCTGCATAAATCGGTCATCTGCCGTCCACAGCAGTCGCCAGTCAGGGATATCCAAAAGACACATGGTCAGTAGGTCCATGTTGAATGTCACAAGTAACACACCAACGTCCTTGACTAGCTGGCCTGGTGCTGCAGTCATTATTTGTCCGATAACTTGATCATCATCACAAAGAGTCGATGACATTTTAATTGAGTAACATTCTCCATTTACAAGGTTCTTGCAGAAACTTAAAATGATGTGGCTGTCATGTTTTTCCATTTCTTCATTAACAGAACACTTTGTGTCATTGGTGATAAATGTTCGTTGGGATTCTATAAATTTCTCAACTGTATCCATCAGCACTTGAAGGTCAGCTGTAACACTGCCATTCAGAGAACCCAACACTAGGAGGGTCTCCAGGTAAGTTGGCATGGTCCACTGTGATATCAAGCACTTCTTAAAAACAGGTCCACTGAGAACGTACAAAGAATCAGAAGCAAAATCTTTTTCCATAATTATATTGGAAATACAGTGGGTCAGTGATGGTCTCATATAATATAAGTGTTTACAGTTTTGGTCTGCATAAGAACATGGAGCTGTGTGATTCTCTGTCATAGTGTTTTGATTTTGAGAGCAGATCTTCTGCAGATCACAAGAGCACTGGTAAGAACTTTCTGCCATCTCTTCCTTAATGTAATACAGATCGTGCCGAGTCACGTAGAAAGCTGGAGCTCTGTCAAAATTGCATACAAGCGGCTGTGTGTCTTCCAAGCATTTAACGCTCATACTTCTTCCAAAGAAGGCTATAAGGTCCTCATTAACCATGCTGGTGGGATGACACCGATCTCTATTCAAGAAACATCTGCATCTAAATATACATATAGAAGAAAAAAAAAACATTAAGAGAGCAATTTGGGGAATCTTACTTAAAGAGCTTATAAAGTTAAACAGAGGGTCATACATTACAGTCCAGATTTAAATGGATACTATAGTGCCAGGAAAACAAACCAGTTTTCCTGGCACTATAGATTCCTGGATTGCCCCCCTCCCTCGGTGCTGAAGGGGCTAAAACCCCTTCAGTCACTTTCCTGTATCCAGTGCCGATGTCCCTCAGCGCTGGGTCAGGCTCCGCCCACGTTCTTACCCCAGGAAACGACAGCCGGCGGGGGAGACCTAATGCACATGCGCTCGTATTAGGATTTCCCCAAATAAAAGCATTATTCAATGCTTTCCTAAGAGGAAAATCTGACACTGGAAGTCCTCACGCATAGCATGAGGACCTCCAGCTTCAGATAACGGACCAAAGGTCCGTTTCGATTCCGGAAGTCTACCAGACAGCCACTAGAGGAGGAGTTAACCCTCAGAGTTAATTATTGCACTTTCTCAGTAGGGTTAAGGGACATGGGACATTGCACCCAGACCACTTCAATGAGTTGTCCCTCTAAAGATCACAGTTCAAGAGATATGCATAAATACTGGCAAACCGTTCATTGTTCCCTGTTCATTATGGAATATTACTGCTGAAATTACGTAACAATAAATACACCACAGTGATAAAATAAAACAATCTGCTCACTGAATTTATACACAAACGTGTGTGTGTTTGTGTATCTATATAGTACGCAAACACAACTAATGAATTATGACGTCTTCACTCATAATCACTCAGCGCTGCCTTCCTTTACATCAATGACACTTACAAGCGAATTTTAACATTTCAGTCCTAATCTGAGACTTGTTTCAGGGAAACTACCGTTCACAAATAGCTGTTGTACAAAATGACCCAGTATTTATCTGTTCTGGTAGAAATGCCTTATTACCTTTCTATAGTACTGTCACAGTCCTCTGCGATCACACCTAAAGGTGGTATTTTTGTTAACTTGCTGATTATATCCAATGGAATCATGTTCTCTAACGGCAAACTCCTAGTGAAGATGTGATTCAATGAGCCAGTTACATGGAATGATTTCTCTTGGCTTCTGTTTAAAATAATAAAACATAAACCATTCATGAAAACAATATTAATAGTCAAACTGCTTAACCTCTTAATGACCAATAACACACAGTCTATGTCATGATATTAAATGATATGCCTAACCCGTCATTAAGGAATTAAAATAATAAAAAAAAATAAAAAAAACGGAAATTAGAAGTATTTTAAGACATACAACTTCATACACAATAATTAACAGTACAAAGTTAAAAATCAAATGTTCTTTTGATTTATATATAAAAGAGTAAAGGACATTTACATTTACTTATTTTTAAGAACCAGTTGGGCACAATAACAACTTCAGTTAGATGAAGTAGTTATGGTGCCAGGAGGCCCCAGGTTCTGGCTTATTTTTAGACGTTAAACCCTAAAGCCTGTGCTCCAGTGCCGGATTGCACTGCTCTCCTACTTTATGAAATCCTAGATAACGGAATGCTTGGGCAGCATCAGACATGAGCACCGCTGATTTGCTTAGAGCAGTCAGCTGACATGCAAAGGCAATAAGTAGCTCCCCATTCATAAAAAAAATAAATAAGTTCCACCGTACCTGTATCCTGTGCACTGGTATCCATTGTGTTCATCACACCCAAAAGGAACCACGGAGGTCAAGATGAATCCTGCTTTTGCTGCCATGGCTGTCACTTGCCAGCTGTTATGCCACTCTCTCATTGGTTGATCAGCCGGCGTGCCCCCTTGCCCTTGGCACAAGGCCACATGGATATCTCCATTCTGGCTGAGGACATCCGTGCAACTAGAGAGCAATACAGATCTTTAAATGTTTCAACACACGGCAGTATTAGAATTCAATATTGACAATATCTGTGTTTTACCAACAAATTCACATGTCCATTCTAGCCTGAGCAGTTTTAAAATTAGACACCGTTTGTGGATTGGATGCAGTCTTTATTGCCAGGTCACTTTTGCCAGGTATTTTCCCCCAAGAACAATGTCTTTGTGAGATTTCTATAACGCTGGGTAAAGCAAGGTCACTTCAAATAGAACGGAGCACTCGGAACACATTTTGGCCAGATAGACCTAGCTTATTCTGATAATGTTACTCAGCTAGAGTTCTTGCAATATTTAAATAAAAGAGACGTGGGCACAGTGTTGTCTGTCTTTGTCAGTAAGCTGCAAGTTTTAGGTCAAAGTAGCCAAACTTTTCTACAATTTGACGATTTTTAGCTTTGCTCTTTTAGGTTAATATGTGCACACCCCCGTCCGTTCTAATGTGTGCACACCCCCGTCCGTTCTAATGTGTGCACACCCCCGTCCGTTCTAATGTGTGCACACCCCCGTCCGTTCTAATGTGTGCACACCCCCGTCAGTTCTAATGTGTGCACACCCCCGTCAGTTCTAATGTGTGCACACCCCCGTCAGTTCTAATGTGTGCACACCCCCGTCAGTTCTAATGTGTACACACCCCCGTCAGTTCTAATGTGTACACACCCCCGTCAGTTCTAATGTGTGCACACCCCCGTCAGTTCTAATGTGTGCACACCCCCGTCAGTTCTAATGTGTGCACACACCTGTCGGTTCTAATGTGTGCACACCCCTGTCGGTTCTAATATGGGTACAACCCTGTCAGTTCTAATGTGTGCACACCCCTGTCAGTTCTAATGTGTGCACACCCATGTCAGTTCTAATGTGTGCACACCCCTGTCAGTTCTAATATGGGTACAACCCTGTCAGTTCTAATGTGAGAACACCCCTGTCAGTTCTAATGTGTGCACACCCCTGTCAGTTCTAATGTGTGCACACCCCTGTCAGTTCTAATGTGTGCACACCCCTGTCAGTTCTAATGTGTGCACACCCCTGTCAGTTCTAATGTGTGCATACCCCTGTCAGTTCTAATGTGTGCACACCCCTGTCAGTTCTAATGTGTGCACACCCCTGTCAGTTCTAATGTGTGCACACCCATGTCAGTTCTAATGTGTGCACACCCCTGTCAGTTCTAATGTGTGCACACCCCTGTCAGTTCTAATATGGGTACAACCCTGTCAGTTCTAATGTGCGCACACCCCATGTGTGCACACCCCTGTCAGTTCTAATGTGTGCACACCCCATGTGTGCACACTCCTGTCAGTTCTAATGTGTGCACACTCCTGTCAGTTCTATTATGGGTACAACCCTGTCAGTTCTAATATGTGAACACCCCTGTCAGTTCTGGTCAGACCCTGGTTTAGTGAACAACCCAAATGGTTAACTGTCCTAATATGTTTTATATTCAGTCTTACTCCATTACACAAAGTAAGTGGAAGCTTTAAAGCAAATACTAACATCAGTTTACCGTGTTGACCACTAATCATTTTGTTTCCAGGCGTATTTACTAACCTGTGAAAGAATCTTGCCAGCAGTTCCCTGTTCTTCTTCACACCAGCCTTCCTTCCACAATGAGGGAAGTTGAATATAACTCTATCATAAGGAGCATGAGATGACCACTCGTAATCTTTCAGCCTTGTAGCATCTACTCCAAAGTGGACGACCGCTCCTGTGAAATAAAACGCACAATAAATCATTTGTAGATAGGTTTCCTGTGCTAGAGAGCCTAGTTTTATACATGGATTCTTATAACAGAAGGAAGCAGATATACGCATGAGAGAGCAATATAGATGTGGAAACAGGGTGCGAGAGAGTCATGGTATACTTACAGCACGGATAAGAAGTAGCTAAGATAAAAAAACTACAGCTCCCATGATGATTGGCCACATTTTTTCTAAGTCCCGAATGTCTGCCTATGTCCAGGCATTTACTTATTTTTATAAAACAAACTGCAGAGGAGCCAACCAATCTGTTATTAACCAGTGAATATGTCATTCATAAATCGCATTGGAAGAGAAATTTAGGTATGTAAAGGTGTATTCCCTGCACTATGCTGGAAAAAACAAAACACCAACAAGTGTCTCATTTAAAAGATATACTGAAAGGGACACTCCAAGCACCATAACCACTACAGCATGGAAGCTCTCAGCTCTGAGCTAAGTCCAGAGGTGCAGGACTTAGCACTGGGGTAGGTATACTTCGACACTCCAGATGTTGTGGACAACATCTCCAATAATAGTCTTACAGCCATAATGCTGGAAAAGCATTATGGTAGATGTAGTCCACAACATCTGGCGTTATGAAGGTTACCTACCCCTGATTTAGCACGTGGCTGAGAGCAGTCAGGCTGAGAGCAATCAGAGAGCGCCCGACAGACCCCAGATAACAAATCAAACAACAGTTTGTATACTTACATTGGGAGGGGGTGGGGGCACCCCTGGAGCTATAACTAACACAGAGTGCTGTTGTGCTAATGGTGTTTGGAGTGGTCTTTTAATTAAAGACGGCTTCCTGCATATTTCTCTAAACCACAACATGGTGTCCTAACCCAGACAGAGCCCCTACCACAAGAAGCCATTTTACCCTCAAATAAAGCAAACTGCATCCTCCAATAGCTTGCTCATCCAAAGATAATGTAACACGAAATAACATTACATGTTTACTTTGGCCAACACATATATAGATAAAATTGTAGGCTATATATCAATACATTTCATAAGGACCCCAGTATGGCCCCCACATTTTGAAGGACCTCAGTGAGCTTGGGCTGAGGTAATATTAAAATTTCACAGGTTTGGAAAAGGATCCCATTGGGTCAACTATATGGTAGGTCCATCACATGGTAACAATACCATCTCCAAACATAGCCAGTCCATCATCATCTGATACCTATCTCCACATTCCTATATTCAACAGTAAGCTTGTTTTGCTAGAAAGCAGGAGACGCACCTACAGAAGGATTCTCCAGCTCTCCCTATCAGTCATAGATTTCAAAGCTGAGAATTGATTGACAGGTGGGGATGGACCAATTTTTTTTACTTTCTAGTCTCTATGAGTTTGCCAACACAATGCAGAGGGAATTTTAAAATACTTAACTTAAAATAAAAATTTGTTAACAAAAGTGTTGCATACCAAGACAACTACACTTCAAGCTACAATGCCAATCAAAAACATATTTAAAAAAAATGTCAGCTTTAAGTAAGAATAGCAATAAATGAAACTTGTCCACAACAAGAAACCAAACACATTTTACCTTTTTCTCTAAGATGATGCACATTGCTCCAAGTAAAGGGCTGCCTTGTTATGTTCTCTTCATTATCATAGCAAGTGGCAGTAATGTGATATTTGCCGTGACTGGCATCACAAAGGGAAACAGAGAAAGAAAAGTTTCCTTCACCCACCAGCAAGACATTAAGTGGTGTCACTATCGTTTCCTCATCTGAAATTTAAAAATAAAAATAAAATGCAGTTGATAAATACAGAAAAGCGGACCAAGCTGAAGATAATCGCTTAGTTATGAAGAAAAACATGCAAAAAATAGAAATGCGAAACTGTGGGGTTTGCTTTAAAAAAAAGAAACTGCAAGATTTAGGCTACAACTGCTCAGCTGTAACTAAAGGCGAATTGGAGAGTTTAAAATTTTGCAACTCAATTTTTTTTATTATTAATTTCAAATATGTGTTTAGTGAATAATTCCCTTTAAATGGGTCATTCGTTTATTTGCTACAAAATGCCCATGGGTCAGAGTGGGTGAGATTCATAAGCTCTCACATCAGAATCTATGGAAAAGCTCTCACAAATCATTGAAGCTTTACAAAGCAGCACACACAGAAGACATGATTTTATCCAGACAGGAGAAAGTTAAACATCCCATCAGATCTAGCCTGCTAAAACATGCAATGTAAACACATTCATGCTGATCTACAACTGGACTCTTCCTGTACTATAACCCAATAATAAATAGAATCAGTCTGATAAGTAAAACCCACAAATCTACCACCTGGGAGAAGAGTACACTATCAGCTCTGACAACAGGTCACCCACCAAATCAGGCTGTCATCACATCTAACACGATTTTAACTCACCCATTTTCATACACGGTTAGATCCAACCCAGGAGGTTCGTTTTTAGTCTCTTCCGTTCATATCCCACCTGTGTCACTGTAATGTTATAACATACGAGTTATAATTACACAGGATAGAATTGTAAAAATGAGAATTACAGAATATTTAAATGGGGTCCATTCTAAAACACGTTTAGTTTTTTTTTTTGTCGGCAAGCCCTGGTATATTTTTCAAAGTCTCATAAGCAAATAAATGATCTGAATTATAGTCAGTGTCTGCTGTGAATAATATATAAAATATACTTATATTATACCATATACTATGAGAGACTGAGCCTGATTAACATAATGCTCCAAGATTGGTTTTATGTAAAACTGTAACAATCCACAGTCACTTTAAGAGACTTTTATAAGCGCTCAGTGAAGCAAACATTATTATTATTATTATTAATAACAGAAAGCATGCAGCATAGGGTCGCAGAGGGGATTTAATCAGACCATGCCTCCTGTTCCTTACACGTGGGTTGTCGCAGAATGCGCATCCTGATGATGTCATGGTTGCCAGGCAACCTGGTGACAACATTTAAAGCCCTATCCTAGAGACTATATAAGGCTGATAGGTGAGCTTTTTTTGTTGTTTTTTTTTTGTTTGTTTTTGTGTTGTTTGTTTTGTTTGTTTGTTTTTGTGCTGTTTTTTGTTTGTACTTTTGTTTGTTTTTTGTTCTTTTTTTTTTTATCAAAAAGAGATACATTCACTAAACTTTAAAAATTGATACATTGTGGCCAAAATAGCTTTTGAGTTTGGAAAAAGAAAATGCAATGTTTAGTGAATAAACCTCTATATTTTCACATGTCTGTTCATCAGAGCAATGCATATTTCTGGTTTATTTTTTTTTTATAAGGAAAGGGCTTCAGGGCTGAAAGTGGGGCATTGTTTACACCCCAAATCTGCAACTAAGGACAAGGAAACCATATTGTTTTCCTTAACAAAATTTAGGGGTGCATATTAATTAAAATAAAAATTGTTATAAAAGTCAGTAGTTTTTTAAAAATTCTTTTTATAAAATTGTTTTCTTTTTATGACACGTACAAATAACATACAATTCAATTTATTTGAATTAGATTATGTCTATAAATTATACATATATCAGACATATAAGTACAAACATTTATCAAACAACATATATCGCATTGAGTGTATCTAACTGTGGATCGGCGGGTTCTAATGGCTTTTATCCTTTACTCTATCTAAACGATATCAATTTCTTGTACACGGGAGTCCAGTGATATTAATTTCTTAATCAGATCTTTCATCTCATTAATATTTTAATGTTCATTAATCGCCAGCTCCATTCGTTATTGAAATAATAATTGATTTATTATATTTTTCCATATTGGGACGTTTTTAGGTTTCCAGTTTCTGGCTATTAGAATTTTAAAAGCTACAAAACAATGTATAATGAAATTTCTTTCCAGCTTTTTTAACTTAGGCCATCTCAAATGTAATAACTTAGAATATAATAATAAATTTCTTTCCAGCTTTTTTAACTTAGGCCATCTCTGGCGCAATCCTAAGTCTATATTCTATCATTTTATATATAAGAACAAAAATCCATTTCCATTACATCTTTATTTCAGTACAGCTCCACCAGATATGTATGTATAAACCTCTACTCTTTTCACACCTCCAGCAGAAATCACTTGACAAAGTAAACATTCTATCTATCCTTGAAGGTACCAGCTACCACTTGTTAATAAGTTTATATTGAGCATCCTGGAAGCTTATACAATGAATAGCTTCCCTCGTCTCTATTAATGATTTATACCATTCTATATTTGTGATTTGAATATTTAATTAATTTCCCCATTTTAATAAAGCATTAATTTGGTCCTCATTTTTATTAATTTTGATCATACTCAATGCTTTGGAGAGAACTTTATAAACTTTATTTTGGTTAAAAATACTACGTAAATCCTTATTTATTCCTGTTTTACTAAACATTAAATGTTGCTTCAATGTATACTTTACTCTTAAGTAGTTAAAAAGCTCAGATGAAGGGAGATTAACGGCGTTAGAGGAGGCGTGAAATATTGTGTCTTCAAAAACAAAATGAAGGGATGTACTTTAATTAAAAATGTTAAGAATCTCAATACTAAAGTTTCTCTTTTTCAACAAGATGGAATGTTTTTGTGTAAGTAGCTTTGTGTTGTTTTAGAATTTCGCTGACATTCCAAAGCATTCTAAACATGTAAGATTTGCTCACTTATAGGGAAATTATAAAAAAGAGGCAAAACTCATCTGGCATGCAAATACATTGATTTCCTATCAACAATCACAAATGAATATAGAAGGATAAAGGCAACTATAGCAGGACCTGGGTAACCTTGCTGGTTATCCCCTTTTGTTAGAGTAGGTCAGACCCATTTCCCCAGTAACTGGACAGGACACAGTTCCAGGATACAAGCTTTGACAATGTTTATTTGGGCACACAACTTTTTATGCACAGACCCTCCAACACAACACAAACCACATACAGGAGGGGGCTGGGGAAGAGATAACCATCTCCCGCTCTGGAAGATCCTAACTAGACACAGGGACACGCATGAGTACATTTTACATTCAGGCGGGTACACTTTGGGGCACCCCGGGACGGGAAGAGGTTACAGGGTTAAAACTTACATAGCTAAATAGCCCCGGTTCCCCTCTGGGACCCCTGCAAAAAGCGTGGTGAACGGATGTACAGAGGCGGAAATATCAGCATCAAAGTCTAGGGCTCAAGGCTCTGTACATCCCTGAAATCAGTTCCATGGTGTTGCTTGGTTTAGTCCGGCGAATTCAAACTTTGCACCTAGACCAAGCAACAACCAATCAGCCGTAATGGCGCGAACCAAATCGTGCCAATCAGCGTTAGGGGGAGGGAGGAGTTTCACCGTCCAACCCAAAGGAAGGGCGCAAAATTAGGCTGCACCAATCGGCCAGTGGTAACCCTGCAGCCATGAGACCGACTCAGAGCCCCAGGGACTCTATGCTGTTGTGCGTCCCACTCTCCGGTGGATATCCCCACGCAGGTATCCACCAGAGAGAGCACTCTCCTGGGCAGCCACGAGTGTAGCCTCGTAGCTCCCAGGTAAGGGATGAGGGATTATAGCTCCGTTGGGGAGTAGGTAGGATAAGGAAAGAAGGGATGATTAATTATAGCTCCGTTGAGAAGGGGGTAGGGTGGTCCCTGACACCGGGATCAAAGTCAGTGTACACAGGCTGGTTTGGGAGATGAATGCTCCCCGTGTGGGCATTCGGTGATACGAACCGGTGGCCATCCAGGGGAAGCACGCGCCGCTCGTTAGCGAGGTGTGAATGTTCTAATTGGAGTATAGGGGTAGTTCGTCACGGTTCGGGAGACGAATGCTCTCCCTGGTGGACGTTCGGTAATACAAACCGGCGGCCTCCCAGGGGAAGCACACGCTGCCTGTTCCCTTGCAGTCTGTGGTTTTTATCAACAGGCCTTTAACCTTGAGAGGAGTCTTAATAAGGAAGTGGTACAGATTTACTGATAGGGTCACTTTAAAGCAGGGGTAGGCACTCCAGATGTTGTGGACTACATCTCACCTAATGCTCTTAGAGCCATAATACTGGCAAACCATCATGGGAAATGCAGCCCACAACATCTGGAGTGGTGAAGGGTGCCTACTTAATTGTGTGACAGTTCTTATTGATATATTAAAATTATTTAATATTTTTGGGTAAACTTTTAAAATGATGTAATATTTTGAACAACATGTTAATATTGTGTGTTGTTTTTTAAAAAAAAATATTGATTTTTTATATATATATATTAATATGTTGAAAAAATTATTTTAAAAGTTTGTCTAAAAAAAATTAAATAATTTGAAAAACCTTATCCAAAAATATTAAACCAATGCCGTAGTCTGTTACATAAACACAATCTTTATTTAGAGCACTTTATGTATGCTCCTATAATAAAGTGTATTTGGATATTTACTAATGTGAGAATTCACAGTGAGTTCAAAGTAAATTTCAAATAAGACTAAAGTAGCTGAACTGACATAGAGAACGTATTTTGGAATTCACTTTGAATTCACTTTGAATTCTCACTTTAGTGACTAACCCCATACTTTTTCCCAAAAGCAGGGCAAATTATTGTAATTATGCTAGTATTTCCTAGTATAACTCATTCAGCTTAATTTTTTATGGCTGTCTCTGCTTTAACAGAATGTCAGAGCGCTTGTTTTACAGACCTGGGTACGGGTCTCTCATAAACTCCGATGGACACGGGGAGGTGTGGATGGATATTGACCCTAGCTCTAAGTTCAAGCAGTACGGCTGGAGATGCACCACTAATGAGGATTCTTACTCCAACAAAACCCTCATGGGCAACTGGAACCAGGATCGGTATGATCTCTGTAAATTAAAGGAAAGGAAACCCATGCCCTCCCAGGTACGTGGCACAAATACTGGTGTGTGGTTTCGGCAGAGGTATTTTAATAGCAGAAACTAGAAGATCCCTTTTCCAAACCAAATATGAATGTATTCTGTATAATAATAATAAAAAACGCCTGTTATCTGATTGACTGATGCTTCTACTCACATCATATCATATTTTCTTTTCAATTTGACAATTTTTATAATTTTTCTCCCCTCTTATTTCTCTTATGGAAGAGTGTATTGGTCCAAAAAACAGTGTAAACACCTGTGCTAGAATATGGTTTGAGAAAAATTAAAGGTGTTGTACCCAGGGTCTTTGCATCCTAACCACTACATAAATCAATTATAAACCCTTTTATTTTCAAGTAGTTTGCAGTATGCAATCTAGTCCATAAAGAATCCTTTACCCTCATTTATATATTTTTTTTGATGAACATCTTGTAGAGGAAAACAGTACAGGAAGTTTCACTGGATCATGTTATTCTTATAGACATGAAGGGGGATCTGTCCTTTCACTGCCAGCATTACATTGACATTCCAGAGATTGATAGGGATTGCTATAGCAGTTTTAAATACCTTTATTTTAGAAATGTATGAATAACTGTATATACTGTTTGTGGGCATTAGAGATGCAGATATTTTTACATTGCGTTGCCATTTTGCATTTTTGCTTCCATACTAACATTTCAGACCCTGTGTGAAATGTTGAAACATAAAAGACACTGTATACGGTTTACGGCTGTTCATTTCTCAAATATTTTTATAGAGGTTAATTAAAAAAGTGAAAAGTGTTTTTAAATTTTAAGCTTGTCTGCAAAGCAATCCATACACAAAATTGCTATGTTTAACGAAATGTTTATGCTAGCTATGCATTTCTTGCTACAAATAAAAGTTATGCTAATATTTTTTTTTTTTTTTTTTTTTATGCTAATATTTTTTTAATCAAAAAGTGCTTGGTAGTGCAGGGGTTAAAGAGGAAATCTGCCAATCATTACGGCACCTTGAAAGGAGAGCAGAAAAGCTTCCTTGTGCCCAAGATTGATGTTTGGCTCACACATGGGAGACTCTTTACCCACTTAGTGTATAGATGTCTAATTACATTATATATACCCTGAATAGAATTTGGTGTTACCGTATTGAACTCAGGAGTAGTTACAAACAAGAAACCCATGGAATTCGAGTAGGGATCAACTTATGCAGACATGTCACATCAGTCAGCTTCAACTCATCTTTTCACACTAAGTCATGTAATAAATTCAGGTCCTGCTATCATTTAATATAATTTTTAAGCACATATTTCTAGTTACTAATAAACCTCCTACGTCTTCTGTTTCAGTTTGCCCATTATTATCAAACCTCCCACTCTGTTGAGTACCCCAAGAAAGATACCTCTGTCAACAGGCAAGGTAAGTGTAAACCTCTACAGAAATGTAATTCACTTTCAGTTCTTCACCTTCTTCTATGCTCTTACTGAAGGTCCCATCCCAAAACCTGGCATTTCCTGTCCAGGGTACCATTACTGGACCTTTCTTATAGTTTAACTATTACTATTTGAGCCATCCTGCTATCTTTCACATAGGTTGACAACTGTTTACTAAACCTCTTAGGGCTAACCCCTGTCTGTGGTATCAATCTGAGCCCCTTGGGTACTTCTAGTGCTCCACTAAAGGGGAACCCCAAGTCCCCTATTATTATTGGAGAGCAAAAAATGGGTCGCAAGAGTATTCTGAGGACGGACAGCAGCTAAAATAGCCTGCCCTACGGTGGGTCCCCGCTCAGAACTCAAGCTGGTTTTAGCTCATCTTGTGCCATTACAGAGAGAACATATCTGAAGCATATCAGACTGGTCCCACCCATACGGGCAGTCCAGATCCGAAATGCCAGCAAGTTCTCTCTGCACGAGAGATACAGCAACCCCAGACGATCGTTTCAGCCTTGTTAGGCATTGTCAGTGAGGCATAGCTGATATCTCTCTAGGCACCATGAGCAAGGGGTCCACGTCTGGATTACCCTTTAAACTAATGGAGAGCAAGAAATGGGTCGCAAGAGTATTCTGAGGACAGACAGCAGCTAAAATAGCCTGCCCTTCGGTGGGTCCCCGCTCAGAACTCAAGCTGGTTTTAGCTCAACTTGTGCCATTACAGAGAGAACATATCTGAAGCATATTAGACTGGTCCCACCCATAAGGGCAGTCCAGATCCGAAATGCCAGCAAGTTCTCTCTGCACGAGAGATACAGCAACCCCAGACGATCGTTTCAGCCTTGTTAGGCATCGTCAGTGAGGCATAGCTGATATCTCTCTAGGCACCGTGAGCAAGGGGTCCACGTCTGGATTACCCGTATGGGTGGGACCAGTCTGATATGCTTCAGATATGTTCTCTCTGTAATGGCACAAGATGAGCAAAAATCAGCTTGAGAACTGAGCGGGGACCGACCGAAGGGCAGGCTATTTCAGCTGCTGCCCGTTCTCAGTATTCTCTTGCGACCCATTTTTGACCCCCTATTATTATTATTATTATTGGTATTCATATAGAGCCAATGTATTCTGCAGCGCTTTACAATATTATGAAACAGAGAAATTTAAACACAATGAGACAATTACAAAATTATTCAGGAACAATAGGTAGATGAGGACCTAAGCCAGAAACCGAGAAGTATATAACAAGGTAGCAGGAGCTGGTAAGGTAACGTTTTTATTGCTGGACCAAGAGCCCAAAATACAGCATTTGTTTAGTCACTTGTGTATGAAGTACAAGGTGGCAAGCAGGTAGAATATGATCAGTTAGTCACGTGACTAATTCTGGCCTTTCGTTGCCGTTTCATGTTGGGATGAATCTCACATAACAATATAGACATGTCGATTCTGCATTGTCAGCGTGGCTCAGTCCTTTGTTTGCCAAACCTTCCGAAGCAGATCACCGGCCATGATATTAGAACATTTAATGAAGCATTCGCTGGACTTGTAGAAGATTGAAATATTCTAGTTTATTCCCTTAACTGTAACCGTCACAAAAAAACTTCCAGTTTCATTTGTTACACATTAAAGTTAATGCAATAGACTAAAAACGTTAAATCTTATACATACTGTATACTTAGAGTGCTCTCCTATTTGCTCTAATGTAATTGATATAAAACACACAGTCTTGTTCTGGGTATATTGTTTAAGACTACATATGTCCCTACGTAGTAGCTCACGTGTATGACTTTTCACGTTTTTATATTGTTTACATGACATGTGCTGAATACGTTCTTAATTTCAGTATTTATTACATTATTATATTTTTTGTTTCTTTTCTTCCACAACAGAGTGAATATTCAATATTCTTACACTAAATGCTTTCAAGCAATGTGACATTAACTCAATATTTTTTAAATGCCATTCCTACAAACTATCAGGAGCTCAGTAATGTCACATACATAGTTTAAGAACAATGATACCATGCCTACTACAAATCGTACACTGTCTCAATGACAAAGAGGATATACATTGGTTTATTTATATACGGGGAAGGTTAAGCCTTCCCAACCTTGACATACACATTCATTTTTTTATATGCCGTGTCACGTCTACTGGATTATCATTCATATATTGTTTTCCCTTTGCAGTATTCAAAAAAGAACCTCACATATTCCCAGGACATCAGCCAGAACTGGACTCAACACAAGGCAAAAATCTTATGACGACCTGCTACATGATTGACTTCCAAAGGTGCTTACCCACTACCCACAATGCATTAAGCAAGAAGATGGTCTTGTTTGCATAATATAAAAATTAAAGAGAATTTTACTTAAGTCACAAGGAACTTCTTTGTCTTTTTCTTTCTTCTAAGGATATATACTTAGACTACCTTCTTGTGATAGAGGTAACGAAAGTGTCTTAAATAGGATTCTTCAGTGTTACAGTCTTCTGTTGCAGCAAAGGAAAGAGTCTACAAACACACGTAATAATGAGTAATATGTATCTTAAAATGTAATAAACATATATATTCTATGGTATGGTCTTGTATGATATCATTAGAACATGTCATTTATTTTAACTGTCAATATTTATTTGCTGTGTTAAGATTGGAGTTCTGTTTTAGAATTATTATTAGTTTGCATGGTCAGACTGGTCAAGCCAATACCAACTGAAGCCAAGCTCTAAACATCGTCCAGACTTAACTTAGTTCTTCATTTTGTGGGGGAGATGAGTAGGAGAGAAGCCTATGTTATGAATAAATATCCTGAGAACAATAAAAAGAACAATTAAAGGGACATTACACAAATTAAAACAATCATCTCACTATATACTAGATATACCTGCTATGAAAACATGTATGCATCTAATTTTGTATTTTTCATTGGGGGTATATCGAAAAATAGTTTGCAAAAGCTTCTGTTCTTTAGGCTGCTTTCTTTGCAAGACCTCCCCAGCCCAGGCTTTCTGTGGTTGTCCAATCACAGACTTCCCAATGTGGTTCAATGAGAAGTCTTTGTAAGGCAGGTAATTGCTGCCTCTTGAATTTAGCTCCACTGAGCTAACCAAACCAGGAAGTAACAGGACCGGTTGTCTGATTGACAGCCAGGGGTGAAACAAGGTTTATTTATAAAACCACCAATTTTTATTGAAATCTTCACTATTTGTAAAATTAAAAAAAGGACACAGTCTTCACACATAAAGCTTTTCAGCAAGTTGAAGTGCTTTTTGGATCTGGAATGTCCCTTTAAGGAGTAGGAATATCACATGAGTTACAAGTCATTGGCACCGTGCTCTATGGGTAGTCCTGTATTTCCCCTGGGACCCAAACAAAAGCATTAGAACACACAGGAGCATTACACCAAGTAAAACATGCTAAATCTTTATTATGTTAAACTATTAAAATATCCCACATAGAAATACAAATTGATAATCAGTGTGTGTAGATATATATGTATACTGTATATACCATACCAAATTAGATGGTGAATCATAACATGTAGAGGAGAGAACCCATCAAATGAGCAGTTTTGGTGTATAGATCATACTTCTGAAGTTTACTGAATTCTCTGCCATTTAGGAGTTAAATTATTTTATTTCTGTTTATGCAGCCCTAGCCACACCTTCCCTGACTGAGACTGGAACAGCCAGCATTAAAAAAGGTTTCATTTTCAAGCACATGTTAACTTGTTTTAAAGGTTTTTATCTCCTGCTCTTTAAATTGAATTTTAATTACACACAGGATGCTCCTGCAAGGTCTAGCAGGCTAGTAACAGAATAGGAGATAAGAAATTCTAAATTAAACAGACTGTGCATTAAAAGAAGTGTAAACATTAGATGACTTTACAGGAAGTGTTTAGGAAGAATGTGCAAGTCACATGCAAGGAGGTGTGACTAGGGTTGCATAAACAAAGTGATGTAACTCTTAAATGGCAGAGAATTAAGCAGTGAGACTGTGAGGGCATTATCTATGCACCAAAACTGCTTCATTAAGCATTATAGTTTTGTCGACTATACTGTCCGTTTAAGTAAAGCCTGTTCATCAGGTTATTATTCAGTATAATATCACTGCTACAAACAGTGTCCGATTGTCTCTTGTAGTTCCTGTTTGGGAAAGTGAAGATCTGTTGGATTTTTTTTTTCACTAAGCACCAAATTTGAACTATGTAGCTAAACTTCGTTCAACTCATCCATAACCTGTTAAATTCACTATTAGCCAAAAAAAACATGTGAGCTCAGCCAGTCTGAAATTCTCATGATTTCAAACGAGACGGTAATTTAGCTGAAACCTTTCGGGCTAAACAAATTCAATCTGTAATATCCACCATACAAATAATCACAAGAAATATAATTTAAAATTTCTATTTATTTATTGAAAATACAAGCAAGACCTCTCACTGTTGAAGATAAATGATATATTTGCATAAATGTAGTGTTACAATTCAGCAGTAAATTCAGATTTAACAGATTAATGCCACCCTAAAAACTATTTAGATACAGTTCAAGCAAAAAATATATATTAAAAATGACGTGTTGTTTTGTTTACTTAATGCATGTATTTGTTTTATTAACAGTAGTAAGGTTAACAAACGCACCAATGATAAATTAGTGACATATAACTATATATAGCCAGGAATGGCTTATTCTCGTATGGGCTGATGTTTGAAAAATACATTTCCCATGAAGCTTAGCCATTCAGCTGTGAAGCCTGACCGAACACCTTGATAAAGCTAGTCCACAGCCATCTGTCGTTAGCGATTACTGCCATGGATGTATCTACCTGTGCTTGCCAAATATGTGCTAATTAAACAGAGGAAGATATTTTCAATATTAAAGGAAAACTATAGTGCCAGGAAAACAAACTTGTTTCCCCCTCCCTCGTGCCCCTTCTGTCACTTACCTAGGTCTAGCGCTGATGTCGCTCGGGTCTCTCTTCGCTCTTCCACCGCCGATGTCAGCCAGCGGGTGAGACCTTACTCAAATGCGCAGCAATGGCCGTGCTCACATTAGGATTTCTCAATTATACTATGCTTTCCTACAGGGTCTGGGGGGACGCTGGACATCCCCATGCATAGCGTGAGGACGTCCAGTGTCAGTTAGTAGCGTAGACATCCACTAGTGGTGGAGTTAACCATAACAGGTAATTATTGCAGTTTCTTAAAAACCTTTGCAGGGTTAAGGGACCTGGAATACTGCACCCAGACCACTTCAATGAGATGAAGTGGTGTGGGAGCCTAGTGTCCCTTTTAGTATTTTATGTTTTCTACACAGATGCATTTTATGATTCATTTTGGGATTTGAATCTAAAAACAAAAAAACTGAGGAATTATTGCTATTTTGTTCCAAATTTCAAAAACGCATTTTAATATTTTTCCAGGTGTTCAATGTTGATTATTTAAACATAAGGAACTCATGTAACTAGACCATTCCCCCTGCTGTGTTCTATTAGGCTTATCCACTAATGGTAAATTTATTTAGTAATCACTGAATTATAGTGAATTTCTGGCAAATGTCTGGTTAAAGTAGCTAATTTATAACATTTCTCCAACTCCACTAAAGTCACAGCTATTTAGCCTGAATTTTGCAATCGGATATTTAATTCACACTTTTCGATAATTTCAGTGAATATACCCTAAACCAAGAATGGTGGAGAATTGATAAGGAAATTGGACATTTTAGGCAAAATAGTAAACTTATTTAATTGGACAATATTCTAATTCTGCCTAAAATTTTGTAATTATTATCTGCTCAGTCCCTCACGTTTTACAGTTTAATTTATAACTTTGTCAAGTTTGTTTAATAAACTGAACAATTTGGGGATTCTCTAGGGCAGGGTTGCCCAACAGGTAGACCCCCTAATGTTTTAAAACTACAACTTCTATGATGCTTTGTCATTCTACAGACATGCAAAGCATCATGGGTGTTGTAGTTCTACAACATCTGTCGATCTACCTTTTGGCCACCCCTGCTCAGGGAATTAAAAAAAAAAATACCAAAATAATTGAGCTAAAAATATAGCTGATTTGGAGATATTCTTTGGGCTTAAATTGAGCTATTTCCCAGTGGATGCCTGATAATGAATGATTTAGTGGATAGCACTGTAAGAGTATCCATTTATCAACCTACCCGCACAGATCAAGTTTTTTAAAGGCATTGTTAGATAAAGCGTGAGTCCATTATACAATTTAATGGACCCACTTGTGACAGATCCAGTTCTCTGTGTAGGTTTACCCACATAGTAAGCATCAGACAAACATTGTTAGGATGTTCATTGAATGCTTCAGAAATAACTTGCTAACAGTATTTTGAGTACTTTGCATAGAGAGTGAAGGTTCTGTCTTAAAGGATTATTCGAAGCACCATGACCACTTCAGTGATTTGAAGTGGTCATGGTGCCTGGAGTCTGATTGTACATTGTTTCACTATGAAACAGAATACTTACAGATTTTAATCTCTCTTCTGCCAAGGATGTAACTCATTGGGCCGCCATCAGCCATCCCGGAACTAGAGTTCCGAGCTGGCTAATGCCAATTCTGTACAACTTTCATTGCACAGACTGACAATCATTGTCTGAGAGCGGTCAACTGAGGTCTCAGCCAATGAATGGTGACGGCATCGGTTTCTTGCTTCTGCCGCACTGCACAATTCCAAATAGCATCACCAGACCACCGGGCAGCTTTGGAGCCCACGGGGGAACCATGGGAAAGGGCAAACCTTTGCTAAATGTTTTGCAACATTACCATGGATCTGGGCCTAGGTACTCCTGGCATTATAGACACTGCAGTGGGCTGTAGTGTTAAGGATGCTTGGAAGGACCCTTTAACATTGATGTACATTGTTTAACCAGAAAATGTATGAAATGTATAAGACTTTGGAGTGTATTTACTAAACTGGGAAATGTGGAGAATTTAAATAAAAATTGCTAAATTTAGGTCTAAATAAACCAACATAGGAATTAATGTCCAGCTCAGCTTTCTATTTTGGATATTTCAAAAAAAAAAAAAAAGTTTCATTCCCGTGTCAATGATCCGCAGTTCCCACAAAAAAAACCCCATTTAGTAATTAACTCCATTGCGTGCAGTAGGACATTAAGGTTCCCTAAGCAGCCACTAAGACTGAACTGTCCTTCACAGATGTCATAAATTAATTTCTCAAACAGTTAAGAACAAATTGCATGCTTTTGCTAGACATCTAGCTTATAGAATATTGATTGATGCTATCATTCTCACCATCTTAAAAGTGTTATTCAGCCTTTTGCATCAAGTCATTTCATGTTCTAAACATAATTCATTCAAAACTCCTTTATATGTAGAAATCTCTGATTTAGAGCCATTTTATCTTTCAAATATGGAGGTAGTTCATCATGTTATGGCAAGAGTTGTTTGAAAGTATCTGAAATTAAGCTTTTAATCCATAAAAAGAAATATTAACTATAAAGCTGGAGTGAATTATTTAGAAATTTATTTCTAAATACTTAATATTAGTTTTGCCTCTGTATCTGCATTGTAAATGTAAAATCTATGTACTGAAGGGATAGTCAACTGGGCCAGATGTTTACTGATTTGGTTAGCTCAGTGGAGCTAAACTGAAAAGGCAGTAATTGCCCAGAGCACCTGCCTTGGAAAGACTTCTAATTGAGCTGCATTTGGAAGTCTGTGATTGGACAGCCACAGAAGGTCTGCGTGGGAGAAGAAGGGGAGGGCCTGCAAAGACAGCAGACAAGAGAACTGCAGCTATTGAAAGCTTTTTTGTTTTAGATATATGCTGAGAGCAGAGATACATAGAGAGATACCCTTGGGATTATTTCAAATTGGTAAATCTCATAGTGATATCGGTTAAATCGTATATAGAACAGAATATTTACCTAATTTACCTTTCTCCTTTTTTTAGGGGAGATAGATTCTTTCATTGTTCACTTAAAATAGCTATGTATGGATTATGGATTGAGAGATAATTTAAAGGACGTTAATATCAGATAGTTGGTGCTAGTTATAAAGTGATATAACCATATTTTATGCCTGTATTCGAAATCAGTATTACCTAATTCTGAGTTATATTTAGAGCAATATTACGTTACAAATTCCGTGCAAATGTTTCTCAAATAATGTGAAATAGCATTTTGTTTATTGTAAACTAGTTGAAATAAATATAAATAAAAGATAAGGATTTTAGAAATGTAATTGTATTTTTGTCATGAATATTTTTAGTAGCGGATACCTCTGGAGGAGGATTTGGTAGATTAAATGTGCCATGACATGGCTCTAGATTGTGATCTCGATAGAAATGATATGTAATATTTTGCAATAAATTAGCTAATTCTAGGTTTGATAGGTATTCTAATTTATATTTAAACTGTAGTAAAATTATATTTATTCACTGGACTATTGTATGGATTGCCTACTTCCACATTACTTTGTTGTATCATTCATTGGTAAGATGGGAGTGTTACTTGTAAAGCCTACATCTCAGGGTCCTATGTTAAGTGTATCCAGAAAAGTAGCCGGGTTAATCCAAATTAAAAGAAAACCGATATGTTCTTTATCAACGTGTTTGAAATTTCCAACAACTGTGAGGACTATTTTGCCTTTGAGGTAGATCCTAGCAGCCACGTTTAAATTCATGTACCATTAACCTGAAAACCTTTAAAACAAATATGGGGTTCTTAGCCCTATGCATCAAGTCAAACACTCTTGAAAGGTAGCTGAATAGAACACTCTGAAGAATGTTATGGAACATCTGGCCAATCAGATATTTCTGTTTTTAAACATTTCTTATTGAAAATGATCTAACTACCAGATGGTTAGATTGAAACATGCAACTTGTTCTCTTGATAATGTCCACGATGATCTGCAATTATTACTAAAACACTTAGATGCTTCTCATTGCTTTTATTTGCATTAGTAATTAGATTTGGTCACAGGACAGCACAAATAAATACATATAGCAGTGTAGTACGCGCACTCTCTCTGGCAGGGTGGAAGGTTATCCTCGGTGATTGGAAAGGTTGAGACACTCTACTTCTTAGGAGCAGCACCAATGGCTGCCTTTTCTTCACGGGTAATGGGAATGGAACGTTCAGGAACATCACCCAGTTTCCTTGGTCCACACACCGTCAGGACTCCGTCTGGAGACAAGGATGAGGTGATGCAAAGAGGGTCTACATCCGCTGGGATTTTGTATCTTCGTTGGAAGTCTCTGGAGACATAACCATGTTCGTCCTGGAAATATTAAATAAACCAATGAAGCTGAATTTCTTTAAGAAAATTGAGACTTAATCTCATTTATGAAAATTTCTCTAACTTTTTAAATTCTATTTGTAGAATTCTCAATAAATAACAAGAACTGTAGTCGTTACGAAAAAATAAATGCTGATGAATCCCAAAAGTTGCTTTTTGTCAAAGTATATTTTTAAGAGTTGTATTGAACACTGCTTGTTTAGAGCATAAGAGCCCTGTACCATTTAACCCCTTAAGGACACATGACTGAACTATTCAGTCATGACTCCCTTTTATTTCGGAAGTTGTGTCCTTAAGGGGTTAAATAAAACAAAAACAAAACATTACTTGTATTTTCACGGCCTGTGTTTGCTCACCTGACGCTCCTCGTGCTTGCCGTGGATCTCAATAAAATCTCCAATCACCTTGACCTTGAGTTCCTCAGGAGAAAAATGTTTCACATCGAGGTTAACAGAAAACCTGTCCTTGTCTAGTCTCACCTGTGGGAAGAGGAAAAAGATGGTAGATGCTGACTTAAAAGAATAAAAATGTACTTCAAGAAAAAGCATCATACAGATTTGTCACAGTCCAGGAAGAGGTCAGTAAGAAATCTTACAAAATATACACCTTATAAGAAAGTAAAACATTGCATTTCTTTGAAAATGTAAATTAGTACTGTATTTAAAAATGTGTGATACTCGACAAATCTCTAATCTTATCATTTGATCAGACTAATCTATTGTGAAGGAGTAACTTGTAAACATTTATTTCAATTTAGGATTCATTAACCCCTTAAGGACACATGACGGAAATATTCCGTCATGATTCCCTTTTATTCCAGAAGTTGTTAATTATTATTACTGGTGCCCGACATTTTTATTTTTTTCTGTTGTTATTATTAGTAATAGATTATTATTCTCACTGGCATTTTTAAAGCGCATTTTCCACAGTGCAGTACAATTTACATTTTTTTGTTTGTTTTAGAGAATTATTTTATTTCTTGAATTTGTAGTACTCTCCTGAACTTTCATATAGTATTATTTATTATTATTATTATTATTATTATTATTATGATGATTATCATAGATTTGGCAGTTTATCTTTTAGGATAAGCATTTAATAAGCTTTCCAGAAGATTCAATGTTAGAAAAACTGTTATCTTCTGAAATCACCATTAAATCTATGGGATTTTTTTTTTTTGCTAAATTATCTAGAAAGTGTTTCTAACAGTATTGAATCATTTGAAAAGTATATTTATTTGAGACCTCTGACTGAGCCACCCCAACCACTTCTTACCTCTTATGTACAATAATGTATCCCCATATAGGGTGTTCGATCAGGGTTCCCATCACAGCAGAGTTTGCAAAAATCATTATTTGTCGATTCTATCCACTATCTGTTTATTTTGTAGGGGTAAGGGTAACACATCAGTAGCAGGTACTTGGAAAAGCTGAAATGTTCGACTTTTGTTGTTTCAAAGTATATAACGGTACAGAATAATGTCTACAGAACATACATTTATAAGAAAGATTATAATGCAACATGAACTTTATGTGATTCCCCATTGTTTTGGTATTTTGATTGTACAGTCTAAGCCTTGCCCAGTCATCTTACACTTTGTAATGAATATAGAAGGTTTATAGATCACTACAATGCACAAAATAAACCTCATGCCTGCTTCAACATTTATGCTTGCCAAGGGTGCTTTTATGTAAAATGGCCATTGTGTAACGATTATGAAAGATAAATTGTTTGTTAAGCAGCAAAATGATGGCTCATTTTATTACCGGTTAGAGACTGCATTATATAAAGTACAATTATTTTTTATTACATAATAAAAGAGAAAGCAGAAGTCATTCAAATCTTATGCACATGGCCCTTGAGCCGTACTCTGGATGAGTTTCTGAATAGCAAACTTAGAAGACTTTTTGGGAAAATGAATTAAGATTGTATAATTACAATCATAAACTAAACCTTTTCAGTTGACATTTATTGACCCAATATAATTACCGTATATACTCGAATATAAGTCGAGACCCCTAATTTCACCCCAAAAAACTGGGAAAACTTATAGACTCAAGTATAAGACTAGGGTGGGAAATGCGGCAGCTACTGGTACATTTCTAAATAAAATTAGATCCCCAAAAAATATTAATTGAATATTTATTTACAGTGTGTGTATATAATGAATGCAATGTGTGTGTGTATATATAATGCAGTGTGTTTGTATGAGTGCAGTGTGTGTGTGTATGAATGCAGTGTGTGTGTGTATTAATGCAGTGTGTGTGTATGAATGCAGTGTGTGCGTGCATGAATGCAGTGTGTGTATGAATGCAGTGTGTGTGTGGATGAATGCACTGTGTGTGTTTGTATATAATGCAGTGTGTTGTATGAATGCAGTGTGTGTGTGTGTGTGTATGAGTGCAGTGTGTGTGTGTATGAGTGCAGTGTGTGTATGAATGCAGTGTGTGTGTATGAGTGCAGTGTGTGTATGAGTGCAGTGTGTGTGTGTGTATGAATGCAGTGTGTGTATGAGTGCAGTGTGTGTGTGTGTATGAATGCAGTGTGTGTGTGTGATGCAGAGTGTGTTTGTGTGTGTGATGCAGAGCCTTAGTGGGGGATGGGCATTTTTATTTAAAAAAAAATCATTATTATTATTTTTTTTTATATATATAATATTATTTTTATTTTATTATTATTTAAATTTGTATTTATTTAGATTTTTTCATCCCCCCTCCCTGCTTGTTAGCTGGCCAGGGAGGGGGGCTCTCATTCCCTGGTGGTCCAGTGGATGGGCTGTGTAGGAGGGGGGCTGGCAGAGAGCTGTAACTTACCTTTCCTGCAGCTCCTGTCAGCTCCCTTCTCTCTCCTCCGGTCCGGTCAGCTCCCCTGTCTGGGGATCCTATTCATTTAATTGTAAAATTCCCTGAAATTCTGTTTTGGTGTGGTCACACTACACATGAGATTAATTAACGATTAATACATTACATTTTCATCCTTAAAGCTTTATTCCTTTTTAATGAAAATGTTAATGGTTATTAAGATGTAAAACAATAGCTAACCTAACAATGTCACTTGTGATTATATGCAGTTTAATGTCATTATAAAAAAGATTAGGCATCTTGAAGCCAGTGGCGTACATACCAGGGTCCCAGGGGTCGCAGGGGTCGCGACCCGGTATGTAGCCACAGGGCCAGCCTCTTCCCCTGGGGGGCCCAGGAGGCGGCTACCTCAGGGCCCCCCCGAGGCTGGCCCTGCTGACCCCAGGGGCGGGCGGGCTGTCTGTGTTGCCGGCGCGCAAGGAAGCACTGAGTGCTCCCTCGCGCGCCGGCAACACAGACAGCCAGCCCGCCCGCCCGCCCAGGAGCCCAGCAACACCACTGGACCCCAGGGAATCCCCCCAGCACTACAAAAGGTAAGGAGGCTGGGGGGATTACATTTAAAAAAAAAAAAGTGTTAGTATGTGTGTGTTAGAGTGAGTGTGTGTTAGTTAGTGTGTGTGTGTGTGTTAGTTAGTGTGTGTGTGTTAGAGTGTGTGTGTGTTAGAGTGACTGTGTGTTAGAGTGTGTGTGTTAGAGAGTCTGTGTGTTAGAGTGTCTGTGTTAGAGTGTGTGTGTTAGAGAGTCTGTGTTAGAGTGTGTGTGTTAGAGAGTCTGTGTGTTAGAGTGTCTGTGTGTTAGAGTGTCTGTGTGTTAGTGTGTCTGTGTGTTAGTGTGTGTGTTAGAGTGTGTGTGTGTTAGTGTGTGTGTGTGTGTGTTAGAGTGTGTGTGTGTTAGTGTGTGGGTCTGTTACTGAGTGTGTCTGTTACTGAGTGTGTCTGTTACTGAGTGTGTCTGATGTCTGTTAGTGAGTGTGTGTTTGTCAGTGAAAGTGTATGTTTTGTAAGTGAGTGTGTATGCATGTCTGTCGCTGAGTGTGTCTCCGTCAGTAAATGTGTGTCTGTTAGCTAGTGTGTATGTGTCTGTTCGTAAGAGTGTGTGTCTTCAGCACTTACCTTTCTCCAGCGCCGGACTTCCTTGGCGCTGGGGATCCGTCCGCCTCTCAGCTCCGAATGCACATGCGCGGCAAGAGGCGCGCGCGCGCATTTAAACCGCCCATAGGAAAGCATTACTCAATGCTTTCCTATGGACATTCAGTGTCTTCTCACTGTGATTTTCACAGTGAGAATCGCGGAATCTCCTCTAGCGGCTGTCAGTGAGACAGCCACCAGAGGCTGGATTAACCCTCAGGGAAACATAGCCGTTTCTCTGAAACAGCTATGTTTTCAGCTGCAGGGTTAAAACTAGAGGGACCTGGCACCCAGACCACTTCATTGAGCTGATGTGATCTGGGTGTCTGTAGTGGTCCTTTAGGTGTGTGTGCAGCATACTGTGGTCGCGGGGTGCCCGCCACCATGTGATGTGGCCCCGACTGCGCACGCCGCTGGGACCTGGACAATTTTTGCACCGGGGCCCCATGGGTCATGTGTACGCCACTGCTTGAAGCCATATACTAAGTATGGGTGTCAGTGGATTTAATTAGCTTTGTTTATTTATTTATAAAATATTTTACCAGGAAAGATACATTGAGCTTTCTCTCGTTTTCAAGTATGTCCTGGGTCCACAAAACATTGCATTGTTACATTAGGGTACAATAAAATACAAAAACAATATTAATACGCAATATATACAAAATGTAACATAGAACAGGTAGAAAATATACAATCAACCATGACAGGTGCATTCTGTTTTGAGATATGTAGAGAGGGATCTCTTAAAGTACTTATGCCCTACTACAAACAAGAATACAAGTATGAAAAGCTGAACCAGAATTCTTAATGAGATATAGCAATACGATATCATATAAAAACTATTCTAGCCAGGGAGAATTAAAGGAAACAGCAGAAAAAAAAACCCACAAAAAACTAACTGAGTTTATCAGATTAAAAATGTAAGCTTTAAACCATCGGGTGAACCACTTTGTATTTTAAACAAAGCCATTTCTACACCACAGAGAACAAATGCTGTGTGAAATGCGTTGGAGCACCATTGATATGTATGGTCTATGAAAATGATGCAGTTACATGCAGTTCTAATAACACTGATGCATTAATACACTATTATTTTAACAAGCTACAAGTTATTATATAGAATAGCATACTAGTATAGTAAAGGTTGTCAATATATTATAAATGTAAATTTACTTTAAAAAAAATATTTTCCTCATGTTTACAATGTTTTAGAAATCTTGTTTTAACTTTTTTTGTTATTGAGTTTTATATAACATTGTCACAGTACACCCAGAGCCCTTCAGACATCCCTTTTAAGAGACCTGGCTGGGTTTGTGAACTCACAGCTCCAGCATCCCAGTCAGGTTCTCTGCCATGCTGTCCACCAGGGGGCTTCAGTATTGAACTGCATTATTCTGCTTCCTGACCCCTTGCCTGGATTAAGCAGTACTGACCCACCTGCAGCCCTTTTCCAATTAGGGTTAGCTACCTCTAATTAGCAGGCTGTAAAAGCCAGCCCTGCCTGAAACCTAGCATCTGGTCATTTTGCCTGTTTGGTTTTTCCTGCCGGATCTTTGCTTCGCTACTGACTGATTTCCTGGACTCTGACCTCTGCCTGCTTTACCAACTTTGTTACTCCACAGCCAGCCCTGACTTCTGCTTCTCGTCTGACCCTGCCTTTGGATTTCCCTTTTATCTGTACTGCGCTTTTGGTTTTTGCCTCCTCTCTGTGCCATCTCCTGCAACTGGGCTCCAACTCCTGTTAAACTGTTACATAATTATCCAGGTGGCTGTTACAAACAAATGCAATCTGTAGGACAATATTTTTTTTCCTTAAAAAAAAAATGTAAATGCAAAAAAATAAAATAAAATCATGTTATGTTCAAAGAGCAATGCTTTTAAATATATTTTAATTTCATTAAAATAATTTCAGCTAAGGTGCTGAACACAGACCAGCATCTATATAACACAAAATATTTAGCAGACACGTTGTCTGCATGATAAACTCATTATTACTTGGCACTGTGGGTCTGTCCAAGAAAATATTTTTTTTTTTTAAATTTCACAAGAATTTATCCTTTTTATCCAAATCTATAAAAAGAGCCAATAATAATAGCTAATAAACTGTAGTATAAACATATCACTATTTAAAATGCTGAATAGTGATAGAGTCCACGGACTACACAGTTTCCTAGCCAATGCTTTGCCTCTAGAAAAATCATGGATGTCCACTAAACATGGAATTGTCAGGAATTGACTGGTGGTTCCATATATCTACGTCTAAGGAGCCAAATTTGAAAAAAAAAATGTAAACGTATCTATGCTTTCACCTATTCCATTTTGTCCCCAAATAATCAATTCTCCGGTAGCTTCTTCATAACTTCCAACTGTAGTGAATAGCTCCATGTATCGTACTTACGTCATCATCAAACTCTTTAGACATGATTTTAGACCAGTGATTATTTAACTGTGCATTCTGTAATAGTTGAGAGGCTACAGCTCTAAAAATTCTTTGTTAGTCATAGGTGGACAGAATCATAGTAAGTTGTAATGCAACGACGGTGACTGTCAACTTGTTGCCCCTTTCTTTTTAATCTATTTTACTAGTATCACATTGTATATAAACGTGCATTTATGTTAGCATTGTTTGTTCAAAGTGCATCAGAGTTCTAAACAATATAATTTTACATGTTTAAAACATTTAGTAAACTATAAACAGAGTGAATATATATATATATATATATATATATATATATATATATAATAATGAGAACAAAATAATAGGGACTTTTGACTATATTAAATGGGCTTGTCTTCACAACATTTCTATAGCTTGTTAGTTTCTATATATCGTTAGAAAGTATATCATAAACTGATCTGTAATGGTCACCTTTTGAGTACAAATCGATAATTTGACGTGTAAATTCCTTGAGCGTCTTTGCAATATCAGACGCCATCTTCTAACGGATATCATGTAAGTTGTATAGACATTATTTCACCTTCTAAGCCTATAATTTTTTAGATCACTAAGCCCGTACAAAGTAACAAAGAGAAATGAGTAGGTTAATTGTTACCTCTGACAAGCCACCTTCCATCCAGTTTGGCAGCCTTAAATAGGGATATCTGAAGAGGAAGGGTGAAAACATTGTGGAAGAAGGAAATAAATCAGCCTCTTGGAGGTGGTCCCCAAAACTCTGTTCAAAGATCCTGCTTGGTCCAAAGAAGGAGAAAAATTGACGGCGGAACCAAGGGTGTTGAATGGCTACTTCCATCTTCCCCTGATTACCAATGACAACTTTCAGACTGAACTGTTCAAAGTTTGAGTGACCCACCTAACTGAAAGGCCTTATATACACATGGACTGTCTCGTGGACTCCTCCCTGGTACCCTGAGAATGAACTTTCTGGAAAAGAGATGTCAGGTGGTTTAATTATTGGTGCACGCTTGTCTGCGTCCATTGAACGGAGAGATGGAGGATATAAGCCATGACATGTCCCCTATTCACACTCTATTCTCTTGATTGGATCAGCGAGACGGGATGCTGATTCTCTCTGTGTTTTCTTTCCCACTACTGTGCACATTGGTTCAGCAGATACAAAGATCATTTCAGCTACTGTACTGTAACTTGACAAGGGATCATTTCATGCTTAGATCTGACAGCTGATAGAATGTGTCCAGCCTTCAACATGCCCACTGCTTGTTTATTCCTTTCATAACTGTCCAGTATCTCCCAGCTCCCAATTAAAGGGACCCTGTCAGGGATAATATCGAGAAGCCCATGTACAAGCTTCTAATAATTTCATCTATAGGCTGTGCTTACAAGTGGAAATTAACAGATATTTAGAATTTTGATGATACTCCAACCGCACTATTTCCTGTCTGGCACAGAGATTTAGATGTTTTAAATTACTTTAAAGATGAAGAAAATTAATAAATAAATAAATAGGATTGCATTGACAGATTCACTGCACCATTAACACTATAATTAGCTATTGTAGTTAGGATACTTAAAGTGTCCCTTCATATTTTTTTTTCTGTAGTACAAAGTAGCTATCTGCATTTACTCATACTTTCTAATGGCTGACTTAATTTTTTTTTTACTTATCATACCTGAATGCTATTCCCTTCCCTAAACTATTATGAAATGTATTTGCTAAATGGTGTATTTACTAAACTCTGAATTTAGTTGAATGGAAGTGAGAATGCTGATGATTGTCTGTTGGAATGCTTTGTATTATTATATTGGTATTCACTAAATCATGTGTCAGCCTAATTCAATGTAACTGGAGTGTTTCTTCGGGATCGTTGATGAATGGGACTACTCTAAAACTGATAGCAGCCATATCACATTTCAAATAGACAGATACATTGTGTGACAGTAGTCATTATTATTATTATGATATTTATAGAGCGCCGTCAAATTCCGCAGCGCTTTAAAATGGGTGGACGAACAGACATGTAGTTGTAACCAGACAAGTTGGACTCACAGGAACAGAGGGGTTGAGGGCCCTGCTCAATGAGCTTACATACTAGAGGGAGTGGGGTAAAATGACATAAAAAGATAAGGTAACCATCACTGGGGATGGAAGGCAGACACTTTATTTAGGCCCCCCAGATTACTCTCATGTTTTAGTCACCCTGTGCCCATTATATTGTTAGTTTTTTTTCTTCTCCCTTTTCCTGTATTATTGTTTTCCCAGCATCATTGTCCCATTGTTCCAGGAACACACCCAGACCAGTTCAAAATGGTTGCCATGCCACTCCTTTTAATCTCCCATGTGGTCCTCAGCCCTTGTTATTGTCAGTCCCCACCCTTCCTTGTAAACACAGTACTGCATTCACACTGATGTAATTAAGCTTTGTAGTGTAATTGGTTAGTATCCCAAGTCCATACTGCTATTGGTTGACTTGGGATATGTCTGGGGTTGCCGTATCTCTCGTACAGAGGGAACTTGCTGGCATTTCGGATCTGGACTGCCCATAAGGGTGGGACCAGTCTGATATGCTTCAGGTATGTTCTCTGTAATGGCACAAGGTGAACTAAAACCAGCTTGAGATCTGAGTGGTGACTCACCGAAGGGCAGGCTAATTGAGCTGTTGTCCGTTCTTGCTACTTGTTTTTTTCAGTCCACTGAGTGATATTGACACAGAATTGTCATGATTTGCAAACTTCAGGCTCAAATGACTGTTGTGGTGTCTTGACAACTCTGAATATAGCAATGTAGAAGAATGTTTCCACATCTTTAATTCTTCCCTAAATTTAGTAATTTGGCTTTTTTTTCACTATGATTTGGTGTTTTTGTGAATAAACTCTGACTTTGTTTTTAACTATCATAGATTTATGAGAATTGTGGTCTCCTAGTATTTTAATTTTTTTTATACTAACATTAAATTGATCAACCACAACATTAAATCCATCGACAGGTGAAGTGGATAACATAGATTACATTGTTTTATTTACGTTTATGAAATATTCATTTTGCATTGGTGAGGTTTTCACGGTGGCATAGCCACGTTAATACCTGGAGATTTGCCCACACAGAGAAACTAATTTTTGATCTTGTTCCAATGCAGTGTGAGTTTTTTTTCTTACTCATATAATTTGTAAAAGATCCAGCTTTATTATTATTATTATTATTTCACTTATATATTTTTACAGCTTTCAAATGTGCACGCTTTGTCCTCAATGCTTCTCTATAGGAAACATGTGATTGGACACTGCCCAGCATAGAGCAAGGAAGCCAGGGCTTGTCAAAGGGGGTGGAGCTCTCCTGCAGAACCTGCATAGTAGGCAGACTTAGGAAAATAATTTAATAATTTAATTTGCCTTGTTCGAGTGCCTTAAATCATGCACTTCCAACCTGCACTTCCCTTTAAGAAAACTGCTTTTCCCAAAACACTAATAAAATTGTTTGTGTGGAATTTGCAGTGTTTGCAGCCAGTTAGAATATGTAACAGAATATGCATTGTTCAGAAAGGGAACATGACAATCGTCTTTTTATTTTCCTAAATTGTGATGGCTCCACACCGTGCCAGTGTAAGTTTCTGAACGTTTCTAGAACATACAGGAAACACATTTACTGCAAACATGCAGAAATACATTCGCTTGAGTGTTAATGGACGGACGAAAGACACATATTATATTGCAAATGTTATCAGTAGAATCCTCTTTTTTCGAATCAGCTGTTTAGAACTTACAGAGATTTATGTTTTTGTGTAATGGTTTGGTTGTCTAACCATTCTATTATTTCTTTCCGCAATTGACTCATATCTTGTTTGCTGCAATATATTTCACTGCTGTTAGGGTTGTATCTCCTTAGATTACAAATAGTTATTCCCGAACGTCCTGTTACTTTCAGGACATTGGTTATTTTACTCACATCTATCTTGTCTGCTGACTGTTGGTTTATCTCGTGCTTCGTATGAATTTACTGTAAATGTGGGCACGGGAAAAATGTTATAATGCGTCTGAATTGTTTATTGCTGATAATTTGTCTGGTTAAGTTCATCTCAATGATTTTTAACTTCCTACTCTTCAAATTACTTGAATTTCATTAGAAAACCTTGTTTTGTTAACAAAACTCAGCTGACTTTGCTTTAAAATAAATAATAACAAAATGACATAGGAATCCTATATTCAATACATTTTGCTGACATTCTGTCCCGAAAATCTCATCAGAGGTAAGTGAACATCACAATATTACCGTACTATTATAATTATATAAATAAAATATGGGGGACATTGCTTTCTGCATTTTTACGTAACGGCTGCTTTAATCAAATAGGAAAACATGTTTTCTGCAAACAGTCTTAATATATCTTTTGGGAAGAAGCCATATGAGTGGAATTCACTCTATCTTTAAATAGACCCAAGAGCAGGAGGTGTTATGTTTATGCACAGCAAAGATATAATTTGTTAATAAATCCCTTTAGCTCAGTGCTCCAAGTGGCTGATCCAGACAGGCTTAAACACTGCGCCGCTTCCCACACAGATACTTGTAACAGTTCCTTCTGTAGATCAGATACGTTACCTGTATGGATCGAACGACAGGTGCACCTGTGGTACAGTTGAAAACTACCTTCTGTCGGCTTTATACATGTGGCAGTATAAAACAAATTACTGGAGACTGATATGTTATCCACTTTGTAGTACAGCCAGCTATCAAAGGAACTAAATTGGATTATTTTTGATATTTATTCCTCAGTGCTTTACAATATTATAAAAGTATTACACCATTACAATGTTACTAAATGTAACAGCTGTTGTGGCAGTGCACATATGGATGTTTAATCTTTGCACAAAAATAAAGAATTATAAAAAAAAAATTAAACAATTACAAAATGTTACAGGAACAATAGGTTGAAGAGGACCCTGCTCAAACAAGCTTACAGTCTACAGGAGGTGGGGTATAAAGACACAATAGAAAGGGCATCAAGGGGGATAGCAAACAGTCAACAAGGTAGGAAAGTGGCAGAACTGGAGGTGATAGTGAAGTGTGACCCTTTAGGAGAGAGCAAGAGACAGGTTTGTAAAACAGAATTTACTCTGGGAGGCCATAAGATGATCACTCATTAGTGTCATCTGCCAAAGCCAATCTTAAAAAACTAGGAATCTAGGGAAGCTCAGGTGTGACTAGGCCCCATGTCATCTAGGCATATCATCAGTTCATCTACTACACACTATGGAGTTACTATGGGGCGGAGGGAGGTTAGGGAGGTGGCAATTGCCCCCCTAGATTATTAATTGCTTGTCTGTATGCCATCCACTCAGAAAACCAGCATTTATAGAGGGGGCAACTGCCTATAACTAAACTTGGCAAAGTAGGCACCTCTACTGCCAAAATTTCTCCAATTACGCACTGGAACAGCAAGGGAACTCTTTACCCACTGTGCTCTCACTGCTGAGCTCCCTAGTGCACCTTGCTGTGTGCCTACAGCCTGAATATGAATTGGGCGCACATGGGAGTTGTGTAGGAAGAGCATAGTGATCCCAGCGCCAACCAGTGGCCCCATGGAGAGGATCCACTCCAGCCCTCCTAGAGCAAAGTGGGGAGGAAATTCCTCATTGGTAATTATTAGTGCCATATGATTGCGATATCTCATATGCCCCCCTATATATGTTCCTTGAGTAACCGCTGACTACACCCATTTCTTGGAAGGCTCTTACAGGAGAGAACAGGCTCTGTAAGTGAGAGGACCAGTGGCGTACTAAGGGGGTGGCGGGGGGGCTGTCCGCCCCGGGTGCCACCAGTGTGGGGGGTGCCATGACCAGCCCCGCCGGCCCCCCCATGCTGCAGCCGCCCGAGCGCTCTGCAGAGAGCCTCAGGCGGCTGCAGCTTAGTACCCGCCGACTATACTGGGCTCGGCCACGCTACAGCAAAAGTAGAGTGGGGGGAAAAGCTTGAGGTAGGAGGTGAAAAAGAAAGGAAAGAAGTGAGAAAAAAGAGGAGAGGGGGAATTGTGAAAAGGAGGGTTGAGGAAAGAAGAAATGAGAAGGGGGGGTAGAAAGGAGGGCTAGAAAGAAAAGGAGGAGTGTATATGTAATAGTATAGAGTGTATTAATTATGGGGGGTGTATATTGGTATGGGTTGTATTAGTATGGGGGTGTATATTGACAATACCCAGGATGTATATTAATTATGGGGGTGTATTAATTATGGGGTGTATTAGTATGGGGGGTGTATCAATTATGGGGGTGGATTAATTATGGAGATTGGATTAATTATGGGGGTGTATATTAATTATGGGGGTGTATATTAATTATGGGGGTATATTAATTATGGGGGGTTGTATTAATAATGGGGGTGTATCAATTATGGGGGTGGTGCATATTAATTATGGGGGTGTATTAATTATAGGGGTGAATTAATTATTGGGGATGTATTAATCATGGGGGGTGTATTAATTATTAGGGGTGGATTAATTATAGGGGTGGATTAATTATGGGGGGTGGATTAATTATGGGGGGTGGATTAATTAGGGTGGAGTGGATTAATTATGGGGGTGTATTAATTATGGGGGGTGGATTAATTTATGGGGGATGGATTAATTATGGGGGGTGGATTAATTAGTGGGGATTAATTATGGGGGGTGGATTAATTAAGGGGGTGGATTAATTAGTGTGGATTAATTAAGGGTGTGTGTATCAGTTAAGGGGGGTGGATTAATTAAGGGTGTGTGGATGAATTAGTGTGGATTAATTAAGGTGTATGGATTAATTAAGGGGTATGGTTTAATTAAGGAGAGTGGATTAATTAAAGAAAACCTTTAAAAATTTTTACAGGTTTTTTTTGTTTGTTTTTTGGGTTGCCAAGCACAGGATCCGCCCCGGGTGCCAAATGCTCTAGGTACGCCCCTGGAGAGGACACACATTTCTCACTTTCTTTGCTCCCTTACCTGCCCTCAGTAGCACACACAAAGGGTTTATGAAATATTAACACAACATAAAAGCAGTATTAATGTATTTTCTGGGTCTGTTGTCTGGCTGTAACCACGTATTGTTAGGTCCTTTGCTGCTGTCTCACCACGGGAGGCGGCTTCCAGGTCCCGCATGCTGCTTGCAGTGGCTTCCCTTTGCTCCTCGCCGCTTGCGGTGGGTTCAGGGTCTAGCACGCAGCTTGCGGCGGCTTCCTTTGGCTCCCTGCCGCTCGCGGCGGCTTCCGTGGCCTGCTCGACGCTCGCGGCTGTCTTGGTCCCCGCCAGCAGTATTTTGGTGCAGCGTGCTTAAATTGGCACCCGAGCCAGTCACCTGACTCAGCGCGCAAATACGATGTCACAGGCCACACTGAAAAGAAGAAACACCTCCCAAATATTATAACTAACACTAATTGGAGAAAAGCCAATCAAAAACAACCTAAGCATATATAAATGAATCCTCCCCTTGCCTCAGTGCCCTGTTGTGGTCTTTATTAGCCCAATAGCGCGTTATACTGTGTCTGGATTATTTGGTTACCAAACTTGGCTTGTCTTATGTTTACTCTGTCTTCTCTGATCCTTGACCTTGGCTTGTCCCCTCGTATTCCGTCTCTCTGTTATCCTCGACCTCGGCTTCTACTCTGACTATTTTATCTCTTTGCATAGCCCGGCCATTCTAAGGACCGGTATTGCAATTCTTTGTGTCTGTGACCTGTCTGCGTGTTTTGGTTTCCCTGATAACCGTTACATGTATCCTGTGAACCCTTTAGTTAAGCACTTCTCTATAGTACTTTGAGAGACCCAGACCCTTGAAGGAGGTCTTCAAATTGATACATGAACATGAAACCACTGGAGGTTCAAATCTCAATGTTCTTCCCAACTCAAAAGAAAAGTTGGCAGAAATGGGGCAATGCAAGCTTTTGTTGGCTTTGAAATTAGATTAAAGACACACCCAAATCACTTAGCGTTAGCAGTGTTTTAGATATATTATTACCTGTAGGTTTCTACCTGCATCGAGGGCTGTATGACTGTGACATAGTACCTCTACTTATTTCTCAATAAAGAATAAAGAAACTTGTAGTAAATGTAATTTTTGGGTATCTGAGCATACTGAACATAACTTGCAAGTAGAATTTCACAAGGTTCTTTTATCTTATTTTAGCCTTTCTAATTACCTGGCAACAAGGTATGTTTGCTTTTCTGTGAAAGGCAGAAAAAATGCAAGTTGTTAAGGTCAATCCTGGCATTGTTGTCAGAAAGAACCTGTTGGTTACTGTGTATACATGTTCGTATCAATAATCTTGGTCTAGCAAGGCAGAAGAAAAATGACTTCACTATGTCCAGTTAGCTAGTTGCTTATCGTCCATAGCTTTAGAGATACATAACGTTTGTTTTCTGCGGCAGACTATTTCCAGAGCATTTTTTCTGTACGTTTTGGAGGCTCTGATGGATTAAAAACTATATGAAGAGTCTGGTTGGACATTATCACACCATAATCTCAACAAACTGTTATTTTGTACCATATCCTTTTACAAAAGCCATGGTGACCCGAGGAATGTGTTGCTGCCACAAGTACTTCAAAACATTGGGAGCCATAAGTAGTAAATTAACAATGAAATGAAAGGGTTATTCCAACCCTTTTTAAGAAAATAGTTTATTTTATCTATGTAGCAATACCTACCTAGTCCACTCGGCAATCCAGAGGGCATGCGCACACACAACAAAATAACCATTCACGTAGCCTGAATGCTAGCAGTGAGAATGCGGCTCGCGTTTGGAGTGTGTTCTATAAAATATAAAATCTCAAATTTGTCATGAAGACATCATTGTCATGAAGCAAGACATGACTACACGAGGTGAAACCAGGCAGCACCTACAAGAACTACACTCACAGCTTGCCATTCGACTGGATGTCTTGGAAGACAAGGGGCGTCAGAGAAATCTCAAGTAGCAGACTCTGTTCCCACGGATGAGCTACCACACTTCCTCAGGAGGCTCCTATCCACTGTCCTACCTGCAAAATCTCTGAACAGTTTGCATACGATGGCCTGTACCGCATCTACACAACATCCTGTGCATCGACGAATGTTCAGCGGGACATCATCCTATGCTGCCAGACTCTCTCTGGCAAACAGCGGCTCCTACATGCTCTGAAGGGGAAAACGCCGCTCCAATTTGAGAATCATTCCCTCGCCTTCTTCGAGGACCTGAACAAAGCCACCCTGCTTTGGCGGAAATCTATGCGCCATACCACCCAGGCCCTGCAGGAGGCAGGAATAACCTATCGTTGGACATATCCTAGATCCCTCACGGTCACCACAGACAGGAAGATTTACAAAGCAAAAAGTCCACCAGAGGGCCTAAATATCCTACAGGCATTGGGCCTCTCCGAAACACAGCCTGCCAGTCACACCTGGGATGTCTCCCGAATCGCGCCATTCGTCCCTGGGGGCACAGTGAACTCTGTGACCTGAATGCCGTATTAACCTAATGGGCCTGCTTTCTAAGTTTTATAAGTTTTATATGCTTTATGAGTTTTACGTTTCAGTTTACTTCAGATGACCATAACAAATATAGCTCTTTCATCGTTCCACCACTAACTACATGCTCCTTACGCATTACATATCATATCTCTGACGGATGCATCCCCCAATCTAACACAACACACAACTTTGGGGGGGACATCCGCCTAGAAATACTGACACATCCCCCCACCTGGCCCAGAGGTTAGGGTTATACACGCATCTCCTTAGGGGAATTTGGCCAGACTATAAGGACCACTCCAATGGTACCCACATGTGCGCCCATACACATGGCGGACAACAAACACACTAGTTAATACGGCTAGGCCAACTTCCTTTGGTTACATGATTTTCTACTCATGCAGAAACCTGCTACATAGCAGATAGAACCTCAAGACCACACTAATTACACACACAACATACCATATGACGTGGACCTTGTTTTGGTTAACAATCAATCTAAAAATGTGCAGTATCTCATACATGCCTTGTATTATCAGTTAGTATATAGAAAGTGAACCAGTATGCTGTTACTGTACACAACAAAAATAAAGAACGATAAAAAAAAAAAAAATGAAAATTTGCCAGTCTCCACTAGTTTTGACCTATTGTATTAACTTTTTAGAGGGAAAAAAATCCAAGAAAAAAACCATCAATATTAATGTATTTTTAAACAAAGTGTCTGAAACTAAAATAAACTTTACTCCTTGGCAGTAAGTTTTAAAACTCTGGGTATACTCACACTCATAAGAATGGAAATGCACAAAATTAAGATATTTTTTACTATTAGTCCACCCAGTTTGTCCATAAGATCTGAGCCACCAAATCTCATAAATGTGTGAAGCATAGTTAGATTTTTTAGACCTCTTTATTTTTTTTGGTGTTATTAATTGTTGGTTAACTGTTATTTTGAATATGATATTATCATTTTTTTAAATTAATAAAAACATACTTCTGTGTGCACTTTTTCAATATTTATCTTTAAGTCTATAGTTAAAGGCCACTTGGGGCCACTGTTGGCTAGTATATCTCTCACTAGGCAGAGACAGCTGATATTTTAAGATTCATCCTTGAGGAAGTGTGTGGCACTCGAAACGTGCCGAGCGATGACCAAAGTTACAGTATTTTTGCATTGAGCCTTTGGGTCAGAGATGTCGCACTTTGGCCCTGATAGTTGCACTATGACCTTGACAGCTCTCTACAAACCAATGATTGACTGATAATGATTGGGAGCTTTATTTTGACACTCTTGTTTTAGAGCACATCGTCTTACCAATATCTTAATATAAGTGCTTCTTGCTTTATTATTTCTTAGCATGTAGATTTTATTCTAATACTCTATAGCGCTCACACATTATTGTTTTTCTCTGTTTATTCTAATCATCCTTGATGTGTTTCCACGAAGTGCTATACATTAATGTCCGATGCCTCTGACAAAAGCCCGGCCGTGGCTGATATTCTGTGGCTATGGGTACCAGAGCAAAAAAATAAGTGACTGCTGCAGGTGTTTATCGTTCTTTTGGATCTTAACGGCAATGCTCAGATGGGTGGTGGACATCCTGGACAGGACTTAGAAGCAGTCTACTCATGACTAGTAACAATTTAGGTTTCTCTGATTTCCACAGATATCAACTTGTATTTTCAATGCGTACGGAATAGTGCTGGTAAGTACAGCTCACATATACATTCTTGTATAATAAGGGATGGTCACTGGTGGAGTGCCAGTAGTCTGGGCCTAATTATTTAATACCTAGATGAAGTTACTTGTGACCACTGATACAAAAAAAAAAACCTGTTCTGATTGAAAGTATGAGTTCAGTGCTGGGTTATAACCCCATTGATACCCGCATAGAATAAGCAAAGACCTATTGTTAGGCCTTTCCTGGTTACTAAGTGATGGTGGGACCTGAAACATTTTGAGGAAGAGTCTCCTTCTCTCATGCCCAGGGGGATATCAGTGGGTACTGTGGAACTCAGCCTTCTTTTTCCATTTATGATAATATGAGGTCCCTCCGGAACATATTTTCTTTCTTCACTTTGATTTTACATGTCAGTGAGTGTTTGACCATTGACAGCTCAGATGTTGTCTGTTGGTTCCTAGCAAGTTCTAGTGATATTAATTTACTATCTTTATAGAGGAGAAGCAGCATATGAACTCATACATAGACTAAATATATGGGATAAAGTTAGTTTGTCATAGGAAGCCCTTATATTCTCCAAAGGACGAGAAACACAAAAACACTGCTATAAATCTGGTATTATGCAAAAAAAATTATCAGGATGAATTTTCAGTCTGTTACTAACAGATATGTTCCCATTATTTAGATGTCTGGAGTGTCCCTTTAAAAAGAGTAGCCATCAATTGGAAAATAGATTACAGTTTTAACTGCCCCTGCTAAGAGACTATTTCATCATTATACATAGCATTCTATTCCAAGATGTTCTATGCTGTTGGCATGCTGTATCTATTTGCACACAATGAATCAGTTCCCCGTGGAACACAATACAAATTATGTTTTCTATTCATGGACATCCTTAAGCCGTAGTATTTAAGTTTATTTTGATCGTTTTTCTTACCTTAACTTTCTCCTCCCATTAACGTACCACTTATTAAAATTTTACTCCCAGAGTCTGTTCCCTCACTTGTCTGCCACTGTCCAGAATCTCAGAAATATCATCTACAGCCTTTGCTGTGAAGCTACAAGTGTCTGTCTTTCTCCAATGGAAGGTAGAACGGTGCCCCATGCTTACCCTGTGAGTGCAGAATATGAATTTGCTAACCCTACAAAGATTTTCGATCAGAATTTTGCAGAAGGTAAGTAGAAAAAATGGGAATTTTTAGATTTTCCGTAATTACTAAAGTGGTCATGAATGATCATCCAATAACAGTCTCGGTTCTCAAGATGGATATTAGGACAACATCCAATAATTTGCTTTTCCAGGAGAACCTCACAGGAAGCCAGCTCAATCTGTCAATTGCTTTGTAGTTGGTTCGTTCACCTGTGCTGCTTTAATGAGTGTGCCGGATGATTTGCCAATAGGCAAACTAGGCTCCTGCCAACAGAACCATGGCATATACACACGTTGGAGGTTTTACAAAGAAATGTTTGCTTTTCGCTGCATTTTTAATAAACACATAGCATCATTTTCCATCAAACCGCATTGTCCAGAAGAAATTCTGTACATATAGTTTTGTATATTTCTGTACAGTTCTGTCCATACACATAAAGATGTTTTTTTTATTAATGCTTGCAGTGATGTGTATATATGAGAAATTGGAGATGACCCAATTAATGCTTCCAGTGTTCAGTTGATGCATGTACGTTGCAGTAGTTTTTCTATATGACCGGTCACTGCTTAATTGCTCTTATGTTGAGATAGCAAGGGGCATGTTACTATTTTTCCTACCAATGCTGTTTTTTTAGGTTCGTTTAAATGTTTTTGTTAAATATGCATTTTTCCCATTTGTTCTGTGACAGTATTTCTATTTTTAACTATTTAAAATATAGAATAATGGGTCCCCTACTAAGTAGACAACATGTTATTTATTCATATATTTATTTATTTACTTTTGCAATGCATGAGGGATACGACTGATTTTTATGTATTTTTCACTTGAAATCCATTTTTATTGTCATATTTCTGTCATCAAATCTTACAGACACATTGTTACCTGTATTTGTGGAAATTCATCTAAAATTTGATGAAAATGAAACTGACTTAGTATTCCAGGTTTGTACAGACATTGGCTATATCAGTCCAAAGTCCATCCATGTTTACTGAATCCCTACCAATTTACCTTTTACCTGCCCACAAGGTCTACTTTGACCTGCCCACATCCCCATTTACTAAGCCATCTTCATTTCATGGACAACGCCTTCATGAAATTCCTACATATACAGGTTACAACGCATCTGTAATATTTTATAACAAAAATATGACACTAAAATGGATTTCACGTGGGGAATAAATAACAATTTGTCTTTTCCTACATGCACTACAAAAACAAAAAAATAAAATAACTTTTTTAAGTGTAATTTTAGAACACGTAAGATGTATGTAGATTTTTTTAAGCTATGCCCCCTGCCCAGATGAATAATATTTTTCCAAGAAACTTTAACTTTTATATATATATTGGAGCCGAAATTGTTTCCACCCAAGCTTGACGTAGATTAAGCGCAACTTTATGTTGTCTAGCTAATACCCAAGGATGGGCGAGATATAAATAGGACAGACAGCTGCTCTTCATCTGATTGTGTGCTGGCACAGATCGAGACTATGCTCTGACATTTCACTGAGATGACTTTGCATACCTTTCGTCTGACAAACACACAGCACAACTGACATTAGATTAGCACTGTAACTATAACTTTTAACTCCAAGATGTTATCTTTTATCCCGTATACATCATATTTCCTAAGATCTGCAATGTCATCCCACGGGGATCACATGGAAGATATCTGCAAGTGTAGGGAAAGAGATGATCAGAAAGGGGGGCACGGCAGACATCTATAAAAAAAACAAACAAAACAAAACAGAGTAATTTCAGCAAAAAAAATGTAAAGGTTGCTGTTCTGGCAAAACTACTAACAATATTTGAATGTAACATCGTTATTTAGTTTAATAAACAGAGAAGGAAACGGCAGAGAGGTTAGTTATTTAATATTACATTATCAGCCCCTCCCGGCAGTACTACATATATCGGTAGTGAGTATATCACTCTTAGTCCTAGCTGTCTGTGATTTTTCAGTTTTCTTTGTTCAGGCATTTCACATTTTATAAAATGTTTATTTTTTTTATTTATTTTATCAATATTTATTACGTTTTACGAAGATAATACAATAGCGTTTAAGGGAATACTCTAGCAATATAAAAACAAAAAGTATATTTATAAAATCACACTGTTATTCACTGAAGTGAGAATACAAAGTGAGTAGTGATGTCCCGAACGGTTCGCCGAACGGTTCGCGAACGGTTCACCGAACGGTTCGCGAACAGTTCGCCACAAACGGTTCGCCACGGACTCATCATTGAGTAAACTTTGACCCTGTACCTCACAGTCAGCAGACACATTCCAGCCAATCAGCAGCAGATCCTCCCTCCCAGACCCTCCCACCTCCTGGACAGCTCACTAAGAATGCAGCTTCACAATGGATGCTGTCCAGGAGGTGGGAGGGTCTGGGAGGGAGGGTCTGCTGCTGATTGGCTGGAATGTGTCTGCTGACTGTGAGGTACAAGGTCAAAGTTTACTCAATGATGAGTCCGTGGCGAACCGTTCGTGAACCGTTCGGCGAACCGTTCGGGACATCACTAAAAGTGAGTTCAAATGGAATTTTCAAATTTAAGGCAAAAATTGCCGAACTAGAAACATTCTCCAAGTCAGCTATGATTTCCATTTGGCTACATTGACCTTATATTTGAAATTCACTCTCAATTCATATCGAATTCTCACTTTAGTGACAGACTTCTTTTCTCCCTTACTATCAATGTCTTGGTGCTGCAGCCACTAATCTTCGTCTGAGATCATCGTGATTATCACTGAATCCCATGCTTCTCTCGGAGAAGTATTCATTGTGTTTGGGGATGCCAAACCTGAAGTCTTACAGTTACTGAAAATACTTCCTAGGAAGTGTCTCCCGTGGCTGCCTGATTGACATTAATATAGTGTGCTTTCTCACCAGAGAGACCATAAGATCAACATTTGAGTTTTCACACATATAACCAATCAGGTCTATCTTGACAACTATATTTTTTGATTTGTATAGGATTTCTCAACTACAAAAAAATAACAGTCATTCAGTTTTTTCAGGGATAAAGCAATTATTTTAATAATATAGTCAGAATATACTATACAATGACTTTTCTATTGTGTGGGTGTCCAAACCTTTCTAAAAAGCTTCTATGACGTCTTCAAAGATATGAAGCCTTTAGGAGAGATTTTGATATGTGGGCACTATATCCATTTCATCTCATTAAAGTGGTTATAGTGCTTCCCATAGTGGTTATACTGTCCCAGGCTTCCCATAGCCCCGCCCCCACTGGAGGTATGGCTAAGGCATCGATAACACTTCCTTGAAGCAATACAGATTCATACCAGCAATGGATACTGTGATAGGCTGAAAACAGTCAGCTGACACTCTCAGCCAATCACAGACAGCAATTACTACTCAACCTAATGCTGTCTTGTTATCCCAAGCAGCACAGGGCAGATTCTTGTTTAGCATTAACTCATTAAAAGCAGCTTAGCTCTCAATGGAAGGACAGTGCCAGGGGATTCCAGACACTATAACCACTTCAACGAGATGAAGCAATTACAGTGCCTAAAGTGTCCCATTAAATTAAGGGACTGTATTGTGTGTGCTTTCATGTTCTATAGCAGTTATTCAATTTATTGAATCAGTAATGTTGGATGTCACATTCCTCTGAGTACTGGAGCTGCAATGTAGCAAAGGTAAGCATAAAATGCCTTTATCTCTATAGTTCCTCCAAACACACTCATGCGCACTCAGCTACCTGCTTAGAAGGTGCCATACGAGAGTACACGCACTCAGGCAAACCTTCCAGAGTGGCTTAGGTGATCATTCGTCCTTACAACATGGGGGTTAAAGGACAACTGTCACCTCAAAAATATTTTTTAATATAATAATCCTATCACATACTGAAATGTATATATATATTTTAAAAGGAAGTATAAATATAAAAATGATAAAAACGCTTTTCTTTTCATACTTGATTAAAGTCTTATTATATTTAAAAATATTTTTTAGGTGATAGTTGTCCTTAAACCCCTTAAGGACAACAGGCATTCTATGCCGTCCTTTTTAAAGCGGTCCTAAACGTCGGCGGGTGGCATAGAACATCCCTGCCATCCTTCATACTTACCGGGTCCCCGCCCAACCCACGCCAGCGGTCGCGATCCTGGGGTCAGCCTGGGAGCTCAGGCAGACCCTCTCTGCCACGATTCCCCCCCCACCGGCCATGTGATCGCAGGGTCCTTGCGATAACATGGCCGGAATAGCCGGTTTATGCAGTGGATGTAGGGGGCCTGCCTGGCAGTCCCCCTCATGCCTGTAAAAAAACTTTTTCAAAGTAAAAAAAAGTTATAAAACAGTTTTTAAATTAAAACATAGATCATATATGTGTATATATATATACATATTTATATACACATACAGGCATGCCCCACTTTTAAGTACACAATGGGACCAGAGCATGTATGTAAAACAAAAATGTAATTAAAGTGAAGCAATACCGTTTTTCACTACCCAATGCACGTACTGCATTGCAATAGTAATTTACAGGCATAACTGATACTGCAACTGCAGATTTCCAGTGATTTTATTTCCAGTGATTTATTTAGTGATTTCCAGTGGGCTTTTATTCAGTTAAAACAAACAGTAAAAAAAACCAAAAATCTCATTCCAGATTGTACCATTTATCTTTAATGTTTTACTCATCTGACAACCTTAAACTGGGAGGAAAAGTAAAATAAACCTGCCCACTGGGCCATTTTCTGCCAATACAGTGCCAATTTGTATTTGTTAGTAGCTTAGTTGCACACTGTTTAGAAACACCTCTTCATCAGTTTAAGCAACTATGGTTTAACTTTGAATCCTCAGAATTGTGGCACTGCTAAGCAGTGGCGGATCCAGGGGGGTGGTGTTATGTGGCAATTGTCCAAGCCAGCCCTGCAATGTGCCTGAGGACCCTCCCCGGTCCGCAGGCATTGTGCTGACAGCCAAGCAGCAGAGGGAGAGAGGACCCGGCAGAGGGAGAGAGGACCCGGGAGCTCTTACCTGCAGCTCCCCTGGGTCCTTCTCTCGCGAGCACGGAGCGTTGCTGCGGTTACCACGGCAACGCTCCAAATCTCGCGAGAGTGAACTCTAGTCCTGGAGCGCGGGCTAGAGTTCACCTCACCACCACTTGGACCACCAGGGATTCCCCATGGACCACCAGGGATCCAGAAATGTCCCCCCTCCTCCCAGTAACGGTAAGAAGGGAGGAGGAACATAAAGTATATTTATTTTATTAAATAAAATAAAAAATTAAAAGCCTCCCTACCCTCCTTCCCCCCATACAAACACTGCCCCCCATAAACACACTATACACACAGCCCCACAAACACTGCCCCCATACACACACTGCCCCACAAACACTGCCCCCCATACACACACTGCACACCCATACACGAACTGCCCCACAAACACTGCCCCCATACACACACACTAAACACCCATACACACACTGCCCCCATACACACACATTGCCCCACAAACACTGCCCCCCATACACACACTGCACACCCATACACGAACTGCCCACAAACACTGCCCCATACACACACACTACACACCCATACACACACTACACACCCATACACACACTGCCCCCATACACACATTGCCCCACAAACACTGCCCCCCATACACACACTGCCCCAAACACACACTTCAACTCTCACACACACTGCCACCCTCACATACACACTGCACCGCTCACACACACACACACTGCAGTTCTCTCACACACACACTGCCCCACACATACACTGCCCCCTAACACACACACTGCAACCCTGACATACACTGCCGCCCTCACGCACTCGCACACACACTTCACCGCTCACAGACACACACTGCACCTTTCACACACACTTCACCCCTAACACATACCACTGCTCCTATGCCCTTTATCCCAGCAGACCCTAGGTAAGTTGTCAAACTGTTCTTAAACGGTATGACTACTTACTCTGGGATGGGATCCTGGCACTAATGGTGCCATAACTACTACACTGAGCTGTAGTGATTATTACGCCTGGATTATTTCTTTAAATAATCTACAAGTGCCCCTCCCGAGATCAGGCTCTGGATCTGCCACTGCTGCATAGTTATAGAAAATTGCAGGGCAGCCGATTGCAGAATATGGACAATGTATGGGCAGAAAAGAAAATATATATGTTCAGCTAGGAGTAGGCATTATACATTTGTCCTAACATGTTTGAGGTTTACAGATCCTAACCAGCCCATAAAACAAAAAACTGTTAACCTGTGCCATGTCAGAAGGTGTGAAAAGTTCTTGCCCCAAAGACACTGAACTGAGCTGAACGTTCCATTTCCTGTTCACTCGCGGACAGAAGAGGCACGGGTATGTCCGTACTCGCGAGTGTATGTAAAGCGGGGTATGCCTGTACATCATTAATAAAAGTGTATTTTAATATTAATATTTATATATTATTAAAATACACTTAGAACAAAGTTAATTATAATTAAATTATAATTAACAGAATAAAATTAAACAATATTTTGGTTGTCAGAATAGGATCCTGACATCTATACTGACTCTGTAAGCTAATGTTTATGTTATTTGTTTAGTTATCCCCTCCCCCGACCTCATTGAGCGTGACTAGTGATTATTTTCAGTTTGTTATAATTATAAGTTTGCCATAACACGCTCGGCATGGGACACAGGCCTTCTGACTAGACGTCACTCTACCACTAATGTCTCCCTAAGTCTATGAAGGCTACAGAGCTATAATACCACCCACATTGCCTTAATAAGCCACGGCTAACTGCGCTAAGACCCTAATACATAGGCACCTGAAGCTTCATTCCAGCACCCTCAAGACACGCCTCACGCCACTCTAGTTTAAGAGAGGGTCCCATAGACATCTGCCTTATAAAAATTTAGTTGATGCCTGCAATGTGTAATACTGTAAATATCTATTTTGTGTTCACTTTACCGCTCCTGCAAAGCACATGTCATGCTATAATGATTGCACTAAATAAAAAATAAAGAATAATAAAAAAACGATCTGATGAGTTACTTTAATGTAACAACGTTGCTCCCTGTATACACGTTTATTTATGGATTGGAAACGATATATTGCAGGGTAGCATTAGAATAACTGACGCTGTTATTTATATTATGTTATTTTAATTGTACTTATACTGCATTAACAATAACTAATCATTAAAGGGACACTATATATGTATCTAGACCACTTTGTATCATTGAGGAGTAGAGATGTCGCGAACTGTCTGCCGAACTGTTCGCGAACTGTCCGCCGGCAAACAGTAGCGTGTTCGCGTTGGGCGAACATATCCGATTTCCGGTCCGCCCCCTATACGTCATCATTGAGTAAACTTTGACCCGGAACCTCACAGTCAGCAGACACTTCCTGGGAGGGAGGGTCTGCTGCTGATTGGGTGGAATGTGTCTGCTGGCTGTGAGGTTCCGTCTGCTGGAGGCAGACTTTGTGCTGTAATGTAAACATTGCAGTTTCTCTGGAACTGCAATGTTTTACATTGCAGCACTAAGTGTAATAAGGACAGTGTACCTAGACCACTTTAATTAGCTGAAGTTGTCTGGGTGCCTACAGCGTCTGTTTAACCCTTTGTCTAAAACATTGCAGTTTTAGACAAATTACAATTTGAAATTGCAGTGTTAAGACTAGTTTTAGTGGCTGTCTACCAGACACCCACTAGAGGCACTTATTGCAGTTTCATGGAGTTTGACTCTGTAAAATACCGCTGGACATCCTCGCGCTTTGCATGAGGACATCCAGCGCATTGGGTTCCTCACATCGCCTGACATTCAAAAGAAATCAGGCTACAAGAAGCCCCAAAAGGTGCCTCAGGACAGGAGACCCTGGCTTTTACAGTATTGAGAAGATTATGTAGGAGTTTGATAAAATATGAAAAATACCATTAAAATAATGCAGCCAAAATGGTCCTATTTGTTTTCAATGGTTCCCCTTAAAATTCCAAAGGTGTGGCTATTTATGATTCAATCTGCCATTAATAAATTTATCTGGAAAAATAAAAAGCCTAGAATAAGCCAAAAATATATTTCTAAAAAATTGTCCCATGGAGGGCTAAATTTTCCAAGTATTACTAACCTTTACTATTCCAATATTATACGACATATTTATATTTTACAAGAACCATCTTTTTTTTCTGAACCTTGGTATATTCTGGAGTCCGAAGCTTTACATGTATCTAGTCTTTATTCTTATATATGGTCAGATCCTGGGAAGCTTTTAAGGGATTTGCCTAATTGTTTAATATCATTGGCTCACTCTTTGGAAACTTGGGTCGAAATAAGGAAAATTTTGGGTTTAAGTTATTTAATCCCTAGAACATGTAAATTAAATATATTAGAAAATAATGTAGAGGATTTAACACTAAGACACTGGCCTAACAAAGATACATTAATCTTATTGGACATTATGCAGGGAGATAATATCCTATCATTTCAACAGATTGTGAATAATCTCCATATACCATCTAAAGAAATATTTACATACGTTCGAATTAAACATTAAATCCAGAAACATGTTATTCAATCTCTTTTCCCCTGGGCCAAAGAATTGCAATCTATATTTTCATTTCAAACTGTACCTAAGATTATTTCGGTAGCCAATTTGCTCTTTAAAGGTGTTGACACTTTTCCACATAAATTGGTTAAAACATGGGAAAACGAACTTAACTTAGTGATCTATCCAAACGATTGGTCTTCCTCTATAATTTTAGTAAATAAATCGGTCCATGGCCTAAACTTGACTGAGTGCCATTTTAAGGTACTTTACAGATGGTACTACACTCCGACAAGACTAGCTAAAATGTATACTTCTCAAGACCCTACTTGCTGGAGGTGCGGTACCTACTCAGGTACTTATATACATATATGGTGGTTTTGCCCAGTAGTAAAACAACTCTGGCACTGGGCCTATAATATTTTCTCTGAAATATCTTTGAATGAGGTAACTTTTAAAGACACAAATAGAAACCCAGCTTTGGCACTTCTCCACCTTAATTGGCCTTTTAAATCTAAAAAACATATTTGTTTGGCTATTCATTGCTTTGTTGCTACTAAAATTATTATAGCTAGACAGTGGAAATCTTCCCTTCCCTTTCAAAAAACCTCTTTAATTAATCAAATTAAATTTCAATTAACAATGGAAAATGATATGGTCAAAAATTGGTCAGTGTTATCTAAAAAAAGAGATTGGTATTCAACTTGGCTAAAAAACTGTTCTCTACTTTATGGTAATTTATAATTTATAAGGTGACATGTTTATAGATGTTCTAATTATATTCGGGTAGCGTAACTCATACTAGTGATAATATGTATTATGATAATGGTGCCCATTTCCATTGATATATCTCTCAATATTTGGCTACGGAATTTTACTCATTCTATACCAATGACTTCCTGATTCAAGATATGCTTTTTTTTTTTTTTTTTTTCACGATTGATTGTCATATTGTAATTAAAGTACTTTTTGTATATAATAAGATTTATTTATATCAATCGGATGTATTTTGTTTGATTGTATGTAAGTATTGTCTGAGATGTTATGTAACTTAAAAACAAAATTTCCTAATAAAGAATAATTAAAAAAATAAAAAAAAATAATGCAGCCAACAGTTTTATAATTTATTTATTTTTTATTAAAAAAAAATTAATGATTGTTTTAGTTGTTACCCACAGCAGTCATTTGTAAAGATAATAATCCACCATAATAGTATATGTTCTTTTTAACATCTTTTCCAGGTATTGCCCCAGAAGACCTTCTATGCCCAACACTGTACCATGGCTATTATATCAGGCCCAGGATCAACAAGCAGGCAGATAAGGGCTACTCTGAAATTAGCCAAAACGAACACAAATTCCAGGTGCTCTTAGATGTGTGTCATTTTCTCCCAGATGAGATCACTGTTCGAACCATAGACAACTTGCTAGAGGTCGCGGCTCAGCACCCACAGAAAATAGATAGGCATGGTTTTATCACCAGGACATTTAAGAGGACATATATCTTGCCCTTGGATGTAGACCCTCTTCTAGTGAAGGCAACTTTGTCTCATGATGGAATCTTAAGCATTGCAGCTCCCAAGAAAGGAATTGATCTGAAAAGTGAAGTCAACATTGTGAAGGTAGAAGTCCAGACACCACCAGATATGGAACAGAGGATCTCAACAGAGGAGAAGGCAAAGAACCAACAAGGCCGCAATCCAGTTGTTTGAAATAGCTACTTGCTAGGATACATTATTGAACAGCATGTATTTGAAAGTCTATAATTGAATAGATGTAATTTAGTTTGTAATGTAATCTTACTGAAAATAATTATTCAGTAAATATAGAAAAATGTATCAAATAAATAATGAAATTACAGTTTCCTTTAATTTATTATTGTTGAACTGAATTTATCAAGAGTTCCACCACAATAAAGTTTGCAATAAAACGAACTTGTATAAACAATGCAGTCCATGTCTTTTGGTTAATAAATGAATAAATACAATCCTGTATTATTGTTCTAAATGACTGGCCTAACTATGGCCTTAATTAAACATTGCTGGAGAAGCTTTTCAAATGATTTAATATTTTTGGGTAAACCTTTAAAATTATTTAATAAAATATATTACATGAATATGTTAATAAATAAATATGTTAATATTTTGATACACTGACATCTTAGCTTGTATATGATAAATTTTTGATATTTTAATATTTTGAAAAAAAAAATAGTTTAAAAAGGTGTATTCAAAAATATTAAACAGATGTCTGTGTGTGTTATGAAAAGACAATGGGACTCTGTAAAAAGAGGCAGAGGTTTCAATGGTCTGCAAGAATATAAAAACGAGTAAGGAAAGTACGAAAGCAGTGTTTTTAATAGTGCAATATTGTAAATGTTTCATATACAACACTCAACCCTTTCTTGGCTGAGACAGGATGACTGGGTACGTTTATCAGACTTTAGCCTAATATTGACACAAGAGATCTGATATGGAGACTCAAACAAATAAGGTTTTGGCCATAAGCTAGCAGACATTTTAAATACATACAATACAGTATTTAAAATGGACGTTGTTTGAATGACTGTATGACAAGCATTCTTCCAGAGACACACCAAGCCACACACATTGGGAGCACCTTTGAATATATGGTTTCCAGAAGCTGTCCAAAGAGATGCCTGAGCTAGTCCTGATCTCATGCAGCCTAACAGATTTGCCCGTTTGAGTGAAGATGTTGGGAGCATCAGCTCAGGAGTAGCTGTACTGCAGGAAGCTGTTCCTGCTAACAGCCGTGGAAACAGCCCCTCTAGTACGGGTGGGGTTGAGAGGCTAAGGAAGTCTAGACAGGTTGTGGTGGTAGGGGACTCTATTATTAAGAGAGTAGATAGGGTAATCTGCCACTCTGATCGACTCAACCGGACAGTTTGCTGTCTCCCGGGTGCTCGGGTCCGGCATGTTGCCGACAGAGTGGAGGGATTATTGGGAGGGGCTGGAGATGACCCAGCTGTCATGGTCCATATTGGTACCAATGACAAAGTCAGAGGAAAATGGAAGGTCCTAAAGAATGAGTTCAGGGAACTAGGAAGTAAGCTTAAGAAAATATTACCTGAAATATTAATTGTGCCGCGTGCTACAGCAGAAAGGCAGTGGGAGATTAGAGAGGTTAATGCATGGCTAAAGTCCTGGTGCAGGAAAGAGGGTTTTGGGTTTTTAGAGCACTGGGCCGATTTTGCGCTTGGGTACAACCTGTATAGTCATGATGGATTGCACCTAAACGGAAGAGGGTCTGCTGTGCTGGGGGATAGGATGGCTAGAAGGTTGGAGGAGATTTTAAACTAGTAACTTAGGGGGGAGGGTCAAAGCAATCTAGAAAATGGAGATAGGATGGAAAGGAGATGGGCTTTAGCTCAGAACAAAGGGGGTGGAGATGGGGGGAGGGGAAAACTCAGAACAGAGGAGGTATGTAATATTGATAATTCACAAAAAGTACAAAAGACTCATGATAATATTAAATGTATGCTTACTAATGCAAGGAGCCTATATAACAAAATGGGGGAACTAGAGGCAGTAGCATACAATAAACAATATGATATAATAGGCATAACTGAAACATGGTGGGATGAGACACATGACTGGGCAGTTAATTTAAATGGGTACACGTTATTTAGGAAGGATAGGAAAAACAAGAAGGGTGGTGGGGTATGTTTATATGTCAACCATGAGTTAAAGTCAAATCTTAGGCATGTGGAGTGTGACGAGGAAAAGGTGGAGGCTTTATGGGTAGATATCTGCTTGGGGCAAACAAAGGGAAATCAATTATTGGTTGGGATATGTTATAAACCACCTAATGTAAATATTAATGAGGAAGAACAGCTGTTAGAGCAAATTGAGAAAGCTGCAAATCGAGGTAACACGTTAATTATTGGAGATTTTAATTATCCAGACATAAATTGGGAAAGAGGGACTAGTACTTCAGCAAGGGGAATCAGGTTTTTGAATGTGTTAAATGACAACTTTATGTCACAACTGGTACAAGCACCAACTAGAAAGGATGCTTGTCTGGATCTTGTCATAACAAACAATGTTGATCTTTTAACCAACATTCAAGTAGGGGAGCATTTGGGGAATAGTGATCACAATATGGTAAATTTTGAAATAAACTCAAAAAAGCAAAAGCAGGTGGGGTATACTAAAACATATAATTTAAAAAAAGCCAATTTCAATAAGATTAGGGCAGCTCTACAACATATCGACTGGCGTAAACTCCTTAGTGATAAAAACACTGAGGATAAATGGAAACTATTTAAACATATATTAGAAAGGTACATTTCTCAGTATGTAAAATTGGGTAATAAATATAAAAGAAACAAATTAAAACCAATGTGGCTTAGTAGAGAAGTAAAACAAGAGATTAAAAATAAGAAAAGGGCATTTAAAGCATTTAAATCAGACAAATCAAAGGCATCCTATTTAAGATATAAGGAAGCCAAGAACACTTGCAAAAAGTCAATTAAAGTGGCTAAACTAGAAAATGAGAAATTGATAGCTAAATAATGCAAAACCAATCCCCAAGATTTTTTCAAGTACATCAATTCTAAAAAAACAAAAAATGAAAGTGTAGGTACACTTGAAACAGAGTTGGGTTTATTAGCTAACGAAGACCAGGAAAAAGCAGAAATTTTAAATAACTATTTTTCTTCAGTATGTATTAATGAGGATCCTATGGCAAGAGATATGCAAATGTTTGCTGCAAAAAACTTGCAAATAACTTGTGATTGGATAACTCGAGACAAGGTGCTACAGCTATTAAAGAAAATTAATGTAAATAAAGCTCCGGGGCCTGACGGTATTCACCCACGAGTACTTAAGGAGCTAAGTGGGGAAATAAGTGAACCTCTGTATTTAATTTTTCAAGATTCTTTTGTTTCAGGTGTTGTACCGGAGGATTGGAGGAAGGCAGATGTTGTTCCTATATTTAAAAAGGGTTCAAAATCCTTGCCTGGAAATTATAGACCTGTGAGCTTAACTTCTGTAACTGGGAAAATATTTGAAGGGCTATTAAGGGATAATATTCAGGAATTCATTGGGAAGAACTTTGTTATTAGCAATAATCAGCATGGTTTTATGAAACATAGGTCATGTCAAACTAACCTAATTGCATTCTACGAAGAAGTAAGTAGAAGTATAGATCAGGGTGTTGCAGTGGATGTGATCTACTTGGACTTTGCCAAGGCATTTGATAAGGTTCCTCACAATAGGTTAGTCTTCAAACTAAAAGAAATTGGTCTAGATGAATATTCCTGTTCTTGGGTAGAACATTGGCTTAAGGACAGAGTACAACGAGTTGTAATTAATGGTAAATTTTCAGGCTGGACAAAAGTGGTAAGTGGTGTCCCTCAGGGTTCTGTTTTGGGACCACTTCTATTTAACATATTTATAAATGATCTTGAAATAGGCATTGAAAGCCATGTATCAGTGTTTGCAGATGACACAAAACTTTGCAAAGTAATAAAATGTGAGCAGGATATTGCTTTGCTGCAGAGAGATTTGGATAGATTGGGGAACTGGGCACTAAAATGGCAGATGAAATTTAACATAGAGAAATGCAAAGTTATGCACTTCGGGGTTAAGAATGCACAAGCAACTTACACACTAAATGGTAGTGAATTAGGGATAACCACACGAGAAGGATTTGGGCATTGTTATAGACAACAAATTAGGCAGCAATATGCAATGTCAATCTGCAGTTGCTAAGGCCAGTAAGATTTTGTCATGTATAAATAGGGGCATAAATTCTTGGGATGAAAATATAATTTTGCCTCTTTATAAATCGCTGGTAAGACCACACCTTGAATATGCTGTGCAATTTTGGGTGCCTGTTCTAAAGAAGGATATCATGGCTCTGGAGAGGGTCCAGAGACGAGCTACAAAATTGATAAAAGGAATGGAGCATTTTAGTTATGAAGAAAGGTTAAAAAAATTAAATCTGTTTAGTTTGGAAAAACGGCGCTTGAGAGGGGATAGGATAATTTTATACAAATATATTCGGGGCCAGTACAAACCTTTATCTGGAAATCTATTCATAAACAGGGTTATACATAGAACACGAGGTCACACATTTAGGCTGGAAGAAAGGAGATTTCATCTAAGGCAAAGAAAAGGTTTTTTTACAGTAAGAACAATAAGGATATGGAATTCTCTGCCTGAAGAGGTGGTTTTGTCAGAGTCCATACAGATGTTTAAACTGAAATTGGATAAATACTTACAAAAACATAACATACAGGGATATAATTTCTAATTAGTGGGGTAATAGCTACTTGATCCAAGGAGACATCTGACTGCTATTTTGGGGTCAAGAAGGAATTTTTTCCTAGTTTGTGGCAAAATTGGAAGTGCTTCAGACCAGGTTTTTTGCCTTCTTTTGGATCAACAGCAAAAACATTTGTGAGGAAGGCTGAACTTGATGGACGCAAGTCTCTTTTCAGCTATGTAACTATGTAACTATGCCGTAAGGACTGAGCTCTGGGAGTAAAAGCTCAATATATTAGAATGCAAAACAAGGCAAACTGGATTATTAGTTATTATTGCTTTAATTTGTTAGTGGTAAGCCAGTGCAATGAAAAAGAGGATATTTTAAAAAAGCATGATTGTGCCATTCTGCAAAAAGCACCTATTTTTATCATCAGTTCTGTAATGTTCCCCTCCGCGGAACCTCTGATGGCAACTAATATAAAAGGGACATTATAGTCACCAGAACAACTACAGCTTATTGAATTTGTTCTGGTGAGTAGAATCATTACCTTCAGGCTTTTTGCTGTAAACACTGTCTTTTCAGAGAAAATGCAGTGTTTACATTACAGCCTAGTGATAACTTCACTGGCCACTCCTCAGATGGCTGTTACAGATCCTTCCTGGGTCATGGCTGCCTAAAATGCATCCAAGCATTCAGTGTCTCCACCCTCT